TTTGATACTTTAAATTATTTATATTTTTATTATGTGTTTGATTCTTTTCACTTCTGGGATTTCAAAGATATAATGCATCAAAAAAATTGTTTACTATAAGCAAATACAAATATATATACTCTTCTGGAGATGTGTATCTTTTATTTGCTGCCATCTTTATTTTCTCACTTCTTGTGTGAATTTGATTTCATGTAATAAAACTCTTTGGTTTTGACCTTAACATGAACTATAAAAGATTCATATTCATGTCTATGATCATATCTTTAATCATTCATATCATATTCACTCAGGAATGGATCAAAACCAATTAGACAAGATTCAAGATGTTCATTAGTAACTCATTATTTTATCAAAATAATTTCTTAAACTTTCTCTATAATATTTTGTCAGCTGGACAATATATGCCTTTTATCATCATTGATTTATATTATCTTCCAGATAAAATCATTTATAGACTTCAAGTCTTGTAATCTTAGATGCAAATAAAAGATATTCAAAGGATAGTAGAAAAATAAATAAATATTATCAAACAAATATAGAAACAAAGTATAATAATATAATAATAACAAAATATAAATAAATAGTATCAATAACATTACCGTTTTACTATCAAGTGACAATTTGAGTTTGTCATATTTTGTCTGCAAGACAATAATATTTAAAATTTCTTTGTTATTGTGTCTACTGGACAACAATATTTTAAAAATATTCCTTAAATATATTTATGCTATTGTGTCTGCACGACAACAATATTTTCATAATTTCACCTTATACATTTTTATTAGTAATATATTTTCACTTATAAACTTCAAGTTTATATGGTCTAAGATCCAATAATTATCTTTAGATAGTTCTATTAGATCATATCATTTCAGATGATTGTTCATTTGCTTTAGATTGCTATATTAGATCACTTCTAGTGATCATGTCTTTCTTTTTACTCTATGGTAAAAATTATTCCATTTTAAGATCATTAGAAATGTAACAATAGATAAATACACTCATAAATATTCAGCAAAATATTTTGTATATAATCTACACATAAACAATGATAATATTAATTACTCAATCATTCACCAATTAGATTATTTCCATCATACCATTAGGTTCTCAATTAAAACATGTGATTAACAATCAATTAGAACATGAGACAACAAATGTATAAATACTAAACCAATTTGATTAACAGATCAAATTTATTAATAGGACTAGTCATATTTTAAACAAATAGCCAAAAAGAAACCGAATGAACTGATTTCTATTTAAAACCAACTCTTATCAATTCGAAATAATTTATTGAAATCAATTAAACCAATATAAACAAATACGTTAGTCAATATAATCATCAATCAAAACAAATTAATTCAGTCAATACTAATTTAAGACGAAAATTTAAAGCATGGTCTTATTTGATCAAATGGTCAAAATAACAATTTAATATAGTCAAGTGATCAATGCAAGAATATTTCAAATTAAAGCAAACAATGCAAATTAATTCAAATTTCTTCAATTTCCAATAATTATTCAATTTAGCAATTAATTAATTACGAAAATAAATAAATAAATGTGAAAAGCAAATAGATAATAATAAACAATATAAAACCCTTTTGGGATATAAATAAGTTATAAATCCTGCAGGGACATATATACAAAATAAATAAAATATAAATCCTTCAAGGATATAAATAAAAATAGAAACAAAATATAAATCCTTCAAGGATGTAAATAAAATATAAATCATTCAGGGATAGAAATAAAATAAATAAAATAGAAATTCCTTCAAGTATATAAATAAAATATAAATCCTTCGGGGATAGAAATAAAATAAACAGAAAATATAAATAAAATATAAATAAATATGAATCCTTCAGGGATATAATAAAAATAAATAATATATAAATTCCTTCAGGGATAAAAATAAAATATAAATCATTCAGGGATATAAATAAAATACAAATCCTTCAGGGATGTATATAATTGAAATATATAATTCCTTCAAAGAAAAATAATATATAGATCCTTCAGGGATATATATATATATATATATTTATAATATTAATCCTTCAAGGATACAATTTAACCAGACAAAAAAAATATATATATTCTAAAAATTGCATATGTATATATTACGAAAATAAAATAAATATATATAAAGCATATGTTTGCTGAATCCAAAATATTATCAATAAGTAATATAGATTAAGTATTGATAGAAATGGATTTTAGTAGAATAAACACAAATCAACAAAGTAATAGAGATTACTCATTGAATTTGTGAATTCACTATAAGAACTATTAGAACTTTTAGAACTTTTGATTTAGAGAGAAATAGAAAGCTAAGAGGTAGAGACTCGTGCTGATAACGTGTTGTGAAATGAGAGAATGAAATTGTCTTATTCATGAGTAGAGGAGCTCTTTATATAGAGTACAACATAGGGTTTCAAAGGAGAAGAGACAAATAGAGAAGTGGACCTAGTGGGCTAATGGGCATCCACATATTACCCATAACAATCTAGTTAATAAAATAAATAGTCTGCATCGAGATGTAAACAGCAAATGGATAACAGAAATATATCTTCTCTGCAACAAGAACTCAGCGAAACGAGCCTGAGCCATCGGTTAATATCAAAATGGTTCACAAAAACCATATTCTTCCGTTGTTTTGGTGCAGCAATAAAGAATTTTATGTCGATGGTGGGGGCACGATATGATTCGGGTCAAAAAGACATGACCATTCCCTTACCATTTTTTCGACACAAACTTCCTTAGTTTGCAACGTTTGTGGTTTGTTGAGACTTGAGAATAAATGATCCCACATACGTTTGATCCATAATATTTGAAAGAAATTTATTCAAGTTAATATTAATTGTATTTAGAAAAATAATTTGATTACGATCATTTGGAAAAAGTTGATGTGGAAAAAATTGATGTAGTAGCCACAAAACACTTTCAATTTCTTCAGATCACAACTAAATCTCTTCGCTTAAATCATTCGGTCAACAATGGAGCTTTGGTGTTCTATCTCCAATCCCCACTAACGATTGAATAGAACAACAAACTACGATTTAAGATGTAAGAAAGGGAGTGATAAAAAAAATACAAAAAAATGAGAGAAGTAGGGAGAATAAATAAGAAAACAATTACGACAGGTGAAAAAAAAAATTGTAACTAAATGATCAAATGATCTTACACAAATATATATAGAAGTGAAAAAGTATCACTAAAATGTGCAACGTTTCAACAATTTAGCGGTTATAAGTGAAAAGATGCGACTCGAAAAGACAACTCTTTGTATAAGCGGTTATAGATAAAACGGTTAAAAACGAAAAGGCATGACAACAAAAGGCATTTGTTCAGTTTGCTATTATATATAGATTTTTCTATTAAATTATTCAGAAACTTCAAATTTGAATAATTATCCTAGTTTGAAATTTCAAATTGAGAGATATCATACTTTTTTTTTTCAATCCGCAACCGCAAACGCTTGCGGAAAGAAGCTTTTGATTTTCAGCGATATAGAGGTACAATGTGATATTAAGCGGTTCAGAGCGGTTGTTGTGATTATTATAAAATGTTAGTAACCGCTACCAACCGCTGCGTTTGCGTTTACGCGTGGTAGCGGGAAACCAATCATCACTCTAATAACACTCGCATTCACATACCGTATGTATATATTTTTTTTGCTAGAAATACCGAATGGTAAGTTCTACGAAGCTACTATAGCTTTTGCATGATTTTAAAACCCAAAAAAAAGTATGCATGGTTCGATTTTGAGAAAATTAACGAATTAGAACTAATTCAACATAAATAAAGATACATCTTATGATTACTTGAGTCTTCACTTGGCAGTTTTTTTTCTTTTTCCCCTTAGCAAACATTTGTTAAAGTGTAAATTAAGCATAAATGCCCTTTACATAAAAAAAAATACAAACAATATTCGTAAATCAGTGAATAACAAGCCCATTAGATAATTGTAGCCCATATTAAAGGCCCAATGGGAGCGACTCCGACGACGAAATCGTAAACACGCCGTTGATTCAGCCGGTGGATCCATGGAAAGTGAAGCGATTCAAGAGGAGCTTCATATTTTAGAGCTCGAGCTAAAGGATGTTCAAGGATTACATTTCTTCTTTCAATTTTGCTTTTTTTTTTTTTTTTTTTTTTTTTTTTTTTTTTTTTTGGTTTGTGTTCTTCAAATTTGCGTTTCAGTTTTGTTGGGTGAAATAAATTCACTAGTCGGTCGCTCCTTAAACTCTATTATAAGCTGGAGATATGATCGACTGACGATGTGATCGACCGGTCAGTCCTACTGCAAGTTTCCTAAAAAGCCTCAAGCATCGACATACCTCTATAACGAGGTACGACCGACGATATTCATTAATGATTTAACAACGACTAACAGTCTACCAACGACCCAGGGTTTTATGTAATTTCCCAAGCCTATTGGAATTATATAAAAGGACCGACGTAACCTCCTAATTAAATGGAAATTAAGAGGAACGACCGACAAGGGAAATAGAAAGTTACGATCGACGTCAAAGCCCAACTCGATAAGGACTAGGACCGACGAACACCTATAAATAAGAGGTCCTAGAACCAAGAGACTCATTCAGAAAAACACACAAAAACCCTAATAGCTACTTGTTCTTTGCCTCTCGACGAGCAAGCGACGAACAACCTAGATACGACGAACTACGATCTACGACGAGCGACAGACGAGATTCTCTTAGTTTAATCTTTGATATTGACTTGTTGTAGCTCGATATTCAATTGATTAATAAGATATCTTCTCCTGCGTCATTCCGTTTATTGTACTTGCGAACCGGTTAAATTTTGCCCAAACAAGTTTCTTAGGTTGCTTCTGCTATATATAACCTAGAACATCCTTCAAAGTCTCCACGATAATGCTTTTCTATTTTAATATCGATTGAGGTTTTGTGTTAAATTCTCGAACTATGGACTAGTATGTTTAATTCTCCTTCCCGAACACAAATTTGTTAATGGGTTTGGCTGCTCTAGGGATTTCAGCATACATGCTGACTTCTACTTCTGGCAAGGAAAATGAGAAATTTGTGTACAAGGCACTTGAAAAGGGTGAAGATGACCTCAAGATACTTTATGTGACACCAGAAAAGGTATCAAAGAGCAAAAGATTCATGTCACAGCTTGAAAAGTGTCACAATGCTGGTCGCCTCTCTCTTATTTCAGTTGATGTAAGTGTTTCCTGGTTTCAGTTTCGTTCTTAGTCAATTTTTTTTTTTTAACATTATACCTGTCTTCTCACTTTCTGGCTTTAGTTTGTATTACCAAATACACACAATTGAATACGAAACTATCTTTTGAATATTCAATTTACAATGTCTTGTTGCTTTGCAGGAGGCTCATTGTTGTAGTCAGTGGGGTCACGATTTTCGCCCTGATTACAAGAACTTAAGCATTCTGAAAACTCAGTTTCGTCAAGTTCCCATGGTGGCTTTAACAGTATGTTTTTTTATTTCTTCTTCACAATTGCTTCATACTTTCTCCGTCCACTTTTTTTGTTACATTTGGGATACTCTATGAGCTTTAGTCACTCAACACTATGGAGCTTGCTCCACCTTGCTGTGCTTATCAGAATGACCAATTTTCTTGTAACCGAGCTCTCTGAAATTACGTACTTGTTAGTATTTTCAAAGTATTCTACTTCAGTGGGTTGTGGAATGTCAAATTCTGTGCTTATCCGAATGACCAACCTTTCAAATATTTTGTGGAATGTTTGATTAATTCATTTTTCATAATTCCTTATGTCTCTATCGCAGCCAGGCAACTGCTACACAGAAGGTCCAAAATGATCTGATAGAGATGCTGCATATTCCTAAATTCGTCAAATTTGTTAGCAGTGTTAACAGGCCAAATCTCTTTTACTCGGCACTCTTAGCAATTGCAAAAGGAATAAAAGAAGAAAAAAAACAAAAGGAATAATGTTTGTTTTTCGGTAAAAACAAAAGGAATAATGTTTTTACGTTAATTGTAACTAAATTGTTAGATCACCCGCATAAGTGAAAGGAAAAATCAAAAAAGAAATTTAGATAGCGGAATTTTTTCTTACCTTAATTTCTTAAAAATGAAAATTATTTCTACAATATTTTGTTGTTTCGTAACTTAAATGTTATTTAATTTTGTTTTTGTAAGCTCATATATAGTTATTTTATAGTATTTGTAAATCTTTTAAGTAGTTACGTAGGTCCATACTCATATTTGTCGAGATATTTTAGTATTTGCAATTAACACAAATGTAGAAATGACTAATAACTCTCTATAAAAAATTGCTGCCCTACAAAATAATTGTTTTTTTTTGCTGCCGTAAGCAAATTGTTCTTTTATTACCACATAGGCACGGCTATGCATGTACACAACTCCCCGATTTAGACACACATACAAAGCGACAATGCAAAGACAATGACAACTTCCCACGTCTGAAACTCAAAGGAAGCACGTGCTTTACCCAACGTAAAAAGCGACATGCAATGATAATGCTGTCCGGGAAGAGACTGAGAGGTTCGAGTTGTACCTGAATCATACAACATCTAAACCAAAAGAAGCAACAGTTCTTCTGTAAACTGAGGAGAAAGAAAACTCAAAACTTTTTTATTCTCTTTTGAATCAATGGGGTCAAAATTTCATGCTTTTCTGTACCCATTTTTTGGTTTTGGACATATGATTCCATATGTTCATCTAGCCAACAAACTAGCTGAGAAAGGTCACCTGGTAACTTTCTTGCTTCCCAAGAAAGCCAAGATACAACTCGAACCTCTCAGTCTGTTCCCGGACAGCATTGTCTTCGACCCTCTTACTGTTCCTCATGTTGATGGTCTCCCTGTTGGCGCAGAGACAACCGCGGATGTCCCAAACCCTTCTGGGAATTACATGTCCGATGCCATGGCACTCTTGCGCGGTGACATCGAAGCAAAGGTTCGTGCTTTGAAACCAGACGTTATTTTCTTCGATTTTGCTGACTGGGTTCCAGAGATGGCGAAAGAGTTTGGAGTCAAGAGTGTGAATTACCATCGTATCCGCAGTTTCTGTTGCTATGGCTCTTGCTCCTGGCGCTGAAATAGGGATTAACCAACCACCGGGTTATCCTTCCTCGAAAATGGTGTTACGTGGATACGACGCTACCCTCTGTTCTCGCTTCGCCAGTTCCTGCTCAAGGATTCTTCGTGGGATCGCCAATAGTCTAAAGAAGTGCGATGTAATAGCCATAAGAACATGCGCAGAACTCGAGGGTGAATATATTGGTTTCATCGAAAGAGAATGTCAAAAAAAAGTTCACTTAAGCGGTCCACTGCTCCCTGACCTGGAAGAGAACATAGGTAAGACACTAGAAGATCGATGGAGTCATTGGTTGGATAAATTCAAACCAGGCTCGGTAGTGTTTTGTGCGTTTGGATCCCAAGTCTTTATGGAGAAGAAGCAATTCCAAGAACTTTGTTTAGGAATGGAGCTTACAGGTTTACCGTTTTTGGTAGCGGTTAAGCCGCCAAGAGGCTCGTCAACGACTCAAGAAGCCTTACCAGAGGGGTTCGAAGAGCGGGTTAAAGAGCGTGGGATCATCTGGGGAGAATGGTTGGACCAACCTTTGATATTGTCTCATCGATCAGTAGGTTGCTTTGTGAACCACTGTGGATTTGGTACAATGTGGGAGTCTTTGGTTAGGGATTCTCAGATTGTGCATATTCCGAATTTGGCTGATCAAGTTCTGACCACAAGATTTTGTGCTGAGGAACTCGAGGTCTCTGTGAAGGTGGAAAGAGAAGATTCCGGATGGTTTTCTAAAGAGAGTGTGAGAGATGCGGTCAAATCTGTGATGGACAAAGATAGTGAGATTGGGAATCTAGTGAGGAGGAATCATAAGAAACTGAGAGAGACTTTGCTTAGTCCTGGATTGTTGAGTGGTTATGCTGACAAGTTTGTGGAAACATTGGAGAATGAAGTTAACAAGACGAAATTGTCTTGAATGGAGTACTTATGCAACTTTCTAAAATAAAATATTTGTGTCAAGACTTATTTACATTTCTAATGTTTAATTCTAAATAAATTTTCAACTAGTTTTGAAAAATAAATTTATTGATTACATACTCTTACTTGGTAGAAGAAGTATGCCTCTCCCAAGATTATGTGGACCATGTGGTTGAATTAAATCTCTAGTTTTTTCCGTCACATATCAAACAATGAGAATTCAAAGTAATAATGTAGAGATTAACTGTCCACATAACCTATGTTGGATTGGTCTTTCCAATTTTAACATCCGAAGTATACAAAGATTAGAGATAGGTGGCTGTACTTTCTCATTCAATTGAACAAAAAGAAAAGGCCAAGACTCTACAGAAGATATCAGAACTTATAAGCTTAAATTTCTTTTGTCATGCAACTTTGTTTATTTTGCAAAACCTTTCAACTTCTTGTTTTTCCATCTATTGATTTTCTAATTCTTTAAGGACTTAGCAATGTTTAAGTTCAATACTGATGAATAGAGTTTAACTCTTGAGTGAAAGTTTTACTTGTGAGATCTTCTTGTTGATTAAAATTGTGAAGATGAGAACGTTTCAAGTCTACAAGGACAAACAGATGAAACTAGAGTAAACATCAAACTCTACTCTGGTTGTTATTCTTTTGGGATCACAATGAGAAGGACAGTCTGTCTTATTGTGAATTCAAAACTGAACATCTAAATGAGCCTCTCTAATTTTCTCAAATCAAGCAACTTGTATCTTAGTGTGTTGGGGTTTACGCTCTTAAAGAAAAAGTGTGGAGCCTCTAAATCCTAACAGAAATCGCTCTCCAGGTCAGATAAGTGCATCAAGATAGGTTGTACGAAACTATCTTTTGAATATTCATCTTTCAACGTCTGGTTGCTTTGCAGGAGTCTCATTGTTGTATATTCTCAAACTAAAAGGTTTGTCACTTTTCTATTCTTGTGAATTTCACACTAACACCAACAAAGATGCCATTTAATACCCGACGACGTACAAAGAGATATGCGAATCTTTAGACTTGACCTATCCCAGTCCATTGGCCACATATATACAACAATGCCATTTAAGACCTGACGTACAAAGAGATATGCAAATCTTAAATCAACCAATACCAATCCATTGCCGTCATATATGTACAACTCATTGATTTAGACCCAACGTTCAAACCGATATGCGAATCTTATACCTTACCAATTCAGGGCCGACATGTATACAACTCACCAATTTAGACCCAACATACAAAGCGACAATGCAAGGACAATGAAAACTTCAATTAAAACACGTGCTTTAAGCCATGTTATATATACAGATTAGGAGCACCTGAATCTTACAACGTCTATACCAAAAGAAGCAACATTTCTTCTGTAACCAACTGAGGAGAAAGAAAACTTAACAGCTTTTTTATTCTCTTTTGAATCAATGGGGTCAAAATTTCATGCTTTTCTGTACCCATTTTTTGGTTTTGGACATATGATTCCATATGTTCATCTAGCCAACAAACTAGCTGAGAAAGGTCACCTGGTAACTTTCTTGCTTCCCAAGAAAGCCAAGTTAAAACTCGAACCTCTCAGTCTCTTCCCGGACAGCATTGTCTTCGAGCCTCTTACTGTTCCTCATGTTGATGGTCTCCCTGTTGGCGCAGAGACAACCGCGGATGTCCCAAACCCTACTGGGAATTACATTTACGATGCCATGGCACTCTTACGCGGTGACATCGAAGCAAAGGTTCGTGCTTTGAAACCAGACGTCATTTTCTTCGATTTTGCTGACTGGGTTCCAGAGATGGCCAAAGAGTTTGGAGTCAAGAGTGTGAATTACCAGATCGTGTCCGCAGTTTCTACTGCTATGGCTCTTGCTCCTGGCGCTGAATTAGGGCATCACCAGCCACCGGGTTATCCTTCTTCGAAAATGGTGTTACGTGGGTACGACGCTACCCTCTGTTCTCTCTTCGCCAGTTCCTGCTCAATGCTTCTTCGTCGGATCGCCAATGGTCTAAAGAAGTGCGATGTGATATCCATAAGAACATGCGCAGAACTCGAGGGTGAATATATTGGTTTCATCGAAAGAGAATGTCAAAAGAAAGTTCTCTTAAGCGGTCCACTGCTCCCTGAGCTTCAAGAGATTGGTAAGCCACTAGAAGATAGATGAAGTCATTGGTTGGATAGATTCAAACCAGGCTCTGTAGTGTTTTGTGCGTTTGGCTCCCAAGCCTTTATGGAGAAGGAGCAATTCCAAGAACTTTGTTTAGGAATGGAGCTTACAGGTTTACCGTTTTTGGCAGCGGTTAAGCCGCCAAAAGGCTCGTCAACGACTCAAGTAGCCTTACCAGAGGGGTTCGAAGAGCGGGTTAAAGGGCGTGGAATCATCTGGGGAGAATGGTTGGACCAACCTTTGATATTGTCTCATAGATCAGTAGGTTGCTTTGTGAACCACTGTGGATTTGGTACAATGTGGGAGTCTTTGGTTAGGGATGTTCAAATTGTGCATATTCCGCAATTGTATGATCAAGCTCTGACCACAAGATTGTGTGCTGAGGAACTCGAGGTCTCTGTGAAGGTGCAAAGAGAAGATTCCGGATGGTTTTCTAAAGAGAGTTTGAGAGATGCGGTCAATTCTGTGATGGACAAAGATAGTGAGATTGGGAATCTTGTGAAGAGGAATCACAAGAAACTGAGAGAGACTTTGGTTAGTCCTGGATTTTTTAGTGGTTATGCTGATCAGTTTGTTGAAGCATTGGAGAATGAAGTCAACAACATGGAATCGTCTTGAATGGAGAGTACTTATGCAACTTTCTAAAATAATGTTTCTTCCGTATTGAAATATATATGTGTGAAAGACTTATTTACATTTCTAATGTTCACTTCTAAATAAAATTTCAACTAGTTTTGAAAAGAAAAGTTATTGATTGATATGCCTCTCCCAAGCTTATGTAGACCATGTGGTTGAATCAAATCTCTAGCTTTTTTTTGTCACATTTCAAACATTGAGATTTCAAAGGAACAATGTAGAGATTAACAATCCACATAACCTATGTTGGATTGGTCTTTCCAAGTGACATTATCAGAATTTTAACATCCGAAGTCTAGCAAGATTAGAGATAGAGTGAGTGGCTGTAATTCCTCATTCAATTGAACAAAAAGAAAAGGCCAAGACTCTACCGAAGATATCAGAACTTATAAGCTTATATTTTTTTTTTTTTTTGTCATGTAACTTTGTTTATTTTGCAAAACCTTTCAACTTCTTGTTTTCCCATCTATTGATTTCTAATTCTTTAAGGACCTAGCAATCTTTAAGTTCAGTACAGATGAATAGAGTTTAACTCTTAATTAAACGTTGTAAACTGTTCAAACAAGAAGGTGGGCATGCACATTGAATTTCTAACAAATTCATAGCTAGCATTATTTTGTAAAAGACTTTTGGTAAAATGGAGAGAATATATAGATAACTCACACTTCACTTTCTCAAATATTGCATCCGTAATTTTGTATCCACAGCTTTTAAAGCAATCTGGTCCCTCTCCACTTTTCAACATTGGTCCCGACAATGCTATGACAACATCCGTATAATCATTCAAATCAAAGCCAGCAATTATTTATTTTTATCGTGCGAATTTTTCTTTTCACTCTATAAAATTTGCAGTGTCGACTATTATAACACTTGCATTCATTCGCATACCGTATGTAAATTAATTTGCAGTTTCTTTTTTCTTTTTCCCCTTATCATAATTTGTTAAGTGTAAATTAAGCATAAATGATTCCTTTGGCCCTTTACATAAAAAAAAAACAAAATACAAACAATATTCGTATTTCGTAAATCAGTGAATGGAAAAAGCCCATTAGATAATTTTAGCCCATGTTATAGATGATTCCTTTGGCCCGTCACCTCTTGCTAATGAGCCGTTGCCGACTTATGGGAGCGACTCCGACGACGAAATCGTAAACACGCCGTTGATTCAGCCGGTGGATCAATGGAAAGTGAAGCGATTCAGGAGGAGCTTCGTAGTTTAGACCTCGAGCTAAAGGATGTTCAAGGTTTACATTTCTTCGTTTCAATTTTGTTTTTGGTTCGTGTTCTTCAAATTTGCGTTTCGGTTTCTCAGGTTGCTTCTGGTACATATAACCTAGAACATCCTTGAAATTCTCCATGATAACGCGTTTTCTATGTTAGTATCGATTGAGGTTTTATGTTAATTCTCGACTTCGTAGCCTTGAGAACTATGGACTAGTGTGTATGATGCTTGACGAAATTGGGAACAAAAAGAAGTTTTAGTTCTGAAATCTTCTTTCTTGTTGATTGATATCGCTCTCTAGGTCAGATAAGTGCGTTGATAGAGCATCAAGATAGGTTGTACGAGAGGAAGTCTGAGCTAAAGACATTGTTGAAAGCAGTGGCATCTTCAGGAAGCCCTGCTGCATCTAGTGCCTTTGACGCTAATAATGCTGTAGAGAACTGGTCCGAGTCATTCGAGTGGGATTCTCGTGCTGATGATGTTAGGTTCAACATTTTCGGTATATCCAAATACAGGGCTAACCAGAGAGAAGTAAGTGACTTTGTGCATTTGTTTTCACTTGTGCAACACTTCGAATTCTTATGTCCATGTTTACAGAAATTAGTCATCTTTTGCCCTTGGATGACAGATAATTAACGCTATAATGACGGGAAGAGATGTCCTGGTGATCATGGCGGCAGGTGGTGGGAAGAGTCTTTGCTATCAACTTCCGGCTATACTTCGCGGTGGTACAACTCTTGTTGTCAGTCCATTACTTTCGCTAATTCAGGATCAGGTTAGTACTAAACTTAGCAAGATCAGTTTGTAGTGCCACCTCGCAAAGAGACTATGGAACAGTTAGATTTATGGAAATGTTAACATTAGATCTTTAGGTATGCTTTGGTTAGGTGTGTTTTAAGACCAGTTATTGTTTACGATTGTTCAGGTTATGGGTTTGGCTGCTCTAGGGATTTCAGCCTACATGCTGACTTCTACCTCTGGCAAGGAAAATGAGAAATTTGTGTACAAGGCACTTGAAAAGGGTGAAGATGACCTCAAGATACTTTATGTTACACCAGAAAAGGTGTCAAAGAGCAAACGATTCATGTCAAAGCTTGAAAAGTGTCACAATGCTGGTCGCCTCTCTCTTATTTCAGTTGATGTAAGTGTTTCCTGGTTTCAGTTTTTTTACTTAATATGCTACCTTTCTTCTCTCTTTCTGGATTTAGTTTGTATTAACAAATCCACACAATTGGATACGAAACTATCTTTTGAATATTTAATTTTTCAATGTCTTGTTGCTTTGCAGGAGGCTCATTGTTGTAGTCAGTGGGGTCACGATTTTCGCCCTGATTACAAGAACTTAAGCATTCTGAAAACTCAGTTTCCCCAAGTTCCCATGGTGGCTTTAACAGTATGTTTTCTTTTCTTCTGCTTCATACTTTCTCGGTCCACTTTTTTTTGGTTACATTTGGGATACTCTATGAGCTTTAGTCACTCAACAGTAGGGAGCTTGCTCCACCTTACTGTGCTTATCAGAATGACCAGTTTTCTTGTAACTGAGCTCTCTGAACTTACGTACTTGTTAGTATTTTTAAAATATTCTACTTCAGTGGGTGTGGAATGTCAGATTCTGTGCTTATCAGAATTACCAACATATCAAATATTTTGTGGAAGGTTGATCATTTCATTTTTCATAGTTCCTTATCTCTTTCGCAGGCAACTGCTACACAGAAGGTCCAAAATGATCTTATTGAGATGCTGCATATTCCCAAATGCGTTAAATTTGTTAGCAGTGTTAACAGGCCAAATCTCTTTTACTCGGTACTCGTAGCAATTACTTTTATTACTATACTTTTCTCATTGGATAGTTTGTAGGCGTGAACATGAGCAGTAAGTTTATTGTGTTGCAGGTGCGAGAAAAGTCGCCAGTTGGTAAAGTCGTGGTTGATGAAATTGCAGAATTCATACGGGAATCATATTCTAACAACGAATCTGGAATAGTCTATTGTTTCTCTCGGAAGGAATGTGAACAGGTAATGGTGGAGAAACAAAGCTTTTATATTGTTCTATTGAACCTTGGATCGGGAAACAAAGCTTTCATATTTTCTCTTACAAGCAATGGTGATAGATTGCAGGAGACTTACGGCAGAGAGGTATTTCTGCTGATTACTACCACGCAGACATGGATGTTAATGTGCGCGAAAAGGTTCATATGAGGTAATCAATATTTCTCAAAGCAAGTGGTGGCTAGTGCTTACCTTGGAACATAGAAACAAGGTCCAGCTCTGATGCAGCATGACTCTGTTTCTGATGATCCAGTTAGTGATGTGTGGATTGCAACATTGCCTGATTTTGGTTGTTGTTTCATTTTCACAGATGGAGTAAGAACAAGTTGCAGGTCATTGTTGGAACGGTATGTATATTCTCCCGTTATCATTTCATTATTTTGTGGTACAGTGATCTACATTCATCAACTCTTGTTATTGCTTTTCAGGTTGCCTTTGGCATGGGAATCAACAAGCCTGATGGTTAGAAGTCCTAACTTTTGTTTCAGTTGATATTTGATAAGCTCTGACTTTCAGTTTTCCTCTCTGCCGATTTCTTTCTCTTGTGTGTTAATGTTCTCTCAATGTTATATTACCAGTAGATGACTTAAAATCTCATGATATCTAAAAACCCCCGTCCTTCACATTTTCATGAATCATTTGTTCTTGTTTTCTTTTCCAACTGATACATGGGGTATTTTTGTAGTCAGGTTTGTCATCCACCACAGTTTGAGCAAATCAATGGAGACTTACTATCAGGTTCCAGTCACTTGTCCACTAAAACTCAATGAAGTTATGAGGTTTCCTCTGATCACCGTTACATGATACTGCAGGAGAGCGGTCGTGCTGGTCGTGATGGCCTCCCATCTGACTGCATCCTATTTTTCCGTTCGGGTGATGTTCCCAGGCAGGTAAGCTTCATTTTTACTGCCCCGGCTTGTCTGTGCTATACATATAAATATTTCTGAAATTTCATTGATGCTTTTCTTTCTTCCCCAACAGAGTTCCATGGTCTTCTACGAGTATTCTGGGCTGCAAAACCTCTATGATATAGTACGATATTGTCAGGTACGCTGCTTTATTTCCTCTTTCCTCAAGAATGACTTTCAAGCGATTTGTGTACCTTGCTCACCCCGCTTTAGAGTGACTAGGTTATTTTCTTTTGTTTAGTATTGTATCTTGTCTAGCTTCAAGGGTCATGATCTTGAAATGTTATAAATTGTACATTATCTTATGAACCAGAATTTCTGAATTCCCTTTTTGCAGTCTAAAACAAAATGTCGTCGAAGTGCTTTTTTCCGTCATTTTGGGGAGCCATCACAAGATTGCAATGGTATTCTTGTCTATAGACTATAGTTGTTCATTAGCGTCAAGCGATTCTTAATTTCTGGTATGCTGATTGTTATTCTGCATTCTGTTAGGAATGTGCGATAACTGTGCCTTGTCAAGTGAGGTCAAGGAGGTTGATGTATCAAGTATGTCCCACTTACAAATGCATGCTGTTTCTCTAATATTCATTCTTGTACTACTTGTTTGGAATCAGCTTGAAAGCGTTTCTTATTTTTTTCTGCCAAGTTTTTTTTCGCCTTATTATTCTGTTTCAAGGATTAACACTACATTTGAAGTTTCTCAGCATTCATGATAATGTCGTAATGATTTTGCGGGTGTCATGAATTTTTGCAGACTTAGCTAAGCTCGTGGTGTCTATGGTGCAAGAAATGCAAGCTAAGGATCAAAGAGTGACCATGTTACAGCTGGGAGATAAACTCAGAACTAAGCACAAGGATCTAAGTTAGTCACGTTTTCTTATTTCATTAGTTAGAACTGCAAAAAACTCTTCAAAGCCTTTATCTCTTGCGCTATGATTTTTCTGATGTTGTTTATCTTTTACTTCTGTGGTTAACCCTAGGTGCTGAGCTAAAGAGAGAAGAGATAGAACATCTCGTGATAAAACTGATTGTTGACTCGGTACTGGTAAGATCATTATCCATGTTGATAGTTCTCCTGTCAGATTGTAATTCCGACACGTGATAAACCCAACATCTCTGTATGATTGTGCCTATAGGTTCTTCAGGCTGTTTTTGAGTTTTGTTTTTTTTTCTTACGTTTGTGCAGAAAGAAGAATTTCAGCACACGCCATACTCGACAAACGCTTATGTAACAACGGGACCATTGGCCAACCAATTGTTACAAGGTAAGGAATTAGGAAAATGACTTCTTTTCACGTTCGCGTAAAACATCATAGGCTTCGGGATTTGAATGTAGTTGAGTCAATAATCGGAAGCAACTGTTAAACGTATCATTTATGGGTTTTAGCCTCTAAACAAATTTCATTTATTTTGATATTTTGGCCATTACTTGGGTAGCTCGTGCCTTCTTTTTCTAATTCTCTCTTTCCATTGACAAAGCTCTTGCTTGAAACAAATCATGTCCTTGTTTTCTGGAACAGGAAGAAAGACGATCAAAACGGAAACCTCAAGCAGACAAATGAACAAGAAATCGAAAAGAAGTAGTTCATTTTCTGGGTTAGAGTTCAAGCTTGACGAGCTACGGAAAGAGATATCTTCAGCTAATGGAAGCATACTCCCTCACGCGGTCCTCTCAACACAGCAGATTAGCTTGATAAGTTCCCAAAAACCAGATTCATTACAAGAGGTGAGTTTCCGCTATAATTTTCTGTTTTCGCGTTTTAGTTTTTTTTTTATGCCTGATGGCTTCCCGTTAAAGCTTTGTTCATTGGATTTGCAGTTGGAGAAAATTATAGGAAAATTAAAAACAGGAAAGTATGGCGACAGGATTCTTGAAGCGATGAGAAACGATGGAGAGACCGCCTCTGAACAACTTGTTGAAGATCCAACAAAGGAAGAGACATGTGAAAGGAGATCAAGTAAGAGAGCTAAGACCCAGAAGGATGTTGTTTTGTTAGAGAGCAGCGACGACGAAGAAGAAGAATAAGCTTTGATAAACCAAACGTCTTCTAATTCACTCATCGTAGAATTTTAGTTCTACTCTGTTGAAGCTTTACACTATTCTAATGTCAGAAATTAACCGATATGATTCTATGCATCCACTAAGTATTATGAATTAGCATTAAGGGATGCTTAATCAATATAATAAACTTACATATCAATCATTATGCGATGATACAAAATGATTTTGTTTCTACTTTCTTGACAAGTGTCTCTCAAGTGTTTTTCTTCATCTGAGAGTGAAGCTTTGTCCTAAAACCTTGAACACAAAACGAAACAGTGTCTTGTATTTTCCCCACAAGCCCAGTTCCTTGGCTTTGCTTCTTTACACTATCAATCAAAAGGCGGTACTCCACTAACGTAGCCTCTGGTAAAGGTTCTAAGAACTCACACTTGGACAAGATCTCTGGAAGAGGAACACCAGAGACGAGGTTAGTATCCAGTTTTGCTCTGCTTTTCTTTGTTTCTTCAGGTTCTTTAACCAGAGGACCATCGAGAGCTGAAGGAGACGCGCCGGGTATCACTTCCCGTGTGAATGGTAACGATCTCGCGGGTTGTAAGCAGAATTCTATCCACTGGTGGATTAATGGAGATGGGCCTCGGACTCGTCCTCCCATCTTTTCTGCGTCTTTACCAGAGACGGAAACAGCAGGGATCGCCTTTGAAATACAAATAATGCTTCACGGGTTAGTGTTCTGATATGCTATATGGTACTTGGGACAAGAAGCATTACGAATATAATAGGAAGGATTAAGAAAGTTTTGAGACGGTGCTTACCCATAAATCAGCCCATAAGGTAGCACCAGACTTTGGAACAATCACTGTAACATTAGACATACGTTTTGCCACAGGGATAACATCACTGCTCCACCCGACAGTGACCCAGACATCTCCGACGTTGAATGCTTTTAAATAGTTGTCACTGTCAAACAGTCTAACCTATAAGCAAAAGGACAAGAATGATTAAAGCAGACATTGTCATCTTTCTCAACAAGTAAAGAGTTTGTGTGGAAGATGTCAATACTAAACTTATGTGTGTGTTTAGTGTATAGAGAGTGTAAGTGAGAAAAAAAGAGTAAAAACAAGATTCTGGCACAAACCTGTTTCATCAGCGATGCTAGATTTTTCTCCACGGCGATTTTTCCCCCAGCGACTTGTGAATCCAGGTCTATCGTGTTGTATGATGCTCCCATGTATTTGAGAACAGCACCAACAACCTCTCTAGGACAATTCACCATTGAGATCCTCCCTGCAAGCTCGGGTCGCCACAAATCCTCCCAGTCCTAAATCCGTAAAAATGTTGAGTAATATTCACTTCCTTTTAAACATAGGCACACAGCTACAAGACTGACATTTCAACGTAGTCGATGAGCAAAAGCAACAACAAAGCACACCAACCTCTATTGGAGCCAATTTATACTGCTGAAACTTGCTCTTCTTGTATGCAATTACCATGCTTCCCCAGCGGTATGGCACAGCCCACGTTTCACCGTCCGGAGCTTTTTCTCCCGCAAAATTCCTGCGGAGATAAATCTGAGACTCTCTAAGTCATGAAATGAGCCCACACGAAACATTATGACTATCATCATCATATCAAGTCTCTGAAATTCTTTCACAAAGACTGATATTCATATTGTTAAACCACTGATTTTAAATCCTCACCTTCCATTTATCACTTAAGCTTTTATACCAGTCTTGATCTTCTACCCCTTTCATTGGCTCAATCAGCTTCTCCTTGATTGCGAAACTAAGCCAAGAATCACCAACGCTGATCATATCAGCTGCTCTAGTTGAATCAGACCCCTTTTTCCCTTTTCCACTAGGCTTCGATAAATCACTGAAAATTTCTTCAAGATTTGATCGGAATTTGGCTTTTAACCTCACTCTCTTCCCCTGTGAGCTAATGAATTCCTAAAATTTTCAATCCAGAGAATCAAACAACAGACATTTCAACTATAAGCTATGATGCAATCATGCAAATGATGACGAAAACTGCTCCAAACCTTGATCCATGATGGTGGCACTGAACCACGGAGAGCAACGACTTTTAACGGCACAGTCAGAGAGTACACTTTAGCCTTGTAAGCTTCGAAATCTGCTTCCAATCTTCTCTCTTCATCTTCATTTAGAGCTACATGATTCTCCTCACCTGCTACAGCTTCGGAGTCGACTTCGTTCTCTGTAACTGAATGTGAAACGATCACTGGCGAAGGTAATCGAGCGGAGGCCGGAGAGCAAACGCGGAGGCTTAAACAAAGGAACAACACAGTCGATGCAGAGAGACGAACGATACTCTCATGAAACCGTTCGCCATGAGAAAATCGCGCAACAGAAATTCGAGGAGATGAATGTCGGTTTCCTCCGCCGCAGAAGAAGGTCGCCGGCGGTTTCATGGAAAGAGACGCCGCCGTAGCCATTCGTCTCGAAGGTGAGAGACGACAACAGCAGCAACAATGGCTGCTTCTAATCTCGACCGGTTCAATCAAACCGGTTGTGGGCTTTTACTAAACGGCCTGTAAATTAATATAGTGGGCCTTGAAAATGGGCCCAATCATGGTTTTCCAAAACTTACACACAATTCAGATTCAAGCTAGCTAAGGTCTAGCTGGCATAATAATAGATAAAGAAAGCGTCGGTTGGCACGTGCGGGAGGTCATGATCGGCACGTGCGAGTCCCACTTCGTTGTTCTCTTCATTGGTCGTAAGCCGATGCTTTGGAGAAGAAAGCATCTCACAAATTAATAAACACTCTTCACACTCTCTCTCACTCTACTTTCTCGCTTTCTCTCTCTTCAAATCTTACCATAAATCACACACACACAAAATAATCGATTCCTTTTTTTTTTCTTTCTTCCTTAGTTATAATTTTTGCTTTACAGCTCAATCAATAGTCGTCGTTTTCTTCTTCCTCTGTCCTATTCTTCCTTCTTCATCTTCCTCCTCGCGGATCCATTTCTTAGAGGTTCATCTAAATTTACTATCTTTTGCTCGAAAGTTGTAACCTTTGAATCTGTTTTGATGTTTGGGAAAGAGTGTGGGGTTTTGGGTGTTTTGCCCATTTCGATTTTTGGATTAAATCTTTACTTCTTCTTGTGTTAGGACTGAAATGGTATCTGGGAATTTCGTAATCTCACCTAAAATTGAGCTCTTTGAGCTCGTGGTTAGTGATGAATTCGGGGGTTTTGGGAGAATTTTCACTCTTGCTTTTTCTGATTTTTAGAAATTGGCAAGTGGGTTTGATCGGTTTGAGTTGAGAGCTTTGATTTGCAATTGAGAGTAACTTGTTCGGTTGTATGCTTCTAGTATTATAAATTAAGTAGACAATTGTTTTGTGATAAATGTTGTTAAATTTGCTAGGATTGGTAATTGTAGAATCTGATAAAATAGCTAATTTCATTTGTTTTCAGGACTTGGATAGAAACATGGGATCATCAAATAGCTGAGTGACTATATATGTTACAAGTGCAACATCCGGGAGAGGCTGTTCTTTGAAAGGACTTTGTAGTAATTATATTATGCTTGGACAGTGCCATGATGCGCATCTGTGAGATGAAAAGCTGCTGCTCATGGCTTCTTTTGATCTCATTGCTTTGTGCACTATCAAATGAAAACCAAGCGATTAGTTCTGACGGTACAGCGATATGGAATCGCTCTATTTAACCACTTATTGCCTTTTGGACCTTTTATAGAGAGCTTTAATCTTTCTTTTTTTTTTATGCTTCAGGGGAGGCGCTTCTGAGCTTCAGAAGTGCAGTTACTGGTTCAGATAGTTTCATCCATCAGTGGAGACCGGAGGATCCAGATCCATGTAAATGGAACGGAGTGACATGTGATGGAAAAACGAAAAGAGTTATATCCTTGTAAGTTTTGAAAAATTTCGGGCTTTCTTCTTTGGTATCTGTGGTCTCTAATGTTTCTTGTTTTCGCAGGAATATTACTCATCACAAAATAAACGGACCTTTACCTCCTGAGCTTGGAAAGCTGGACCATTTGAGACTTTTGTATGTCCCCTCTAACTTTAAGTCATTTTTCTTTTTTTCTTTAAAGTATACTGTTATGCTGATCGTCTGTGTGATGTTGCAGAATGCTTCACAACAATCGTTTAATTGGACCAATACCTAAAGAACTGAGAAATTGCACAGCATTGGAAGAAATGTAAGCGCTTTTCCATGCTTATTTCACCTGGTATCTGAGATTCCAATTCCCTTTATTCATGGTCGTCAATATTGTCCAACTGTTTTTTTGTTTTGTTTTTGCAGTTACCTGCAGAATAACTACTTAACTGACCAAATTCCAGCTGAAATTGGAGACCTGCCTGGCCTTCAAAAGCTGTATGGTGTTTTTTCTTCCATATATTTGCAAATGCATGGGTGTTTGGTCTCTCCAGTATCTATTAGTTTTTGTTTCCATTTACTTCTCTTACCATGTAGGATCATGATAACCTATGTTGGACTGCAAAATATCTTCTCAAGCTCAGTTATTTTAAGAACTTATTATGCATCTACTCTTGATGAACCTATGAAGGAACTAAAATTTGACAAGATAATATAGTGTTTTCTTTGGTTTCACTTATTTTTACAAGTGCTTTTCCTCTTCTCTTGACTAAAACTAGTTTTTCCACTTTCAAGGGATATCTCAAGCAACTCTCTCCTTGGAGCTATCCCTGCTTCGCTTGGGCAGTTGAAAAAGCTTACTAGCTTGTGAGCATCTTAAACTCTAATTTCCGCTGTAATTTGTCATATTACAGTCCTTTGAATCTATCTATTTCATTCTTCTTATGAAGCAATGTCTCGAACAACTTTCTGGTGGGGCAAATACCTTCAGACGGAGTGCTCTCTGGATTTTCTGCGAACTCGTAAGATAATAAAACCCTTTTCTTTTTCTCTATGCAGAATTTAAAGGAGAATCTACAGTTACATTTCTACAGCTGATCTTTCTTAGATTTGGTTATATTTTGGGATGATATTTTCAGCTATAAGAACCATTTAACTAGCATATATCAGTGTAGATGAATTTAAAAAATGATTCTCAAACTGATGCATTGCCCCTACAGCTTCATTGGAAATCGTGATTTGTGCGGAAAGCAAATTGACCTCGAGTGCCATGATGATAGTGGAAACCCTTCTTCAAATTCCCAGTCATCAAGTAAAGCAATTATTTATCCTAGTAATTGTTCTGGTCAATATACAGTTTTTTTTGTGGCTCTATCAATAAAATTTATATATATATTTGGTGTCTCCTACATTATAGGTCAAAATCAAAAGAAAAACTCTGGTAAGCTGCTTATTAGTGCTTCAGCAACCGTTGGTGCGCTGCTCCTAGTGGCACTCATGTGTTTCTGGGGATGCTTTTTATATAAAAAGCTCGGTAAAGTCGAGAATAAAAGCCTTGCAATGGAAGTTGGTGGAGGTGAGCCGTGTTGAGTTTAAGCTTCTGTAGATATTATCTCGTATACTATTGGGAAATTTCAAGTTTCTCTTTTTCCCTAAAGGTTATCACTTTGTCAATTCAGGTGCGTCTATTGTAATGTTCCACGGAGATTTGCCTTACTCTTCCAAAGACATCATTAAGAAGCTGGAAATGTTAAACGAAGAGCACATCATCGGGTGTGGAGGCTTTGGAACGGTGTACAAGCTGGCCATGGATGATGGCAATGTTTTTGCCTTGAAGAGGATTTTGAAGTTAAACGAAGGGTTTGATAGGTTTTTTGAAAGGGAGCTTGAGATTCTTGGGTGCATCAAACACCGTTACCTCGTGAATCTACGTGGATATTGCAATTCGCCAACGTCAAAGCTACTGCTGTATGATTACTTGCCTGGTGGTAGCCTTGATGAAGCACTTCATGGTAATGACCAATCTACACTTTACAACTCTCTTCCATATTCTGAATGAAAGATTCTCTGAGAAAGTTTGTGTTTTTGTATTAGTAGAGAGAGGCGAGCAATTGGACTGGGATTCGCGTGTAAATATCATCATAGGAGCTGCGAAAGGGTTATCATATTTGCATCATGATTGTTCTCCTAGGATTATACATCGTGATATAAAGTCGAGCAACATTCTGCTTGATGGCAATCTCGAGGCTCGGGTATCGGATTTTGGTCTTGCCAAGTTGTTGGAAGACGAAGAATCTCATATTACAACCATCGTTGCAGGCACGTTTGGGTACTTAGCTCCAGGTAAATGCCCTTTTAAAGGAAGTCTTTCACTTACATGAAGATCTGATCTTTGAAATGCTGAGAGTTTCCTATTGAACAGAGTATATGCAAAGCGGTAGAGCAACTGAGAAAACCGATGTATATAGTTTTGGGGTTTTAGTTCTTGAAGTCTTGAGTGGGAAACGACCAACTGATGCTTCCTTCATCGAGAAAGGCCTTAACGTTGTTGGTTGGGTATGCAAATGAGATCCTTTTGTTCTTCGATATTTTGATATTTTGATTTGACAAACTTGACTGAAAAGGCTTTGGCTTGGTTGATAATATTTGCAGCTAAAGTTCTTGATCAGCGAAAAGCGGCCAAGGGAGATTGTTGATCCAAACTGTGAGGGGATGCAGATAGAGAGCCTTGATGCTCTTCTATCAATAGCAACACAGTGCGTGTCTTCGAGTCCAGAAGAGCGTCCCACTATGCATCGGGTTGTCCAGTTACTTGAATCAGAGGTCATGACACCTTGTCCCAGCGACTTTTATGATTCCAGCTCTGATTGATTTGCATGAATCCACCAGACGAAAACTCAGAGAAGAAGTAAACAGAGTCTGGTTTCTTGGGAAAATCTTCGAATACCCCCAGTGTTTCTATTCAATCTCCGGTTTTGCTCCCCAAGAAAATCCTGCAAATGCCAATGAAGAGCCAGTAATGGAAGATAGTCTTTGTGTTATGTTGCCATTTAATTTTCTCCCTCCAAGTTATACAAGATTCGAGCCATTCATTTTCATCTCCTTCTCCTATTTCTTCCGATTTTTTTGGTTAAAGACTTCTATTTGAACATGAAATTGAAATGTATAGTTGTCACCTTTGTAGAAACACTCCTCTCTGTCTCTGAATTGTTCATCTTTTGAAATAATCCACGTTTCTTTTTCTCCTTCCTTTCAAGATACAGTCTCAGAATCAATCTTGATTCAGTTGCTGAAACTGATATCGATATCAAAACTGAAGCACTGGCTTATACAAGACAGGCAACACAATAGGGTTTCAAATCAGAGAGGCAAGTATATACAACATACAGCATGCAAAGTGCTTTGACTAAACAAGTTGGGAGACAGTACACATCAAAGACAATAGAAAGAGTTTATTAACAATTTAACATCACACAAAAACAGAGTTAGAAGCAATGTATGGTGTAAGTTGTAACTTTTACTATGCTTGGACTTTCACACCGTATAAAGACTTCTAGGCAGCCTTCTGCACTATCTCGAATGGTTGCTCCACCAAGATACAGCGTTGTGATTCCTTCTGCAGCCCAGTAACTGAACAACGTCTCCACATTTACTCTGTAGTCTTCAGGGAAACAGGCTAGGCTAAGGAAGCAGTGCTTTAAACACACTGGCAAATCTTCGTAGCTCAAACACAATACTCGGTACACCGAATTGAGATTCTTGTTATCTAAACCAGATCCTCCTACGATGTTAGGTCCAATGTTTTCATATACTTTTTCCCACTCGGGAATCGAATGTTTCCCAGCTAACAAACCTCCCAACACCTTAACAGCTAATGGTAGTCCTCCACAATTTGTAACCATTTTCTTACCCATAGCTTCCATTTCTTCCACAGCCATAGATTCTGCACACAGTCACAAGGGGATATCTTTCAAGATTTGAGCCATAAAGCAGATATAAATAATGGTTTTGATCAATTTGTACCTGTTGTATCTCTACTAGGAAATGCTATCCTTCGACATAGTGTCCAACTTTGTTCATGAGTAAGGCTTCTCAGTCTAAAGAAAGAACATGTTGGATCTGCATGTAAACCTTCATTGCGAGAAGTAAGCAATATCTTCCAGCCTGAAAAATGTTTTATAGGATCATGATATGGATTAAGAGGCATATGAACAATCTGTGTATCTTGCTTTAACATTGTAAAAGGAAGCGACTCATGTATATAACAGCTCACCGCCGTTCTGTGGAAACACTGCTTTGATTCGGTCCCAATCTTCTACATTCCATACATCATCAAGCACAATCAAATATCTACCAGTTTCCAACAACTCAAAAAGTTTACACTGGAGCGTATGTTTATCCATCCCTAAAACGTCTGAATCATGCTGTCTTAAATCATGCAAGATCCTTTGCAAACATGTTTCTGTGTAAAATCCTTGGAAACACAGACCCATGTGAACCCATCAAAGTAACGGCGTACCATGTCGTGATGGAAAACCTGTCTAGCGAGAGTGGTTTTACCAATACCTCCCATACCAGATATAGAAACCACTTGAATGTTGTTATTCCCAACCAAACGCTCAACTAAATCTTCAACACTCTTTTCCACCCCGACAAGATCTGTCTCCGAGTTCTTAGGAAATGTTTGTCTGATCTCTCTTTGTCTATGCTGCAGAGGCAGCAAAGAACCACCACCATCAATGATTTGTAGTATTCCAACGCTCTGCATCTCTCCAATCACATCAGATATCCTCATAGTTATGCCTTTGATATCTGAATCAAACTTCCTGCGATCTGGTAAGAAGCAAGCGAGCCTTCTCATTGATTCCTTGATCCCTTTTACTTTTGCTCGTTCTTCATTCAGTAGAAAAGTTTCAGTTATATCCTCAGCATCATACACAATGTCTTTGACATCATCCAAGAAGTTTCTCACTCTGCCACTGTCGTGTTTCTTGGCATCTGCATCGTTCAACAAGGACTGTAACCTTCCCAGCTGACGTTGTAGCTCAGAAACTTGCTCATGAACTCCCTGAAACCGCTCAGATTCTCGACTCAGGAGCTCCCAGAGCTTCTGTACTCCGAACAACACAACTCCCTCGGCCATGATACTCTCCTGCTCAACCAGGAACACAAAAGTCAACAATTACAGATGGTGGGACCAACCAAAAATGACAAAGTTGAAAGATTCTCGGGGAGATTTCTTGTGAGGCATGGCGTTAAAAATTGATCAAAGAAAAACCACAGGGGTTAATAATTCAATCTCGTGGTTGACAACACAATAAATGGATACATCCCGAAACAAAGGTTTCATAATAATCCAGAGATATTTTCAATCAAGAATCCAAGATGCAGACCTAAGATTCTAAAGCAGATTCTAGTATTAACACTAAGAAAAAGCAGATTCAATCTGATAGGTTCTTATCACAATCAAGTCCAAATACAAAAAGCAGCAGATTAAAGCAAAACAAGAGAAATTAATAGAAATTTACCTCTCTTATGAATCAGCAGTGTGACTAGCTTCAGCTCACAGCGTTCTTTGGAAGAAAGAGAGGTGATTTTTTATTATTTTTTTAGAAGGACAAGTCAAAAGATAGATTTTGAGTTTTTTTTATGTCTAAAAACAAAAGATCCTCTTGTCCTGTAGTACTCTTTACTAATTTGACTAGAAGTTGACTGTGATTTGAAGGGCAGCGGTAGAGAATGTAAAAAGACCAGTTTTTGCGATAGATTCTATATAACACAAGAAAGTTTTTAACTTTCAGTTTCTTCATGTTCCGAACTCAACATCCAATTTGTAGTCTGATTCAGCATTGATTTAATCTCATCCATTTTTGGGTGTGATGATGGATCTCCAACAATAAATTCATGAGCAACACCATCAACCTCAACGGAGCTACAACCAGGAAACTTCCTGATCCCCAAATCTTTCATTTTCCTTCTCACATTCGTTACATCTTCCCATCTATTAGCACATGCATACACACTCGCAAGCAGAGTATGAGCACTCGAATCACTAACCTCCACTCTCTCAAGCTTCTCCGCTACTCGTTCAGCTAACTCCACATTCCCATAGTTCCGAGCAGCACTAAGCAAAGAGCAGTACACAGGAACCAGAGTTTCATCGCTTTCGTTTCGCATCTTCTCTATCAATCCCTCAGCTTCATCCAGCAATCCAGCTCTGCATAGCAAGTCAATCATACAGCTGAAATGCTCTGCTTTCGGCTGGATCTTATGCACACTGGTCATCGAATCGAAAACTCTACGTCCTTCTGCTACAAATCCACCGTGATTACAAGCTGTTAAAACCGCAACAAAGGTTATATCGTCTAATCCAACACCGAGATTCTCCATCTCCTCATACAACTCCATTGCTCTCCCTGACATCCCGTTCATGGCAAGACCGTAGATAAGCGACGTCCAAGAAGCCGTGTCTCTCTCCTTCGTCTCATAGAAAACCTCTAGAGCTGTCTCTATGCACCCACATTTCGCATACATGTCCACAAGAGCTGTACCAACCACTTTATCCACCCTAACTCCGTTCTCATATATGTAACCATGTATCCACTTCCCTTGCTCTAAAGCTCCCGTCTGCGCACAACCTTTTAAAAGAGAGACTAGCACGAAGTTATCAAGCCTAACTCCCTCGGTTTGCATAAACCGAAACAGCTCCAAGGCCTCGTCAAACCGGTTAAACTGAACATACCCATTCATCATAGCTGTCCACAGAACAACATCTTTCACAGGACTCCTCTCAAACAACTCTCTACCTTCATCAACTCTACCATTACTAACGTAACCAGAGACCATACTAGTCCAACACTTAACATTCTTGCTTCTCAACGAATCAAAAACCGCTCTAGCCTTATCTAAACACCCGCATTTACAGAACATGTCCACCAACGCATTCCCAATCTTGACACTCATTTCAAACTCCGCAACAACATACCTGTGAATGCTTTCACCAATTTCAAGACTCTTCAAAGCAGAACAAGCTGAAAGAGTGCTCACAATTGTACCTTCTTCAGGCTTCAAATTACTCTCCAGACTCATCCGTTTGAAAACAGCAATGGCGTCTTCAAACCTCCCATGCCCAACGTAACTAGAAATCAGCCCGTTCCAAGAAACAACATCTCGTTGAGGCATTTCGTCGAACACTTTGTGAGTGATCTCCATCTTACCCAATGATGCGTACATTCCCATGAGTGAATTGCATACGTAAGCATCGAACTCGAGCCCGGCTTTCACAGCGTAGCCATGGACTTTCTCACCTTCTAAAACCTTCCTTAAACGCCCAATTGATTTCAGAACAACCGGTAAAGTGAAATTATCCGGGTACAAGCCTTTCCCTCGCAATTCAGCGAACAAAGCCAACACTTTCGTGAAGCTTTTAGTCTCGGCAAACGATTTGAGCATCTTATTGTACATCAGAAGTGATGGAGTTTGTACAGAACCCATATTCGCGGCAAAAATACTCCCTTCACACAGACTTGAAAGAAAAGCTACAACCTTTGTGGCGTTGAAGTTTTCTTTTTTATGTCCCGGCGTGAAGCTTTTTAAGGTTAGTCCCATTGAATATGATGAAAGAAGAAAGAAAAGGAAGGAAATTGAAATGTAAAAGTCGTGACCTTTGAAGTAAAACTGATTATTTATCAAAACAGAGAAACAGAGTCTTAAGATCCAAACCTTATCTTTATTCAAATAGAAGTAAGCATTACGAGAGAGATACTGAAACAAGAAACTGAAGAGAGAAGAAAGATCATTATCAACCATTTCAGAGTAAAAGTTAACAGAAGAAAGTAGAGGACCCATCAAACAAAAGATACAATAGGATTCTCTCACAAACTGCGTGAAGAAATCGACTCAAGAGTAACTTATGAAGTTATGATGATATACGTAAGAAAAAGGAAGAAAAACACAACAATACAGATCATATATACTTGTGGAAACGTATCATACTTTATGAAAGTAGATATATATGTATATATGTTAAAGAAAGAGACTTAGGGTATGGTTTGGCTCTCCTGTTTTGGGTTTGCCTCCTTTCCTTTGATACATGCTTTTTTGTTATAGGCTTCATTACTGCTTGAGATTTGCTTCCACAATCTTGCTTGCAGGAGCTTTCTCTTGTTTCTCCACATAAGCAGATGGAAACCATCCGGCTTTGCCCTTGTATTCTCCTTCTGACCAGCCTGTCCCAGCCACCTGAAATTTTGTTTCATCAAAACACAGCAAGATTGTTTATAGATCGATCTTTCTCTGTTTTGTATTGTTAACCAAAAGGGTGGCGGGAAATGTACCTGTCGGACGATTACATAATCATCAACCGCTAGACTCAGTTCACCTGGCGCTTGAGCATCAAAAGGGTGCACAACCTGTCGAAAAACAAGAAACCAAAACTCTTGATTCATTGGGGTTCGTATAGTTCAATTCTTGATACCGTTAAGTATTTCAAAAAGGCTTCACCTTTGCAAGAAAGTAGGAATCATTTTGACTGAGAAGTTGATGATCATCAGAACCATTGGACTTTTTGGACACCTCCTGTGGACTAGACTTGATTTCTTTCTGTGGACTGGTTTTAGTTTCTACTTCAGGACTAGACTTCAGTTCGTCCTGAGCATTGGATTTGGCTACTTCTTGGTGATTTGGTTTGATCTCTCCCCGAGGATTTGGATTCGTTTCTTCTTTGGGATGAGATACACTATCCTCTAAATGCAAAGGTAGCGATTTTGGTGATGATTCTATAGCTTCTTCTTCAGCAATCATCTGAACAAGAAAGACAATCCTTTAAATATGTATGTAGTCATAATTATCTGAAGTTTATCACAGAGCGTGTCACTGACCTCGGAATATAGCTTATCGAGGATATCAAGAGCATTACGATGATACGTTCTCTCGGCTTCAACCTGAAATCGTAATTTCATTTCATATCCAATCCACGGACCAGTTAAAAATCATGAGCTGAGATATGATTGAAGAAGAGCTTACCAGAGCACGTAAGCGCTGAGAAGTTATGTTCTGCTGCTGATTGTCAACTTCTAACATGGCCTTAGTAGCTTCTTTGCCAAGCGTTTTCATACTTGATTTGAGCTCAGCCAATCTCGATTCTGAATTCTTAAGCTTCATGTAGGTTTCTTCAGAGACATCAGATTCCTTCAACTTTGATCTTCTCCTCAACACATCTGTTGCCTATTCAAATTATTTTTAAAAAAAGGTTTGTTTTCACCACAAAAAGGTATATGTCGATAACAAGTTCAACGAGACTATACCTGCGCTTCGACTTCTTGTCTCAGCCTGTCATAGAGATTCACTAATTGCCTAGCATCCTCCAAAGGCGCACTATATATCATTGTACGAATTGGATCACAAACCTAACCAAATCAAAACATGAAGCTTCATTAATAATAGTTCTTGAGAGACCTGAAAGAATGAAATGAAAATGTTCCAAAACTTTTACCTGCTCACTAAGAATTCCGAGGAGAGATTCTCTCCCTTCTTCAACCGACTTGTAAGAGTTCCCAAAGTGATGTGCAATTCTTGAGAGAGGAGTGTTGGCATCCGGATTCTCGTCGCCATACTTCTTAAAATCTTCAGCAAACTTCAACCCTATGGATAACAGAAACATTCCAAAGAAGTATATATATATATATATAAATGCAAATGATACTGAACTATAGAAAGCAAGAACTTACCTATCTCTACAACTTTGGTGCCTGTTGCAATGAAACCTTCGAGTCCACGAACAAGATTCCTTTGCAAACGCTGTGAACAAGAAGAAAATCTCACAAACCAAACAGATGAGATTAAGCCTAAAAAGATTAAAAAAAAAAATTCTTACCTTTGCAGCCTTAGTAGAGCTATACAGATCTTGAAGTTTCTGATGACAGTGAAGCTCTTCTTCATCAACAACAACAGCATCCGCATTAACATGCCCTAAATGCTTCAAAACCGCCTGCACAAAAACCGGAACTTTTAAACAAATAAAGAAACCTACACAACCATTTCAATCTTTTCGGAAATCATGATGTAATCCATGGAAAAATCACTTCAAAATGGCAAAATTGATGCCACAACAAGCAAGGTCCATAACTTTACCTAAAATTAACCAATTCCTACGTCAGTATATAAATTACCAATCCTATCTGCCCCAAGACTATAAAATCAAACATCAGCACTTGAAAGATTCCTCCTTTATTGAAACCCACACAATAAATTATCCAGATTTTTCAGAGTAACCAGACATAAATCTAAGAAAAGCCATCTCGAGTAAATACAAAGAACAAAGAAATCTGGAAAAGGAAACTCACTTGCTGTTGCCTCGCGACTTGCTCTCTGAGCTTCGCCGCTTGCTTTCTAATGGCTTCCATGGCAAAAAAAACCTCTTACTATTTGGTTTTTTATTCCTCGCGTAGGTCGGTTTCTTCACTACCAACCGATAGATCGAGAGAAGGCAAACAAAAAAAAACACCGAAATATTTCGCAGAAAAGGGTGGTTGAGATTTCTCAAACAGAGGAAGCGGAGAGAGAAAGTCGAGTTTTTGACATGGATCCTTAACTCTTTACAGGTAACAGTCAGAAACAAAGAGAAAAGGTAACGACAATGGAAATTATAGTGGAGAAAGTTGAAGCTACTCCTTCGGTTTCATTTCAACACTTTCTTTATTGAGTGGTCTTTAATTTGGTGGTACTCACTCATTAACTACCATTTTTTTCTAATTTTAATCGGTCTTAATTTTTTTATTTTCCCTCATCACCTTCATGTATGAAAGCTTATTATTCTGTCCATTTTTTAATGACAAATAATTACTGGACCGCAAGAATAAAATTATTATCATATCTTCATTTATATAGTTTATTTACCGAAATTCCTTTTCAACATGAGGTTATCATATAACTTCAGAAAAATTTAATGAAGTCTATTTCAATTGATAAGTCCGTTTAACTTAAAATAACCAGTCACCGGAAAAATATAAAAAATAAAGATTAAATGACTAGTCATTTTCGTCGGTCTGGCTTGGCTTCACTTGTTGAATTTTTTCGGTTTTTAAATTTGTAAAGAAAAAATCTGTGGAATAGAACTTATTTAATTTATACTGAATATTCGTTACATTGCCATAATTATGAATATCAGATAATCAAACGACATTGTTTTGCTTCAGAAGTTCCCAGAGCAATCCATGCTCTGAAACGACACCGTTTTCTTCTCCAGGTCGTATCCGACAAGAAAATCCATCTGAGCCATATTACCGTAGATAGGAACTTCAGTTGTCGGAATCATACTCAAACAGACCATATCTTCGCTCACTTTCACGAACGCGTTCATCGGACTTAGCTTCACGTCGGCGTCAGTGAAATGCATCGTTATCTCCGGCAAACCGAGTGCTTTACCTCCGGCTCTGAAACAGTGCGACAAAATCCCCTGTGGATCACTCACACGCTTAGCTCCCGTCACAGACTCTTCCACCGCCGCACCAAAATCATCGTAAAAGCCAGATTCAAGAAGTGTGAGCGTCGTCCCGGAATCGATTATGATGTTCCCTGTGGCCTTCGACGACTTGCCTCCGTTTAAACCGTCTCCTGCGGTGTATGGAAGCTTGGTTTTGCCAACAGTGATTGCTTCGAGAGTCAAGAAATAATAAGTGTTAGGGGTTTTCTCGACTAACGGAGTTGTGAGCACAGCGGAGTCTTTGCTTGGGGTGGAAGGTATCGAGTTGGTTCCTAGGTTTATCACGCTTGTGCCGTTTTCTGTAGATGCCGTGTGTGACAAGCAATAAGAGAACTTCTTCCCTATCGAAGAACCTAGCTGCGAAACCAAAGACAACGGTCCTCCTCCGAGTCCGATGATTCCTGATCCGGTTTCTTCGAACGTACCGCCGTTGTTGTAACCGCAGCCGAAGATTGTACCGGGGAAAGAAACGGGAGAGCCATCGGAGGAATCGATGGAGATAGTTTCCGTCGCAACGTCGCCTTTGGAGAACGATTCGTCTCCGTAAGAGTAACGGTATTTGCAGGTGTTTCCCGACTCGTCGCATCCTCCTTCGGTTTCGGACAACGCGTGGCAGGCTTTGGAGTCGCAAGATGCGGTTTTGTAGGTGGAGGATTTCTTCTTGTCGAAGAGTGGAGTGTTCTGTTTGTAACACTGTTGACATGGTTTGCATTGGATCCATGTTAAGTCACTTCCGGTGTCGGCGATGGCGAGGACTTTCGACGGTGGAGTGCCAATTGAGATGGTCATGAAGTACTCGCCGCCGTTTGCTATTAGACTTGATTGGAGATCGGTTTTGGTTGTGAACTGGCGGGAACGGGAGATTGAGCGGAGGAAAGCGGCGTTGAGACGGTCGGAGACGGTGTGGTGAGGGTTGTAGAGTGGAGAGTGAGGAGAGTCACGGTGGATGAGCTTGATGGTTAGGTTTTTGTGGTGAGCTGCGGAAGAGGAGACGTAGAAGATGGTGATAGCTAAGAGAGAACAGTAGAGGAATGTTTGAGTTGCCATTTTTCGATTGTTGTTTGAAAGTTTGTGGTGGAGTGAGTGAGAGTTTGCAAGGGTTTATATAAGGTAGGAGAGGGAATGCAAAAAGATTGAAACGGCAAAAGGAGTTAAGAAGGTAATTGATGAATTAGCCTTAATTTTCATTAAAATTGCTAAGTAAATGAGAGGCTTAGTGGAGATGTGGGATGATAATGGCTAAGAAATAAACAGATACGACTTCTGAGTTTTCTTTTGGTTCTTTTTTACTTCATCAAAATTTATATATACAACAATTTGTCCTGAATTACGATGGAAATGGAATGCCGATGAAGATAATTTTAAGAGCTAGATCATGTAATGTTATTTTTCTTATTCATATATGCAAATCCTTTGTATTATATCTTAAACTGATATCTTAAATCCTTATATAGTTCTAATTGAATAAGTTTATATAATTCTACTCAAATAAGTTTATATACACCTATATACTTCTACTTGAAAAAAAGAAAGGTTTATGTTCATTTTTGTGTGCTAAAACTTATGTTCGTTTTTCATCAATGACACTTTGACAGTTTTGTTAACCCAACCAAACTGAATCTACTAGAATCAGGTTTCAAATTGAAATGATTATTTTAAAATATAATATTAAATTAAAGTTTATTTATACTTCCGGTTATCTTTATATATTTTTGAGCATTTCTCCAAACCGAAAAACTAAAGAACCGAAACAACAGAACGAACGAAACCAAAAACCCAATTCCACAGGCCCAATTCCAATTAATCATCAAAATCGAATCTTGCTGAAGCTTGTTTCGCCATTTTGATGATCTCAGCTGCTTCCTTCCGCATTTTCTGTTGTTCTTTGAGTGCTTTCTTCAGCATTTTCCTCTGATCTTCCACTGAAAATGCATTCAAGTCAGATAAGAACTCGTCGAAGTCGATGTCTCTCTCACGGCCAGAGGAGTAAGCAGCAGTACTAAACGATTTGCAGCTTTTCAGATCCTTCTTCTTGGTGGACGATTTTTCCGGTGAACGCCAAATGAATCCGATGATTTTTGATGGAGATAACTTATTTAACCATGAGCTCGAAGACTTGGATTTCGATTTTGATTTCGATCTCTTTTCTGGTTCTGAATCCGACGATTTTGGCGTTGCTAAACCAATAGGAGACGATGAAGACGATGATCCGATCCTGCGTTTCTCTTTACGAAGCTTCTCCGTTTGTTTAGCTGGCGAAAAAATCTTACTGTCTCTCGATAAGCTCGAGCCGATGTTTCCAGAATCCGAGAAGTCTCCACTTCCATCTGAGACAAGCCCAGCTCTCGAACTTTTCTCAGTACCCGATTTCACACCCAGATCGCGTTTCTCTGCCGAGAAAATCCTCGAATCCTCATCAAAACCACCATTTATACCTTGATTTCGTCGGTTTCCGGAGAAATTTCCCTCTTCTTTCGGGTGACCCGCGACGCTCTTGGACTGCGCGAGATGCTTCTTCCTAGTCTTCGACGATGACGACGAGACCGGGTCGGGTCGTGAAGCTGGAAGAGATTTGAGGCGACGGAAGCGAGTTTCGAGATCATCAGGAAGTGTAGAGTCGGTGAAGCCAGAACAATTGATTGCAGCTACTTGCTCCAAAGCCGAAAGCTCCTTCGCCTGCGAAACAAGCTCTTCCACTGCTGAATCGTCTGTATCCGAAAGATACCCAAAATCCGCCATTATCAGTGAAAAATGAAAAAGTTCTTAGGGTTTTTGCTTTTCGAGGAGCAACAAGAGCGAGAGAGAGAGAGAGAGAGAGAGAGAGAGAGAGAGAAGAAAACGATGAAAGTCTTCCACAACGGCTAATTCATGATTTTGTCAGTTACTGGCTCCGATACTGTGCGCGTCAATTTTGATGACTTCTTTTAGTGTGGAACCCACAAAATGCGTTTTGTAGCCGTGTTTAATTTAATTACTTTATTAAAGACATTTTTAATTAAAGTTGCGCGAGAAGATTCCATTAGGAGAGTGATGTGATAACAAGAACATGTTTAACTAAATTTGCTTCACTATTATTTATTCTTCCTGTCACCTAAAAAAGTAAAAAAATGTGGTTTTCTTGTGTTACAATTTGATTTACAAAGTATCAAGATCCTTGTACGTTGAAGTCACTGGAACTCGGTCTTGTTCAAGCCGGTGATAAACCGGTTTGGTTCTCATGTACAGCAAAAGACTTGAACCGAGGCCAACAAGGGACAAGCAACCCCAAAACAGAAACGTTTTGAAGTAGCAATCTCTCCCAATGCAAACGACTGAGTCCGACACGACTGTTCTTATCTCAGGGCTTGCGTTGGCTTCGTAGATGGAGGCAGCGATGAAACCGTATAACAGCGAGCCGATTGGTATGTTTGTGATGAGAATGTTGTGGTTAACACCTACGCTATTAGGTCCAAAGAGATCAGATGTTATGGATACAGCAGCCGCAAATATGAAGCCCGAGCTCAGACCGATTAACGCGGTTGCGGTCTGCAATGCTGTTTGCTGTAAAGATGACATCGCCAGTAAAAAGAAAGCGATGGGAGTTGGCAAGAGAGCGATTGCAAACCATCCGGTTCTTGTCAAACGAAATCTCCTGCAAGATCCAATCATCTCAAATGAGACTTTGACATAAATTTCAGAGTAGAAGTTCCTAATCTTTACAAGTGACACTTACTTGTTCATAAAATCTGGTGCGGCAGAGAGCAACCGGCCAAAGAAGGAGAAGGAAGAGTAGATTGTGACTAAGGTTGTAGAGCTTTGTCCTAAAGACTGAGCAATCTGACCCAAATTGTTGCTATAAACAAGGCCAATTGTGCCACCACAGAAATACGTGACGTAGTATAACCAAAACTCCAATCTACTAATGAGCAACCGAAACGAGTGTTCGTCACCGAGCCTCACAGTACCCGTATTTTCATACTCAGTATTGCTGGAAACAGACGCTTTTTGCATCTTGAGCTCATCCATGTTAAGCATAACGTAGCCAGAGGCTTCATGGTGTAAACGGTGGTTAACGGCAGGAAGAAAGTAATCCCAAGCATAAACAAGAAGAGGAGCACACAAGGGGAACACAAGAAGGAAGATAGCTCCAGTGAAATGCAAACCAGGCGATGCACTCGAACTCGATAAGAGGAGGTGGAAGCTCGTCATGATAGCTAATACATTCAAAATGGCAAACACATTGGAGTCATGCCGTCGTGACTCACTGTCCGGTGTAGGGTCTAGAGATGGTTTAGTGAGAACTGGGATAAGGGCAGCGAAGGAGACGATAAGGGGAACAAGAGAGTTCAGCAGAAGGTATAGATTTGAGGACGACGGGTTGATTGCATTGAACGCGAGTGAGTATAGTGCTGCACTGATTCCATTGAAGCTCACCGTAAGAGATAAGGCCAGAGCACGATTGTTGGGGAAATGGCGGATGCAGAGGATGAAACACGCTGTGTTGAACCAACATATGCTTAATCCAGCCAACAAACAGCAGAAGAAGACCTATTCATGTTAAAAAGAGCTTAATCACTATCAAAGCAAATTTCTTGATCTTGGTGAAAAACGATTTCTTTGTTAAGGTTCTCTCTAATCAATGGTTTGATTCTACTAACAAAGAAAATCATTCCCTATGTCTTCAAGTAGATATCGATTTCAATGTGAATCTTCCGAATTCAAATAGCAAAAATGTCAGATGTGTTACCAGAAAATAAGGCAGAGTGATGATTTCGGTGATGACGAGCCACTGAACACCATAGCCAACGAATCCCATACCCGCCGCGGCGAAAAGAACGGCGGAGAGAGGGAAATAACCTAGAGCGATCCCGGAAGACCAACCGAAGGCTTTACCCAAATCAGAAGCCACCGCGAGGTAATTCAACCTCACCTGAGAAATTCCGAGTACTGATTTAAGATGAGAGGAGTACGCCGAGAAATCGAAGTTAGTCCCCGTCGATGCTTGGATCCAGATCGCCGCCACGAGAACAGTCCATTTCCGCCATCGGCCGAACATGGTCCTGAGAGGCGGAGGGTGTTTCCGGTGAAGCTTTCCTTCGCCGTCGTCGTCGAAGGAGGCGCGGTTTGGCCGGAGTTTGTCTGAGGCATCTCTGATACGAGGTCTCATATACAAAGAAGATTGATAATGGGATTTGGTGAGGTGATGTTGACCGATGGAAGAAAAAAGGCGTACAGAGTTGTTGATCTTCCGCTTTTGATCTTTTTCTCAACAAGGGCTTTTGGGTATTTTTATGGAAAATATTTTAACGTGCATACCACTAATTCGAAATTCTTGGAGAAATGGTACAAAAAGACCAAATATTTGTTTTAATCGAAGTTTACCAAACAATTGCCGGATTTAATTCGGTTTTAGTTGAGGGACCCTTCTCTCTCTTCTCTCCTCCAAACTTTTGAGAGAGAGAAAAGATCTTTTCTTTTGCTTCTCCGATCTTTTTCGGAGATTTGTTTGATAGTATAATTTTAATCTTTTCGTACTTTCTCTTCCGATCTAATTCGGATCTTCCCTCCAGCTATGACCGGTTTTTGTTTCCGGCTTTGTCCGGATTTGCTCTCTCTTCCTCCTGCAGTTCTGTTTTGATTGCTATAATCCCGTTTGATTTCTACCAAATCTTTCTCGCTTTTTACCTTAATCAGTCTTTTTCAAGTATATGAGAGTAATATCTTCGCCGAACTTGAGCCTCGTGAATAGGCTCTAGCCTGGTGAATAGGCTTCAAGGCGGAGCTTCTCGTTTCGGGGGAAAGTCGGATTGTTCATGGCAGAGAGTTAGTGAATTTCTGGCTGGTAATCGACGGTTTTCATTGCAGCAGGATCAATTACATGAAGGAACTTGGAATCAATGTTTGAGATTGATGATCCCGGGAAGATGTAAAATATATCTCAACTCTGTAAGAATTTCACGGTGCCGGAAATCTCGAGGCGGTGTGCCGGAGACATTGAGGCGGTGTGACATCCTAAGCTTCAACCCTAGCGCTCGACACGTGGTGCCCATATGTCTGTTTTTCCTTAATCGGTTATCATGTAATTAGATTAAGGCTGAAATTAAATTGTAATGGGTTGTTAGACTCTGCTTCCTGTATTCGGGCCCATTTTAATGGGCTTTTTTAATAAAATTATATGGCTGGCAAAAAAAAAAAAAATATCGGTTTTAGTTGACATTGAAGTGTACCAAAAAAAAAAGTGTAATTATCAAAATAAACGTAAATGAATACAAGAGCTGAGAAGTAACTTTTGTAGCCAAACATTTCGATTTTAATTTGTACTTTTATAGTAGTAGTTAAGATTTGGTGTGTTTAGTTCCTGCAAAACGTAAAAGGTTGTATCTGCTCCCTGCAAAATCAAATCAAACGTAAAACATTTGTATAACAATGATCTTCTATGTGGGCTTAATCCGAGCCCATGGCTACAGTTTTCTTTCCCATTATCGATGAGTTTCAGTCGTTTTGCAAAATTCAATTTCTTTAAATGTCTTAACCTGGAAAACTAAAATATTTCGTAAGAAGACAAAAACAATTCGTCTGCAAAATGCTGACTTGGCATCTACGTGGCAGTTGTTAAGAGATGACAGTATACGCAACGCAACCGCTTAAAGCATATTCTCTCAGCAAAACCTTCAATTTAATTTCCCAGCTGTCACTCTTTTTCTTTTCAAACGACCTTTTTTGTTTTGTTTCCTCTTCTTTCTTCTTCTTCTTCTCTCTGGAGATTTCGCTTTCATCAATCAGAATCCTATCATTTCGCCGTCGTATTTCTGTTCGATTCCCGTCAAAACTTTCGTCCTTTTGTCCATCTGTATCGTGATTCTTAAAAGGTATATCCAAAAATTGTTCGCTCTGTAGGGTTTAATCATTTTTTTCACCGAACAGATTAGAATTCGTACTTTTGATTCGAATTAGACTTCCTTTTATAGTGATTAAAGTTTCTATCTTGTAGTCCAAATTTGATGATTATGATTTTTCATGGTTTTGATCAGATGGAAGCACATTCAGAGGGATTAGGAACTCGGGCGATTACTGAAAGCTCTCCGGATTTGCTGAAGAACACGCCCTCTAACATTGCGAGATTAGAAGATGTAATTGAGCATTGCCATGGCAGACAAAAGTATCTCTCTCAGACGAGAAGTCCTTCCGATGGGAGTGATGTTCGTTGGTATTTCTGCAAGGTCCCTTTGGCTGAAAACGGTGAGAGTCTTATTGGCTTTGTTTTCTGCTTCTTCCAATGTTGATGTAACTCTTCTATGATAGGAACAATGATAATTTGTGTTTGTATATCCAAATTCCGATGGCATGGTTTTGTTATTCTTCCACAGAATTAGCTGCTTCAGTACCACGCACTGACGTAGTAGGAAAGAATGAGTATTTTCGTTTTGGTATGAGGGATTCTCTTGCGATTGAGGCTTCTTTCCTTCAGGTTCTTGTTCTTATTCTAATCTTTTGTGGTTTTACAATGTATTTGTTTATCTCAACAAGTTATTGACTCTTGGCTGTTTGGATGGGAAATTTTTGCAATAGAGAGAGGATGAGTTGCTGTCACTCTGGTGGAAAGAGTATGCAGAATGCAGTGAAGGCCCTATACCACAAGTTAATCCTAAAAAGAAATCAAATAAGCCGTCAGCTGAAACTTCTTCAGAAGATTCTGTGTCCTCTAGTCTATATGAAGTTGAAGAGGAGAGAGTTGGTGTACCTGTTAAGGGTGGGCTATATGAGGTACCACAGTTCCGTGCAGAGATTTAGAGAATGTGTTTATGAATTTTCCTGTAAATTTAACATGTTGAACCATTGGAGTCCTTATTTTCAGACCCATGTTTCTGACCATGGAACCGGAATGTTGCAGGTGGACTTGGTGAGAAGACACTGTTTTCCTGTGTACTGGAATGGAGATAATCGGCGTGTGCTTAGAGGCCATTGGTTTGCTCGTAAAGGTGGCATAGACTGGCTTCCAATTCCAGAAACTGTTTCTGAACAGTTGGAGATTGCATATCGTAACAAGGTTTGATGTCTTTCTCTGGAGTATATTCCGATATATGATCCCGGATTTACTAAAAACTAGAGGATTTTTCTAACTGATGCTCTTACTGTTTGAGTTTTTGGTTTGAAGTTTCAAAATCAGCTAAAGCTATGTCTTTTTTTTTTTTGCTCTCTTCTCTCTCTCTTTTTTGTTGTTAAAGGTTTTGTACGTATATATTGCTGATTATTTGATAACAGCACCAATGAGTTTGGATTTTGTTCATCCAGGTTTGGCGCAGAAGAAGTTTTCAACCCTCTGGGCTTTTTGCAGCTCGTGTCGATTTGCAGGGTTCCTGTCTGGTATGTATTTCGGTTCATGGGTAAAAAAGTTGAAAATTTATTTTCAGCTGGATGGTTGCATAGATAACATTATCCTAAGGTGTTAATGTAGGGACTCCATGCTCTCTTTACCGGAGAGGATGATACCTGGGAAGCTTGGCTTAATGTTGATCCCTCTGGATTCTCTGGCATTGTTGGATATACCGGGAATGGAATTAAGTTGAGACGCGGTTATGCCGGCTCCTACTCTCAAAAACCTACACAGGTTCTCTTAATGATTCTGAATGTCTTTTGTTAATTTCATTTGACTCTATCTTTCCCACTCTATGCTAGAAAAGTAAATTAAGTTTCACATTGTATATTATTCTTGTTCGCTGGTATAGGAAGAACTACGCCAACAGAAGGAGGAAGAAATGGATGACTATTGCTCTCAAGTATGTCTGACTATAGAGCATTTGCATATAGAGCATCTGATTTTTACTGTCAAGTTATTTTCAAAATATCTCGAAGTTTTTAAGCTTCTTGGAACTATTCTTTTGTGTGTGTCCAGGTCCCTGTTCGGCATCTCGTATTTATGGTTCATGGTATTGGCCAAAAAGTAGAAAAGTCCAACCTTGTTGACGATGTTGGAAACTTCCGTCAAATCACAGCAGCTTTAGGTGAACGTCATCTAACCTCTCATCAGCGAGGCACTCAAAGAGTCCTCTTCATCCCATGTCAGGTGGCTATATATAAATCCATTTTCTTCTTTCTGTTTTTTCGTTGTATAGTATGATTTTACTTCATATAACTTTCTTTCTCTGTATTGTTTTTGTAGTGGAGAAAGGGTCTAAAGCTAAGTGGTGAAGCTGCTGTTGATAAATGTACTTTGGACGGTGTACGGCGTCTGCGAGAGATGCTGAGCGCAACTGTTCATGATGTGTTATACTACATGAGCCCCATTTACTGTCAGGCTATAATTGATTCGGTATTGCAATTCACATTTTTGATTTTCTCTTTTTGTTAAAAGTGCTACATGTGATATAGTTTTATAGAAGCCTTATACTTTTTCAGATATCATATTGTTACTACCATATTCTGTATCTTTACAATGTGTGCTTCCTTGCATCTTTCAGGTTTCAAACCAGCTGAATAGACTGTTTTTAAAATTCCTAAAGCGGAACCCGGGCTATGATGGAAAGGTACCCATCTGGTTTAGTCATCATCCTCTGACTAGTGTAAGCTCTGATTAAATAACTCATGTTCTGTATGGACGTTTTACAGATTTCCATTTATGGACATTCTCTGGGGAGTGTTCTCTCCTATGACATATTATGTCATCAGCACAATTTGTCATCCCCATTTCCAATGGATTCTGTATACAAGAAATTTTTCCCAGATGAAGAATCTCCTCCAATTTTAGCTCGCGCTGACAAACCTTGTAGTTCGCATCCATCTTCAAATCCTGAGCCAGAGAAATCGAATACTGAGGAAATCACTGGTGAAGATAATAACATGATGGCTAAAGAGTCAACGGTGTTGGAGCATCACCATGTCATCCAGGAAGCTCCTTCATTGATTTCTGACTCTCTTGTGGACAGCGTGGGTTTGGAAAGAAGAAGCAGCCAAGAAGATGACCATCATGATTCTTGTGGTGCTACTTCCTCACAGGATGGACCAGACGGAGCCGACTGTAGAACGCCTGATTCTTCTTCATCCTGTTCTCCAGAACAGTCATTGGAGAAACAACGTCTCAGTTCTGATAACGAGGAGACGATCAAGTTATTACGAGAAGAGGTAAATATCGACACTTTCAACTTCTCAGCTCTTTGATGAGATTATGCAGTTTAGGTTCTTTCGAGTTTTCAACACACGTGTTCACAGCATCTGATACTTTCTTAGTTTTGTCATTTGTGCTCTCTGTGGAAGTGTTGTCCAGTTTCTTTGCTGTCTGACCGGAACAGAAAAAATATAGAATTTCTAATTAATGGTGGAATTTGTTATCACAGGTGAAATCACTGAGGTCAAAAGTAGAGCAACTGCAATCAGAAAATGCCAGAATATTGACGGACGGTATTCATTCTTACCCTTGATCTCTATCTTTCCCATATCCCGAGTTGTGTTTGATCTCTATCATGTACATGAGCTTAGTGATAATATGAAATGGTGTTATCAACAGAAAAAGACATGACATCTGTGGTGCCTGAGCAGCTCATTAACGAGAAGGCGCCATCGAAAGGTGCCAATGCACCTACAAGCTATACTCCTCATATCAAGTACCGAAAGCTCGAGTTCAAGGTGTGGGATCATAGGATTTAAATGCCTGTCTCTCATTCAGAAACCACACTGAAAAAAATCTCATCCTAACTTTTAACTGCATATTCTTCTCAGGTTGACACTTTCTTTGCAGTTGGGTCTCCTCTTGGAGTCTTTCTTGCCCTTCGAAATATTCGTCTTGGCATAGGTAACACCTGTTCAGTAGAGCTTCTCAATTTTTTTTGGCTTTATACATTATGAAAACAAAACCCACGGATAAACAATTCATGATTTTTCATGTATCTTCTTTACTCTGCTAGTGCCTTACTTGTCTACCTTTCTTTGCAACGTCTCTTTATATGTTGTAAAATCTGTTCATCATGTCTTAGGTAAGGGAAAAGATTACTGGGAAGAGGGGAATGTTATTGAAGAGATGCCAGCTTGTCGTCGAATGTTCAACATTTTCCACCCCTATGATCCTGTTGCATATAGGTTAGTCTTCTTGTAAAGAGAACAGTGTGTAGCTAGTTTATAATCTCGTCTCTATTACGTTCTTTTGCAAGCTTGAAACACCAAAACTGAAGTGTGTTCACGCAGAGTGGAGCCACTTGTCTGCAAAGAGTACCTCCCCAAACGACCCGTGATTGTTCCTTACCACAGAGGTGGCAAGCGGTTACATATTGGAATACAGGTAACTGGAATCTCTTGGTTTGGTGGTTCTGTTTTACTTCCTCTGCTAAATCGTTTCTTCTATGTGATGCTCCATAGGATTTCAGAGAGGATTTTGCGGCGCGTTCCAAGAGAGTAATGAATCATTTCGATTCAGTAAGGGTATGTGTTTTCCGGACTTGTTATTAGTTGTCTCTATGTTTAACATCTTTTGTAATTCAATGTACAATCTCATGCAGACAAGAGTTCTCACTATTTGTCAATCCAAAAGCGCGGATAAACTAGAAGGTTAAATACTCTACTACTTTGCAAGCTTTTTCACTTCCCTTTGATGGCTTCCAATGGCATCTCTTAATGTTACTTGCATGCGTGATGGAACAGAAACAGAAGAAAGTGATGACGAAAAGGATGTAAGGTCCTATGGTTCCTTAATGATAGAGAGATTAACGGGAACTCAAGACGGTCGAATAGATCACATGCTCCAGGTGAAGTTTTGATACATTTCCTCCTAATTGATAACTGTTTACTTTTCCTTTGCATTCACTTTTCCTGCGAACGCTGTGATTTGAAGAATAAACACGCACCGGACATGGCTAAAGCTCGCTAGCTTTCATATAATAACTGCTGATATATTTGGGTGTTGCAGGATAAAACCTTTGAGCATCCGTATCTACAAGCCATAGGAGCTCATACGTAAGTGAAACTCTTTATTGATAACACATTACTTTTATGTTTAGAGCCAAGAACTCAAAGATTGTTAATATATTGTGCAGAAACTATTGGAGAGATAATGATACTGCTCTTTTCATAATTAAACACTTGTATCGCGAGTTATCAGACGAACCAAACTCACCCACACCCACGGAATCCACGGAAGGAGATGATAGTCCAAAAGTTTCAAGCAGACCTCATAGCTGGATAGACAGAGAGACTGATGATGCTGATGAAGAGCTTCCTTTAACATTCTCCAACAAAGAAATCGCCAGAAGCTTCTCCGCAGATGCCAAGAAATATCTGAAGCAGCCTTAAAGACTTTAACCATAGGTTTAGATATCTGAAATCCGCTCCCTGATTTTGTTTTTTGTTTACTGTGCATAAGTAACATATAGTGCATAAAGTGTGAAAAAGAAAAACTCAGGCTCCATGGCAATGCCTCATTGTAACCATAATTTTACAGATAATAAAGAAAACGATGTAAAGCTTCTTCCTTTGAGCTTCTTTTTTCGTCGTTCGCTGAGCTTTGTTTTCAGGTATGGAGTTGAAGATGTTTAGCAGACATTGGCTGAAAAACAGAGTCAGACTCTAAAGCTGCAGCGAGTTCAGGCCACACTATAGCAGAAACTGACCACGAGCCATCGTTGCAGGCGCTAGGTCGCTGGTTAAGGTAACCAACTCCTATCTTCTCAATCGTTGAACAGACAGTTCCAAGGAAAGGAGCACCAAATCCAAAATCCAACTCAGCCACAGGAAACCGTCGTCCTGAAGACAAGACCAAAGCTGGTCCTTCTTGTCCAAGAACCACCCGAGCCAACATCAGTCCAGGTCGGTGACTCTCGATCCAATCTATCAAATCTGTGAAATGTGTATCGTTCGTCACTTCAGTTATCGATTTATGCAAAATGTTTGCTATCTCTGATACATGGTTTTGCTTCAGGTTTTCGACAGTGTCTTCACCTACAGCTATAGACAAGACGTTTCCTATGTAGCTCGAGGTAACGGTCTCAAGTCTTCCTCGACCGTCAACAAGCCAGCCCATCTTGCAGGTTTTATAACCACTCTCTATGGAATCCACCATTTTCTTCCACACATAAGCGGAGAAAGCTTCGATCTTTGTCCTTCTCTCTCCGTTTACAGTAGCTAGAGCTTGCAACGCGTTTATGCTGGAAGCATCAATGTGATAGAGACGCTTGATGAGCGGTTTTGGCGTTGGTATGTTCTTGATATCCTCCTCGCTGCATTTTATGAATGTTTTGTCTAAGAGAGGGTGGTAATGTGGAGGAGAGCGCGCTCGGAGGAGATATCTCCGGTGATCTGGTAGACAAGAAACCGGCTGATTTCTTGATATCTCTGACCACGAGGTGAGGAACTTCCCGAAAGAGCTCGCGTCTCCTAAAGCGTGATCGAATGTGAAGGTTACACAGCGGCCTCCGCATTCGAAGTCTGTGGCTTGAACCTGTAAAGGGAAATCCTGGTTAACCCGGACCAGCTTTGCTTGGAGCAACGCGTCGAGATTGTAAAAATCGAGACTTTTGAGATCTAAATTAGCTCGTGCTTCTACTAGCAAAGCTCCATGGTTGTTGCAGACGATCATAGGCTCTTCTTGAGAGGTTTCGTTTGGAACGATCTGACCCGCGAAAGGATGGAACAAGTTAAGAGTTTCAGCGAGAGAAGTTTTGAGGGATTTGACGATGGAATCAAAGGTTGATGATAACTGAGGTTGCTTGGTGTAGAAGTAAAAGTAGGTCACCGGAAAACGGCCTGAAAGAAGGTCAAGATTTGAGAGAGATACGCTTTGAATGTTCTCCGGTTGGTGGCGGGAAGCTTTCACTATGAACTCTCCGGTAAAACTAACATCTAACATTTTCGTTTTCAGTTGCAACAAGTGTAAACTCTCAATGGAAGATTATGAGCTGAATGATGATATTACTTGTAAAAAAAGAATGATTTTATTCGTGATAGTAGATATTCAAAAGGAATGATCATTATGTGTTTGGAAACATCATATATATTTTTTGGAACATTACATTACATCACTGTCATTTTGGATGAAAAGTTTCAAGAAAACACAAGAGTACGACTTTATTCATAAACAATGGTTTCAAATTATCGGTAAAGTTTTGGGACTGTAAAAGAATATTCGTTCGTACTCACAATTATCACAATAAGTTTGGTGCGACAGTATCACTTTAATGGTTGATAGACAATATGATCAGTGACTGACTAGTATTGTTGGACCTCTCTTTATTCGAGAGATTTGTACGAGTCAGTCATGATATTCTTGTGTCATTTCAGAAAGTCTTCTGTTTTATTTTTCATCATGGTATCATTTTGGGTTCGTGACATAACTTGATTTGGAGTAAACCAAGCCGATCTGGATTGGTTGCTGTTGATGATCAAATCTTGAGCAAAACAACTGAATATAAACGGCAAATCTTGAGCAAAACTACTGAATGTAAAGGGAAGTGATAATTTCTTCTATAGAAAATTTATTATATTCTCAGTAAATCCAATAAAAGTTATTACAAAACAAAAGTGTAAAGTTTAACTTAGTTTATGTTTATTGAGACGAAAATAATCTAAGTCCTTCAATACTTTATGTTTGTGTGTATGCTTCATTGCTTCAAGTCTTCAAGAATCATAATTCCCATGGTGAAAAAATGGAGTTTTGCAACAAAACTTTCTCAAGAACAAAAAATAACTTTCTACTACCGACGGATCTCAAACTCAGCTCCTATCGGTAAATGATCACTCGGGTGATGATTATTCGGTAAGAAACCCTCAACATCTGGAGATTCCGGGTCAGGTAGCTGTAGGATACTCACAGGTTTGATAAAGTCTGAAGGAGAGAAGAAGATGTAGTCAAGTGTGTTTGTGAAGCCAGGAGTGCAGTTTGTGAACTTAGGCTCTCCTCTTGCCACTTCATAGACACTACACATAGGAACTGGAGCTTTCTCTTCTTCTGTGTTCTCTGCGGGCTTCGCATTACCCGATACAAGGTAGTTATACACCTGAAATAACACAAACAAGATTTTTTTATTTTGATTCAAGAACTATAAGTAAAGAAACTCAGAGGTAAGCAAGCAGTTGAATCAAGAACCTTATCCCCAGGAATTGAATTGAAGTCACCAGCTAGTAACAAGGAAGGCGTGCACTCGAATTCTTCTGATATTAGCGTCTTGAACTTAGCTAGTCGTGACAGTAGATACTTGGCTTGAGCAAGCTTGACATCAGCTAACTCAGGGTCCCTAGAAAGAAGCAAACATTAAGATGAGACATGTGTAAAGAGATAAATCTTTAGACTTTAATGGTAGACAAGAAGTTTCTTTTACCAGTAAAGATGTGTGTTTGCCACGATAACGATGTGATGAAACGGCTTGTTGATCTTAAAAGCAGCCATTATGCCAACACAGTCACGTTTCAGTCTCACTATTGGATCATTAAGGTCACGACTGTCTTTTCGAGAATCTTTTTTGTTTTTGGGAGCAGAGCAGATTTGTGGAAACATGTGAAAGAGAAGAACAGTAGATAAACAAAAGTTGGTGATGATGTTGAGAGATGTAAAGAAGAAACACCACAAAGTAATCACCTTTTGCTTCGTTGGATGTCTCAATCTTCTGTTCGCTGCTGCAGGAAACACTATCTGCCTTTATTGAGTCCACAAGATCATTATACTCGATGCGATCTTTGGCGACCAACTCTGCACTAAATCCAAAGATGAAAACTAAGTTTTAACTTTAATGAAGAAATATTTTTTTGACCAAAATAAGCATAACATAGGCAAAACATATGCAAATCATAAGCAAAATAGATGAAGGTTTCTGCAATAAGGTTAAACGTTCCCTTTGGTCTTAGGCCTAATGTTTTAATCATACCAGCTTGGCTTGTAGAAGATTGCACAACCATCACGCTTCCTCTGTCCGGTTCTCTGTACATAAATCCCAGAATAGCCTAGAGACTTCATGTTTTCCCTGTAATAACTATCGTACTCATCTACTTCCTGCAAAAAAAGTTTCAACAAAATATAACTAACAAGTGGACACACACCATGTTCAATAACACAACAACACTTAACATTTTATACATGTATGAGATTGTACGTTTCATATTTTCATTAGAAAAGGGTTTCTTATTCTTAAACAAAACACAAAAAGAAGATATGTTTTACAAGAAAAGACCTGCAGACAGAAGAAATCAGCCTCGAGATTTCTGAGAACGCTGAGAATTGCATGTGAACGAGCTTTCCATCTGCAGCATAAGAAAAGAAAGACCAAGTCACATTAACTGCATATACCATAACCTTTAAGAAAGCTTAGCTAAATCCGAAGTACATAATTGGTTTAACTTGAAGTTCTTGCACATTCATACAATCCATTGTTGTTTTAGTACTTCGGCTTCTAATCTTAATTACAAGTAACACAAAGAACTCTTTGACTAGTATAATAAAATTTTGATATAGAAAATGAGAAATGTAGAGAATGTTTACTTGAGACAAGCAGGAGGAGAGTGTGGTAAAAGGGAGCTCTTCACATAAACCTAAAAGCAAAAAGATGAAGCTCAAAGAGATAAGAAAATAAAACATTCTTCTTTGTCAATATGTTTAACTTTTACACCATATCATAAAAAATAATATGAGAGATGAATAAGCTTAATGTATTGAATACCTGAGCTAATATGTTATATGAAACGAGACGGAATTTGATACCTACAAAACACACAAATTCTCAATTAACATTACCAATTCTATTTTCAATCTATACAATTTAGAAGCTACAATGAGGAATTAAGCAAACGAACCATCAGATTTAGCTGTTAAACTAGTATCAGCTCCTTCAAGAGATTCAATTTGCGAACTTTCGGTTCGACCATCAGGATTCGAACTCATTCTCTTTGAAAGGATTTTCGAACTCATTCTCTTTGAAAGGATTTTCCTGCAAACTCGAGGACTGTTGAATCAAAGGTTCAGTACGAGAGCGAAAAAAAAACAATCCTTGAACATCAATATTTAGGTTGAAATCAACAACGTTCTGTTTTTTAGTCATCGGAATCCAATTACAGCCCAGATGGAATCGAGAACAAAATTGCACATCACCAATCAGATAGAGAAAATCGATTTGGTCGCAATACTAAATTCGAAACTTGAAATTTATACGAACAAAAACCGAAAACGAAGACTACCCGCACCTATTGAAAGAAGGAAGAATCGAACGAGGAAGATGATTCAGAGTATTAAACATCACTAATAAACCCAACTTTGGCTAGGCTAAGACTCTTTAAGGGTTTTTCATTCAAATAAAATATAGGAAAAAATATACAGTACAGTAGTATGAAAAAGGTTTAAAATTGTCATTTGGTTCCTTTTATTTTATTAAACCACTGAATGAACCTTAACTTTTAATTATACCCCCAATTAGAACCTAAATCATTTTGTCAATGTGAACGTGTAAGAACAAATGACGAAACTAAACCTCTTTTGTTTTCTTGTTCTAACTCTACCAATCCAATTTCTCTACTAAACCATTAATAGTGAGTCTTCTTGAAAGTCTATTGTTAGTCCTGTTTTGTTTTTTTTTTTTTTTTGTGAAGTGTTAGTCCTGTTTTGTCGTCCTCTCCAATTTCAGATGAAAATCACTAGCATTTTATAAAAAAAAAATTTATCATCTTCTGTGACTGTTTTGAGTAATGCTGTGGATTCATTCACATTATGTACAATGGTAGAAGACAACATGAATACATTCTTGTTTCTTTATTTTTTGCTTGTGTTACAAGCATCATATAAAACTCTACGTACAATCGCTGTTTTGTATTCATTATCGTCAGGAAGGATATAATTGATTTAGAGATGTAAGTATGTAACTAAACTAAAAAAAACTTGATTAATAATTAAAAAAAAAAAAACGTGAAAGAAAGGTACACATACTGCAAAATCTCATTACACTAACAATGCTATATAGAGATTTGAATCCCAACGTCTATAGAAAGCACATTGCTTTCACCTATCCAATCTCTCAATGCAATGTATTTTTCTATTCTCCTCCCCTCATCACTCCAACGTCTCGGTTGCGTTTTTACTTCACAGAAGGAACGTAGATGCTTGACTTAAGTAGCTTTGCATCGTTAAGAGTAAGATTCTCTCCATGGTCTACAAAGAATTTAGCGCTACCAAAATGTTCATCGATCCCTTGGATTTCAACACTTTGGAGAGCTTTTCTGTCGGGATTAAAGTAGAAAACATAAAAGGATTTATAAAAGCTCCTCGACAAAACAATGTCACCCGTGGAAGTCACTCCAGCGACGGAAATATAGGGTTGATCAACAATTTTGTCATCGAGCAAAGTGTATCCATGTTTCAACCATTCAGGTTTCTCGACATCATCTAGAACCCACATTCTCAACTCAAGGGTACGCCTTCTAGTATCCGGCAGGTAAGCAAATCTATGATTAATCACTCCTAAATTACCTTTATAGTTGTAGGCCAAACATAAAAGGTTTCCACTTCAATAATCTTGAATCTTTCAGACCTAACATTAAAGCAAAGTATCTTGTTCTCAGAATGCATTTCAGCTGAGAAATACAAAGCCCCATTGATGCAGATCCCTTTCGAAAGGGTAAAATGGGTTAAGGGACATTGTATCTTCCTCCAACTCACTTCTCCAGTTCCCAATGTCAGAATTCTACAATCACCATCATAACGATATGGACCCCTCATGAACATTAATACCTTGAATTGCTTGTCAATCGGATCAAACCCTAAAAAGATTCTCGAGCTGGTGTTCGTTCTCAGTTTAGGTAAGACCGAATATTGTCCCGTGTTAGGATTACATATCACAATATCCTGCTCCTTTTCAGAGAAGATCAAACCAAAGGCATAGCCACAAAGTCCAAATCCAAAGCTACAAGGGAACGTCATATGAAATTCAGCGGCGACTACAAGAGACGACGAGTTCTCATATGGATTATGAGGCTGAGGCAGCGAGAAGAAGCTCCACTCAGTGCTTGGATGTCTTCTTTGGACGGCAAGTAAGAGACGGGGACGAGCCGAGGACCTCGTCAAGAACAACTCCGTGAAATATGGACGTTGAAACATGGAACTCCATAGCTTCGACACGCAACGAAACCTCCCAATGGACTTTGAAGGCAATCTCGAGAATATCTCGTTGATGAGATCATTCGGGACGGAATTCATGATCGAGTTGTATTTTTGCTGATGGGACCGAGACGGAGAGAGAGAGAGAGAGAGGAGAGAGATCTATTACTAATAAAAGTTGAGCCTATATGCATTAGAGGCTGTCCACCTAGGATTTAAAAGGTTGAATTTGATTGGTCCATGTCATTATTTTTTTTTTTTTGCTTTTAAATTAATTTATGTAAATTTTCTATTTTACATATTATTTATTAATTAGTTTTCAGTAAAGATAATTTCTCTGATTTTACAATTTTCGAGAACTGAATTATAAGTTTCCTATTCATAGATTATCTAAATTTACATATATTATTAGTATTAGTTTCTTTTTTAGTGGAAAATTTACACATGTTTTAAGTAATTATAGAAATAAATTTCCTATTCAGCCAAAAAGATGCTATGGTGTAGCGGTTATCACAATTGTCCTAAACTCAACAGGTATTGAGTTCGATCCTTTGCAGTCCCCTGTTTTTTTTTTAAACCGTTTCAAAAATAATTATATGGACATTGCCATTAGGTTACCAAAAAAAAAAAAAAAAACAGACATCGGCATCTCCAAAACGGGATCTGCTACATCTTCTTCCCCTTTTTTCTACAAACCCTAAAACTGCATCTCACAAAACTCTCTCTCTCTCTCCACCGTCAAACAACAAAAATTCATTCTTCATTTCCCAGATTTCGTAAATCGAATTGGATTTATTTTGCCCTAAACTCCCTATTTCGCATTGTTGCAAGTTTGAAGCTTCAGTACAACTTCAGTTGAGGGAGTATTAGACCAAAAATGGAGAAATTCGGAATCTATTACTAAGATAAGTCTTGTGATTTGACTGTACAATTCGGCTGCTTTAATTTCTGGCGAATATAAGATTGCTTCTTGGCATTTTTTTCTTATTTCTTCTTCCAAATTTATTTCTTGGTTTCATTATTTCGTTTTAGTCTAGAAGATTCTTGAAAAACAAATTGGATATTGTTTGATAAAGATTAGGATTTGGATAGTTCCTATTTTTGTAATTATCACTTCTCTAATTTCCTTATTGTACAATGACATTGATATACATTGATTCCTTTTTCCATTAGGAATAAGATGATCTTAAATCCTATATATACGTGGTCTTATTGCCACATGAAACCAAGTTCAGAATATACATTCACATCTCTCAATCGATTTTTATAAGCCATGGCAAATTCATGCTCTTCTGTTTCTAATCAGTTAAGCCATACTTTGGTTTTCGATGATCTAAAAAAAGGTTTCAAAATAATGATTTGCTTGTCAGAGTCATCCACTTTTGGGAGGCACGAAACGTTAGAAAAGGCGGATTACTCATGGGTGTAGAACTCCTTCTCATGGATCAGAAGGTACTTAATCAAAGGATTTTAAAGAAAAAAATTGAACCTGAAGGCTAAGGACGTTTGATCTCTGTAAAAACAAGAAAACCAAACAAAAAAGGGGTAAAGTCAATGAGAAGAGATTTCAAATATTATTAAAAACGACCAGTGAAAGGAGAAAACGCTCTAAAACTCGACAGCTATAAGTCTCAGGAACTTGCCAAAGCAATTGCCACCACCTAGAGTTATACATTTATCACCAATTCGCATCCGGACAATTAGATTACAAACAAAATACACCATTTGGACATCAGCAAAAAAAGATTGAAAATACGGAAAATCTAACCTTCATCGAAGCCATTAGCTGAGAATCAGGAGAAGAAAGAAGCATCGAAACTCAGGGAAGGGGATGATGAGATGCCAAGAACAGTGATTTCGATGACTTTAAAACGAAGTCGTTGACTAAAGCCATTGAAGAAAAGTTGTGCTCCATATGAACTGAAAACAAAACCAACGAGATATTTCAAATATCAAATTGATAGCTAAACCGAACCGAAACAAACATAGACTGATTAAACATCAACAAAACTAGCAAACACCGAGAAAACCCAAAATTTAACTCGGTGACGTTATCGAAAATCATTTGACCAAAAAATCAAACCATCAATCGGCGATAAAGGGGAAATTCGAGATTGGTACCTAAGTTAATTGAGAAATTCAGAGCGAGAGTCGAAGGAGATCGAAAAGAAGAAGAAGCGTGAGCTCTCCCCTGGTAATAACAAGATTAGCAACAAAGAAGAGGGATCTAGATGATGAGATGGTTCCGGTGGGAATAAGGAAGAAGAAATATTGTTCGATTGTGGTCGGTAAATGAAAGAAAAAGAAACGAAGCATTTCTAATTTCTATGAGATAGGAAAATCGAACCGTAACAAACCAAAAGAATTTAACCGGGAATTGGAAAAACAATTAAAAGATGATGACCACGGGAAGAAGAAGAAGCCATATGATATGGAAAAAGTGGGAATACATTTAACACGATTATATCATATGAAACAATTAAAAAAAAATTATTTTTTACTCCTGATCTTTCTGATTCCTTTCTTCCCGTCCTTAATGATCTGTAAAATACATTTATATTTTATTTTATTTTCTAGATATAAGACTTTTAAATACAAAAACAGTGATTTAAAAATAAAGAGATGAATTTATTGAATGGAATTAAATGCAACATAATTAAAATTACAAAAAAAATTAAGTATAAATCATAAATTCATAGCTGGAAAAGCTAAACAAATAAATAAAATTAAAAAATAAATTAAGAACTAAAATATGTATTAGACTAATATTGGATAAGTTTGCCAGATAACCTTTATTGGATATAAAAAAAATTGTCTAATGAATAGTAAAATTAAGGGATTAGTTTAAGAAATTTGAGGATTGGGCTGTTGTATGTTTTTATGACAAAAAAGATTTTTAAAAGGTATCTTACTTATTATGACTACTTATAAAAATAATTAAATTGGTTAGGTAAAAAAAATTAAAAGTATATTACAAAAAAAAGTTTATTAAAAAAAATTATAAACAAAAATTGAAAAATAGTGAAGCATTTTAAAAACCTTTTTTTAATAAATGAAACTATTATTTTCATCTCTTATCAAAGAAACAAAAAAAATTGATGACTCGAACTTGATATACAAATATTCTTAATTGAATCATACATTTTCTTAATATTATTGAATAAAATTAAAATAAAGAGGACATAAGATTTATTTACAAATATTAAAACGGAACCCGCGCGTGCGCGGGTAAAACACCTAGTATGTTAAAAACTTCACATATGGATCGTGACAAGTAAAGAAAAAAGGAAGATGAAAAGATACATTATTAGAAAGCTGCGGAGAAAATAAAATAAAAAGAGTATAAGGTCGATTGAAACCCTTTTCATGATCGGCGCTAACGTAAGGCGTATGGATACTCATAGCATGTTGTTTACCATAGCATGTTGGTAATTTTTGGTCTTCTGTTTGTTTCACTTTTAGTTTCTTGTTTACCATAGCATGTTGCCCTATGGATACTCATCACAAAATAGTGAATTACCATTAGGCTTTATATCCATGTGAAATCATTGATGGATTATGTTGTCAACAAATTTATATATACATATCTTATTATATAAAGATGGATGTGCATTATAAAGGATTTTTCCCTCGTGTTCGGCTATAGCGGTATGCGACACGTAAGATTTTTATAAAATATAGGATTATGACATGTGTCACTTTTAATGTTATGTCCGTTAAGATCGTGACACATGTAAGGAAAAAGGAAAAAAAATTAAGGAAAATTTTTAATCTTATATAATAAAAACAAAAATTTATATAATAAATGAAAAATAATGTAATAAAAATACTTATTAGTACATGGAATAGGTATGTAAACTAAATATCATAAAACTGTATGGAATATAGGTTATATAAACTCCTATTTTAAAAAATCATATTAGTACATGAAATAGGTATGTAAACTAAATATCATAAAACTAAATGAAATTGGTTACATGAACCCTCCATAAAAAGAGAGTTAATGTATTCTCTTTTTCTCATTCACAAACTCATCAAAGCAAATTCAGCAGATCTTTTTAATTCTTTTTCTCTAATTTTAAAATCATGTCTTTGAAAGTTCAAGAGAACAATATAGATTATTTGACTCTAGGTCAACTGGATTGAAGTCGAAATTATTGTCGTACTATTCTTTTGGGAGTTGAGCTTTTATTACTTGATGAAAAGGTTAGTATAACATCTTATTATATTGATATAGATAATCTTATTATAACATTGATTAACATTAAAGTTTTACTTTGTTTGAAACAGGAAAACACAATTCAAGAATTTTGAGATCAGATGGCCGAAGGAAAGATCATCGAAATTTGTGATTTTAATCTGCAGTCTCCTCATAAAAAAACTTCTATTACTTAATGAAAAGGTTGGTAACATATTATATTCATATATACCTTATTAAGAAAAGGAAGAAAAATAACTTTCATTAAGAAAAAGGAAAAAAAAAGAAAGAAAAAAAATCAAAATAATTAGAAAACAACTAACTAATAATGGAAAGGAAATTTTATAATGGCCTGAGTCAAAAACAAAGCTGAAAAAAACAATATAAATAGAAAACTACTAAAATAATTATCGAGCAACTAACTAATATTAACAGGAAAAAATTATGATGAACTGATATTCTAATTTTAATAGTTTAATTTTTGGTTAGGTAAATAAATATTTGAAAAAAAAAAGATTTCATCAACCGAAATCTCTTCAATAAAATAATAAAAAATTTACGAATTAATCAAATCAATCAAACTTACACATGTGTAAGTCTTTCAATTTTAGATAAAAGTAAAAAGATAACAAATTAATTCATTTTTCGTATCATGAATTCAGAAAATATGTTAATTATAATAAAAATATAAAAAGATTACCAATCTAATATTATTTAGAGATTTTTATCGGGGTTTTAATATTTATCTACTTACTTTTAAAGAGTGAATATGATTTCTTTCAAAAATTGTATAATAAACCTGCGTATACGCGGAGTCTAATCTAGTATATATATATATATATACAGAAGAATGCAATCTCTAATTAATTGAAGCTTATTTAAGCAAGGTTAGCCATCTAACCTTGGCTTCCAGATGATGGTGACAGGTCAAGCCATCTTTTCATATATGACCTTTTTCCAGATGATGGTGACAGGTCAAGCTATTATGTACATAACATGTGGTAGAAGAACGAATCAATATGTTTTCATATACAAACTCTACAAATCGCTGGTTTGTTCATGAAGAGGATATTATTGATTTAGAACTTAAAAAGAGATGGAATTTAAGAACATAATTAATCAGAAAAATAAACGACAACATGACTCTCTCTCTCTCTCTCTCTCTCTCTCTCTCTCTCTCTCTCTCTCTCTCTCTCTCTCTCTCTCTCTCTCTCTCCTCATCTTCCTCTTGTCTCTTTTGTTAACTCATGTCCCTATCCCTTTCTCCTACCTCCTCCATATGTTGTAGTTTTGGCATTTTCCTAATGCTGTTTAGGCCTTCGCTTGACTTGAGATACTTTACATCATTAAGATTAAGATCCTCTACATGGTCTACAAAGAATTCAACAAAATGATCATTCGAATTCTCGACATTGTAGTCTCCAATACCTTGGATTTCAACACGTTGGAGAGTGCTACTCCTTCCGGGCCTTACGAAGAAAACATAAAACGGTTTAGATAAACAAAGCTTGGACAAAACGATTTCACCCGTAGCAGTCACTCCAACCACTCTAAGGGCGGAAGCAGTGAGTTGATCAACGATCATACCATCCCTCAAAGTGCACAAATATTCTGTCCATTCCTCTTCTTCAACATCCTCTAGAACCGACAAACGCAACTCAGCGGCATCAGGAACCCACTTGGTCAAACCAAATATACCCTTAAAGTTTATCCATTTGATACCCAAAAAACTAAAATATTCTACGTCAATAAACTTGAATTCCTCGGACCTAACATAAAAGCAAACGATCACTCTTGTATCCTTAGTTTCGGCTATATAATACAAAACACCATTGATACATATCCCCTTGGGAAACAAAGGCCAATGGGTTAAGGGACATTGGATCTTCCTCAACCTCATTTTTTCAGCTCCTAATGTCAGAATTCTAGGACCAGCATCATCATAATAAGATGTATCATCCTTGATGAACAATACCTTGAACTGCTTGTCAATCGGATCAAACCCTAAAAAGGGTCTCATATATGTGTGCTTTATCGGTATAGGTAAGATCGAGTACTGTCCCGTGTTAGGATTGCATATTATGGACGATGTAACCTCCTTGTTTAAGAATGGCATCTGGGTGAGACAGATCAAACCAGAGGCATAGCCAGGAAAACATGACATTAATCCACGGCCACTAGGGAACGTCATATGAAAATCAGCGGCGACTACAAGAGACGACGACTTCTTATATGGATTATGAGGCTGAGTCATCGAGAAGAAGCTCCACTCATCTTTTCCTTCGATGGCGAATAAGAGACGTGGACGAGCCGATGACCTTGTCAGGAACAACTCGGTGAAATCTGGACGGTGAAGCATGGAACACCATTGCTTTGACACGCAACGAAACCTCGCGATTGACTTTGAAGGCAGTCTCGTGCATATCTCCTCAATGAGATCATTAGGGATGGAAGTCATGAACGAGTTGTATCTTGCTTGCTGATGGGGCCCGAGGCGGCGAGAGAAGATATTATCGAACTCGATAGTAGTAAAAAAAAAAAAAAAAAACGATTGAAACCCTATTCAGGGTTTGCGCTAACGTAAAGCGTGAAAGATGAGTGGTTTCTAATTCGTATCGGTTATTTCCGGTTTCCTATTTCTTGCATTGTTTGTTTCTTGTTTTCCAAAGCACGTTGTCTATGTAGCTCATGAATACTCAAATCACAATTTCACAAGTTACCATTAAGCTTATATATATGCATGTGAATCACTGATGAATTATGTTGTCAACAAGTATACACAGACACGCTTACCGGGTAATGCAATCTCTAGATGAGCTAATATTAGAAGCTGATTTTGGGTTTTATATGGCTTCCCAGTTCCCACCCATCTTTTTTTTATGTACTTAATTATTAATTTTTCTTTGTAGATAGCTTCTGTAATAACCCATTTGCTTTGGTAGGTTTGTACAGCTCCTTTAAAGCATTTTTAATGGATGAGTTTGTAAGATTTGGGATGCAACAACATCTCTTTCTTGACTTAGAAGGCAAACGTCTTTCAAGACTTAATTTTATTCAACATGACCCGGAGATGACAGAGCTTTCTCTTCATTTGCCAAATTGAAGCATGAGTGCATGACATATCTTGAATCCGAGATAGCACTCGTGAAGACGGGCTATCAAAAATGAGAGTTTAGGAAACTGGAATGCTTAATTCAACTCAAAGAATATCAAGGAAGTTACAAAGAGGTTATCTCACTTAACAAGCCTAGCGAGATAATAGTGATGAACAAGAAGAAAAAGTAAAAGCGGATGTAAAAGCTTAGTGATTCTAGATGATTTCGGATGCCTTTTTCCCAATGGGGGGGTCTTCAATATATAGTATCGATAACTCGGTCAAACGATGAATATTCTCCTTTAGGCGAGATGGAAAACTTCCTCTTTTGCGATATGGAAAACTTCCTCTTGTTCTTGATTTTCTTCCATTCTTTAAGTCGGCATGAAGATTTATTTACATTTCTCCATGGATTGTGCCTTTCTTCTCAAGTCTTGCCTTTTTCTTGAGGAAGTTAGGCCTAAAATCGGATTGGGCTTTGTGACTTTACTAATGATGACGGGCTTATGGTAATGTGCTAATTTCTCCTCTAACAACATAAACGGAAGCATGATAATAAGATAGTGTGTACTCACACATAAAAACGGAAGCATGATAATTTGGCTGTTGGTAGCAATTTTCATTTGGCTTTAAGTTCTGCTCTTGGTGTTATTTTAAATATTTCAATATTTATTTGCTGCTATAACAGTTCTTTGACCACATAAACCAATTATTACAACCAAAGAAATATATAATTATGTGAAAGGGTATCATCCACTGTTACATAGTTTATGATTGAATGAGAGACTATTCAAGTGATGATTTATGCTGTCCGAATTTGTCCTAAGGATTTTGAACTAAAACACAAACGTAATACACATGTGGATGTAAACTATGTATGACACAGTATGTGATAGACGATTTGTTGACCAGGGAATGTGAATTCTGTAATGTCTTGTATATGTAAAATAAATCAAATGAAAATAATACTGTAAAATAAAAAAAAGTAAATAGGGAGGCCCTTAATAAGCACAATATAGGCAAAGACAACCTTTTTTGTAGATTTTTCTGGTCCATCGTGCAGACTAGTTTAAATTTCCTAGTGGCTGTCTTTTAAAGTTAACCAAATTGATTCCTCAGTTATCTTTGTTGCTGAGAGTCACAGTATTGTGGGTACTTACACCTGCAAGGATGATTTCTCACCTGCAACAAAGTTTGAATCTTTCTTCTCAATATCCTTTGGCAAAAAAAACAGACTTCCCACATGAATTAGTTTTGGATGTTACCTTTCGAAATGTGAAAGATACCCTTCTAGGACTTCTTCTGATCACTTTATCCTTCACCTTATCAATCTATAACAGCACAGTAGAAGAGAGCTTCAATATATTAGCATTTTGAAGAGAATGCGGTACAAGTTATTATCCTAGTGATAAGAATCCAACCTTGTGATGTGGAATGTAGTGATTCCAAGCATAGCGTGCTTCCCCGGACAACAAGAGCATAGACCGAGGAGGAAGATACAAGGCCTTCTTGATGCAAGAGGCGTTACCTGACTTCTCATCATCGGTGGTCGGAGATGCTTTCCATGTGGAAACAGAGTATCTTCTAAACTCCATAATACAAGGACCGGCTAAAGAGAGGCTGAAGATGCAATCTTCAAACGCTGAATGCGTGTCGATGTGAGGCGATAAACCCACACCAGACGGGTACTCGTTTACCTAGAAGTCATGATTCAGTGGAATAGAATTCCTCAGCTTTCATTCAATTCAATGTAACAGAATCTCATATTTAGTATAGAGAGTGTGCTGATGATGTACCGTTAATTGGTCTAGATTTAAGCTTGCCGGGTCATTGTCAAGGTTTGGGAACAATGAGATTCTTTCGAGTATATGAGAAACAAACGATGGAAGCTCGCCGAGATGTTTCTTGGTATCAACGTTTCTTGTCCCGTAGCAGAACTCGTATCCATAGTGTTGAACACGCCGTTTGGCGAGACCGATCCAAGGCTGAGTATCAACAGCTGCAAGCAATTGCTGAAAAAAAGCAAGAACACTAAATAAGTAACATTAGAGGTAGAGAAGAAATCAAGGGAGTATTACATTTCAAAGCACGTTACAAATATTACGGACCTGTTCTTCTTCGGCAGTGACGAAATCGGGTATTAGGAAGAGCCCTGGGATGTTCAATTCTGAATCAGCCAAAGACACTGAGACACTATCATTCACCTGCGTCTACGCAAGGACAAAGAAGTGGATTTGAAGAGAATACTAATCACAAAACAAACACAAAGTTTCTGTCTTTAGTAAATGGTGTTACCAATTTTGAATTTTTCTCCAAAACAACATTACAAAGACATAAAGATTAAAACTTTGAAACTAACAGACTATACCAAGCTCAGCAATTCCATGGAGATTCTTCCACTTCTCATAAAGAATTAAAAATCTCATCATCCATTGAGACCCAGCAAACTGATTAAGCTAAAAATATCATACAATTTGGGGTTTTCTAACTTATAAATCAAAATTTTCTGCATGAATGTGACTAATTAAGAAAGCAATGAGAGAATTCGAAAGAGCTGAAGCTAATTGAGATTATTTCTTACTGTACCTGGGAAGGTAATTGAAGAACGGAATATCGAATATGCAAAGTCCGTCCATCAAGCTCCGGACATGGCCGACCACTTAACGCTTCTAGAGCAGCTTTCGCCGAGAAAGGATCCGCGAATGAGACGATGACACGAACGCCGCTCTCGTCCGCCGCGTAGACGCCTTTCACTTCCCCGAAACCAGCGAACACCGCCGCGATTGCGTCGTGCGACAGTCCAACCGCCGGCCCGCAATTCGCTACGTATAGATTGGAGGAGTTCGGTTCTCCGGCGTCGGAGGAAGGCGACGATGGCGTCGGACGGACGAACCGCGGCTGAACCATTTTCGTAATCAGAGATTCAGAGATTGTCCATTGTTTCTCCGACGGCCGAGTGAGGTTTTTGCTTCACGGCGCGGTTGCTACGCCGAAGGTTATCTAAACGACGGCGTTTTAGTTGTTTGATAGGCCCATTTGACTTTGACATGGCCTATTGCCAGAAAATGATTCTAGGCTTTCAAGAGTAGTTAATCAAACTACGTCGTATTACTCACACTATTTAACCGAAAACGGCCAAAATTTCGAATTATCTTACTTTGCAATTAAGCACCTCTCTTGTCAAAAATTTCGGATTAAACACCTCTTTTTTCATCTTGAAGTTATGAACAAAAGTTGCATGTATTCATACTTTAGTTGATGATAATACATTTACAAAATCCCAGGTTCCATAATTTGAAAACCTTCTAAATAAAGGAGAAGCTTCAGGTGGCACGCATCGAACTAAAGGCAAAGAAGACCCTCTAACTCAAGGAGAAGCATCAGGCACAGGAGGCACTTTACTGAGACACCATAACCTACTGCTTCTACTTGGAGTTGTATTCACCGAACTAACTTTTCCATCCGCGAACAGAAAATCTAAACCCCTCTCTGTCTCACATGCTTTGTTCATGTCATCGGTTAGAGAATGCCTTGCACGTGAAGAAAGCAAAGGCCTCTCAGGTGTTCTATAGAGATCACGGGAGCTAGGGAAGCAACTCGGTGGCGCAGGAGAGTTTGGATTACTTAGAGAATCTTCTTTCAAGATTTCTCCCATTCTTGCAAGAATCCTGTACGCCAAACTCGCTAGCGTTCTTGAATATGCTTCAAGAATCGCATGACCGATGTCCTGAAAACAGAACAAGAAAAAGATTTCGATATCGCATTGTAAAGAAAGAATGTAGTTCTGTTTATGTTTATGTTTACCTTGCCGTATTGAATCTTGGTGGCATCAAGAAACGACTGAGGGAGATTAGGGTATTTGGATTTGATCTGGTTTCTAAGAGCTTCTGCTCGGTTCAAGAGAGACTCATTTCGACCAGCTTCAGACGATGGATCCTTAGCGAACGACCACGGTGTCCTCGCAGGGGACTTACCGTTGCTGGCTTGCTCTGTGATCTTTTCCTTCCATGCAAATATAGCAGATTCCAACTTGTTAACTGTCTCGAGTGCAGCATGTTCACTCCTCAGCTTGAGAGATATAAAAATTTCATCAACTGTGGCTGATTCCGAAGCCAACGTTCTGTAAAGTTCGTCGCCGAGGCTGTTCTTTCCAGACTGTTACAATATAATGTTTTAGATGATGAAGCAAAGTTACTTATATGATTGTCACTAAGTGAATAAAGAGAGGACAAGCTTACTTTTGGTATAGCTTCCTTGATAATGGCAGGTACAGGCATTTCAAGAAGAACGTTTTCGTTTATGGACTTTGAAGCTTTGAAGACTTGATAAACAACTTTGCCCTTGTCAAGCAGTTTCTTTCTTCCTGAGTTGGAGAGACCAGGTTTGGGCACTTTTGGCGATGGAAGCCACCATCGTTTGCTCTCGCTTGTTGTCTTGTTCGTCCCTTCAGCTCTACTACCGGTTTCAGAATACCAAAACTCTGTGTTCACCATTGAGTCCAGCGTCTCCTGTAACATTTTCAATGAACATATAAACATGGACTCCACAGAGAAAGAGAAGATTAAAGAGAAAGATAATCGCTTACAATTAGCATGGAGTCTAGTTTCTGAAGAGCTGGGAGATTCATATGAATGTCTGCACGGGCTTTCGGTGTCATTATCTGTTGAAACAAGAATGTCAATTCAGTTTCTTCCTCTGGAATGTATCTATTATCTTAATTCTTGATGACACCTTAGCTTAGCTACATTACCTCAAGTGATCTTCCATTGGCATCATTTTGCTTAGAAGGGACTAACTCAATCATATAGTTAGTTGGAGAAAGCAGCCAATCCATTTCCCTTCTCCATTTCTGCTTCTTCTCCTCGCACAAGGGCTCCAACTTCCAGAGCTCGCCAAATATCGAGTCTGCAAATCCAAGAAACTTAGTAGCCATTTCACAAGAAAACCTCAAAATGTATCTTTTAGGTTAAGTGCATTAGAAATTATTAGAACATACTAGCAAGATGTGTAACAGCATTTGACAAAGCCAAAGCTACTTGGATACCCTTGCATCCCCCAGTGACATCTTCGCCGAGTAACAGCTTAGAAAATCTCTCCTTCATGGCTTCCACATCCAAATGGCCGTAGACAAATCCTCCTGTTTTTTTCTCCTTAGCATCGAAATGTTTGGACCTTCCGGATAAGCTCAAATCATCGCAGCTGTGTTCATCACTCTTCATCGGTAACCATTTTGAAGAAAAAGAGCTGGAGGCATCTTTGCTTGATGAACAGCTTGAAAAGGCGTCATCATCTAATGAATCTGTTAGGCACCCATCTCCTCGGCTTGTTCCACTATCTTCTTCATATGATTGGTTGTTGATGATACAAGTTTCCAAGCCGTCGTATGTAATCATCCCTGAAAAGAAAATGATATCAATTAAACTGTTGGGTACATAAGAAAACACTTTTAACTCCTTTCACTTGTCAAAACAAATAAAGAAGCAATGATCAGGACTATGCCCACACCTACAGTTTATGTTTCTCCTGAAATGTATCTTATATACCCTTCAAAAATCAGGAAATTGTTTGGTTTAAAATAGAAACCTTTAATAAGAAAAACAAAAACTTTTCCTAAGGAAACAGGAGAGTTGGCTTTAAGCTTTTTACAAAAAGTTCAGACTCAAAGATCTACACCTAATCTCATAGCCCATGTAAAAAGTTTCAAAAAAGTAGCTTCACCTTTTGAAACTGCAGAATACAGTGCGATTAGACAGAGGAACTTACACAAAACAGAGAGAGAGATAGACAAAGAGTGAGGAAAAAATGATTATAAATCTACTTATAATTAAGAGAACATTCAGATTTTAAAAATAAACAAAACCCCCACCTTCATATCTACTTCTTGTCTCACTCATCAAAAGTGAATCAAGAAAATGGTATCACAGACACTTTGTTTATGCATAATACTAGTGTTCAAGAAGAATACTATATAGGAATCAAAGTCGCTGTGTTCCACGAGTCTTTAAGAGCTAAAAGTCAAGACATTTTGTTAACCCAAGACTTGCAAAAACAAATTAAAATGCTTCCTTTTTCAAAGGAAAGCGTATAAAAAAGTCTCAGAAACAATTGAGTTAGTATCCCCATGTGGTGAAAATTCTAGACGGACCCACCATGAAGACTTTTATCACTTTGTCACATAACATTTTTCAAACGCTCACAGGATATAACAAAAATTGTTTAATCAATCACCAGTGATCTGATTTAACTATTATATCCACCCCTTGGAATAATGAAGAAAATACAAGAGGATATGGATTCTTCTTCCTCGTGAAGGTCTTTATGAATCCACATTTTACTTCAGTTCAACTATTTATATCAAGAAATCAATATGCCTAGAAATGACCATGTGAAACCAATTATACTACCTACTCTTGGCATTTTCTGAATAAATATTATCAATGATCCTAAACAACCCCCAAAAAAAAACCTAGATGACCCTCACTACTAAACCCCACATCCAAAGAAACAGGGTTTGGTCTCTAAGATATGACATTGTATCACACAAAATGCTCTCTCGCATCAAATTGATAGTATGCATTGATGTCGCGTGGAAAGCTACAGCATTCACGCCCTATTTATTACATGAATGACCTGGTAGGTATAGATCTTTATGGGTCTGATAAATCGAGTGACCACTCACTTTTCTAAACCGGTCACAAGACAAATCGAGTGACCACTCACTTTTCTATGAAACTATACCCAACAGTTATAGTCTAAGACTCTAAATATTCCATATCATGTGTAAGCAGTAAACACCCATAAATGAAAAATACCTAAAAAGCTAGTAAAAGAAGTCACTAAGAACTAAAGATTCAGACTTCAAGTAAGCATCATAACTGTAAAAATGAAATGAGTGAAGAGAGTAGAAAAATTTGGGTGCTTACTATCTTGTTCGTCGAAATCAACACTCATCTCCCTTTCTCTGCTGCAGCAAGCCAATCTTCTTCTCATCAGCATCATCTTCTCTTCTTCTTCTTTTTTAAATTCCTTATGCTTTTGTGGATTCTTTGTTTAACGCAGAGAGGACTAAAGCCAACTTCCTTTCCTTTCTTTAATGCTAAAAAACAGGTTTCTTCTTCTTCTTGATCAGGTGATATTAAATATTACCAACCATCTGGTCCCTGCATAAATACGCATTAAAGATTTTTACAGCCGAGAACAATAATTAAAATTAAACGCATAAGTAAGAGAAAGTTAACATTTTAGAAAATGAGGGTTAAAATTGTAATGTTTTCTAAAGAACAAGTAATTTTTATGTTGGTTTCTTCTTTTACCAACTACCAAGAACCTGCAAGACTACCACTATGCACCAATGAATCACTGAAGAAGACAAAACCATGCTCTAGATTTTAGCATCAATAATTTAATCAGACACAAAGTGACAAGCAGAAAGAATTTTTCACTGTACATTGAAGATTGGGGAAAAAATAAATGGAACTAAGTTGTTTCTTGGGACCCTTGTTACTTTTACTAATCAGCTTTTCTTGGGGTACTAATAATACTTTTAAGGAAAGGGTTAAAAGGAGTAATGATGTGAAACTTTTACTAGAAAGAGGTGCTTTAGGTACTTAAAAAAGCAACATCTGAAATTAATTTCCAAATTCTGACTATTCCCAAAACAAAATTACGGGAAAATTACATTTTTTTTTACAGATTTGAGAGCAAAGAATCAAAAATCGAAAAATGTGAGCTTAAGGAACAGATCGAGCTCATAACCTAGACCGAAGAGCATCATTTACATAGAAAATATTCTTCTGTGATTGCGTGAGCTATTCAACCTAACATAGTGTAGGAAATGGAAGACAAACCTCAAAATCTGAAGCGGGCTCTAGGAAAAATCTACAGAGGAAAATGAAACTTAAATAAAGTAGAATCTGAGCTTCGGGAGCAGCCACATTCGTCCGTACAGCTGAGATTACACAGTAGTAACTGAGATAAATCGAAGAAGAAGAAGTAGGAGAGGAATGGGGTTTGGGGTGATGATGCGTCAGAGAGCTGAGAGAGAAGAGTGAACATTTATTGTGGAGGAATATTTTCGTTGACGATGAGGCAATTGTTTATTCAATTTTTTTGAAAATTAGAGATGATATAAATTACAACAGCCGTAGGATCTTCATTGAGCTGATTACGTAAGTTTGGACGGTTGTGATTCAGAGAAAGGGGGTTGATTTGACAAATGATAAAATAAAGTGGTTTGATTTACAAAATAATTCAAAACCTATAAACCAGATTGAAATTCAACGGACATTAGCGCCGGCCGCTACGTGATACAAAAGTTAAAATAATGATAATTACAGTCTTTTGAAACCCGTGCAAAGTGACATTAAATGTCGTCTAATCAACATCAGCGAAATGTTTTATTTTATAAAAACAAACAAATGTTTCTTCTTGGAACGTAATTTTGCGGTAACGGTGTTGGCCCGTTGGGCATAGGGAATTGAAACCAAAAAGCCCATTATTACGGAAGCTACGGACTCTTGCCTCTCTCAATGTACTTTGCTTTGAGGTTTGAGCTTTAAACCCAAAATTTGAAAATTTAAATGATACGACCAAGTAAAAGGTTCTAAACCATTTCTCTGATAACAAAAAAAACACGGACAAGACAAACTTTGAAAAGATTAAACCATGTTTAAAGACTTACAATATCATGTATAATAAAGATTTCAATTCTTACTAATAGATTAAACAAACAACCATGACAAAACTGGAACTTGAGAGTTATCTTTCTCCTTTCCAAACCAAATACTAGGAAAAGAATCAGTCCTCTTCCATTGGCACCTCTGGAATGTCAAACCTGTCTTCTTCAATCGGTTTGTTGATTGTAGAAACTGAAGAAGGTGAAATTGCTGCAGTCAAGGAGATAAACACATAACATAACATAACTCAGATGTAAAAAATCACACTATTAACTAAAAGAGAATTAAGAAGAGATAAAAAGGATATAATTAGTCAACATAGGATCTTCAGTCTCTCCACGGTTTCTGGTACCCTTAAGCTCTCTCTGAATCTCAGGAGTAACCTACAATTCACATTAAAAAGCCGATTCAGTGTGATTTTACAATACAAAAGAACAAAAGTTTCAATTTTTTAAAAGCTACAAGAAGCCTTACAAGATGGTGATTTTGCCTCTGGAGGAGAGTTTGTAAATGCTCTTTGTCTTCCTTAAGTAGTTCATACTTGTACCTACACATTGGCTTAAACATGAGTATACAAAAATAACTCTCAAGGTAGGTAAATTTTTGTTTGTACGAAGAATGTTACCGTTGCACAAAGGCAAGAAGAGACTGGTGCCAAATCACAGGCATGACTCTGATTTCATCCACAAATCTCATGAAGTGAGCAACCAATGCGTCAAGCACTCTATACGGCATACAATATTTCTTCTCCAAGAAAACTTTTATAAAGTAACTGCGTAAGAAGAAATTAATCAGCAGTGTCCCAACTTTATAAGGCAAAGATATTATCCGTCTATCTCGATCCTACACGTTTACCTTGTTGTACCGCAATACTCCATATCAGCCAGTCCTAGCAAGGCAACACTATAGTTCGTGTAAAGAAATTAGTTATACGCAACAATTACACTGAAAAAAATGGTAAAAAGATGTTCTATTTATGCAATCTTTGTACGCATACCATGAGTGAAGCATAGGGAAAGAACACTTCTCGAGAATGCTCCCTATAATGACAGCTTCTCTGAGATTGCATGTCCCAGACTGAATGTATAAATGAAAAATCGAAAGTAGAATTAAGAAAACCGCAACATTCTGAAGACAGGTTTGTAGTAAATTTTGGAGGAGGAGGACGCTATATACCTTACAAAGCGGGAAGAGTATCCCTCTATTGAAAGCAGCAGGCTTGTACAGAGCCTTTTTCAAAGATTGGTATAGAGCAAAATGCAGCCTCTTGTTCTTTTTAATATCCTCTCTCACACGCGGAAGCAGAACGTACCTATAAAACCGCTGGATCTGACTCTCTTTCAAGTGGTGAGCAAGTATTCTTGTGGCTTGAAACATTGCGTTTGGTGACCATTTCTCTGGCTCGGTCAAGTATAACACATCCTCCCAGCGTTGCATTTTGGTGATCAGCACAAACGCTTTTGGCATTTTACCAATCGTGTACTCACTCATAATCTTGGCAACACTGCATAACATCATCCAAAAAAGTGTGAGGAAACACTTTATAAAATTCTGGTTGAAACTGAAGGAATATGAAAGAAGAAAACATTACCCTTTATATAATTTGCTTATATCAGGGTCTATTTCAGGATCAGGACGCTCTTCTACATAAAGATCAAAAAGTATGAGCTTTATAGTCAGCAATGTTATCCAGCAAGATACAACAATCAAACAAAAGCTGTAGAAGCAAAGATCTGTATCAAACCTTCGGCTAAGTCTGCATCATTATCTTTGATTTTCTTGATAATGATGTCAGCGAGAGTACGCTGAGGAGGTGCATTCTTAACAAAGAATGACTCAAACATCTTCTCGTCTTCCTCATTGATATCCTCCTGATATAAGTTACATGATAATATCAAACATTAAGCATGGCAAATCAATGAATGTAGTCTGTAACCAAAAAGAAGCAAAGCATTTTGCATTTTTTTTCTAAGCAAATTTATCATAAGCTGATGGTAACCTTTAAAATCCAAAATCATTTCGTTCTAAGCAAATCAAAATTATACATTTCGCAGAGAAGAAATTTGTGAATATAAACCTCTACAGAGAATCAAAGTACTCACTTGATAACTATCATCTTCAAATTTCCCATCGAAATTATCAATATCAGCAATATCATCTTCTTGCTCTTCCTTCAACTTCTTCTCCTCTACAGCAGTCACGGCGGCCGCAGCAGCAAACACGGCGCTCATAGGGTTATTCTCTAAGTTCTCTTCATCGTCAATCTCCTTCTGCTGGGCAAGAGCTTCCTTCATGATCTTCGAGCTCATACGAGCATTAATCAGCTGCAGAAACCACCCCCAAAAGGAAAATTATTAGCATCCCCAGTCAATTGAACAATCTAGAAAGCTTAACAGTTTCTGATGGGGTTTTCACTCACCGGCTCCTGTTTCTGATGGGTTTTAGGAACCTTAGACCGCTTCCTGGAGGAAGCAACGGAGGCGTCATCGGAGACAAATGGCTGAGTGTTGACAATTCGATCTCGCTTCTTAGACCCCATTGTTGTGAAAATAAGGTTTTTTTCTGTTTCCACAGGACGGCAGGAGAGAGAGAAGCAAACTGATAAAACTTTAAAACCTTTCGCTCATCAAATTAAAACCCTAATTGATTTTTTTTTTCATGGGAGTAAATGGATGGATATACGGGTGGGTTATCCAACCTGTACATCCTTGGGTCAGCCCATACGGCCCAATTATATTAATTGTTAGTTTGTTACACGGTCATTCTCTTCTTCTAATTTCTAGTGCAAGTGTTAGAGACAATCGAGGGGAGAAACAACCAAGTGTTACGAATGGATTTTTTAATGAATCAAATGTTAAAAATTATATCCATAATCTTCAAGATCTTTTTGATTTCTTGATAGTCGTATGGTCGATCTCGTAATGAGGCGGCTTCTCACATTCTATACACTGAGAGCCGTTCTCAGAGATTTAGAGCTCGTAAACAGAAAATGTGGTCTAAAAAAAATCTAATTTATTCAAATAATAAGCATTATCGAATATAAGATAAAAACAGAACTATAATAAAAAATACTTATCAATTAGCGAATACCATTTTATTATGTTCTTGACTCGTTGCTGTGAATAAAAGACGAACAGAAGAATTGCGACGGAGAAAAATAAAATAAAAGCTTAGCTCATTTAATTATATCAGTGGCTATGTGTTTTTCCTTAATATTGGTTGTATTGTTAAATTATTTTTTTAGATAATTGATAATTTAAGAATGAGAAACGTTTGTCTACTATAATATTAGTGTCAACAACTAATCATTTGGACCCTTTGAATTTTTTTCAAAATCTGGGCAGTAGGCCAATGTTTAAATCTTTTGTTCATAGGCACGCCCCTGTATACACCAAGTTAAAGTAGAACCTGGTCCATTTCACAAATTAAGCGACTAGGCCTGAGACTGAGAGTTGCAAGGACCTGGTTATGGCTTTACAGAGGAATATGGTTGCGCTTCATTGATGGTGGTATGGGATCTCAAGAGGTCAAAGTGTTTGTAGAAGAATCCGACGTAGCTAATCAAACCGTGGATAAAATTACTCTATACAAACACTTTGTTTTTATTTTTAACTAGACATGATGCGTTACGTAAGTACGTAACGTACGTATTCTTTTGTCTTGGGGCTAGTAATCTGATTTACCGTCAATGAAAGATGAAAGTTTCGACGTCTTGGATTGGCGGGACGTGGAACAAAGTGAATTATAGAATCTTGTTCAAGTTGGATTATTCTAACAATGCTTTAGAACTTAAAGGGGGGAAATAATTTAGTGGGAGACAAAAGGGAAATAGGCGTGAACCTTAGAGTTGGATCAATGGTAGTAGAATTAGTTCGGTGACATCTTTAATCTAATCAAACTAATTAAACACACTGTCGGATTTAATCATATACTTATAGAGGTTTATCTCCTCTTAGTGTCCACATCATGAAGAAAAAAAAACAACGTTAGAACAATATTTAATGATTCAACTAATTAACACACTAACTTTGAACTACTAAGATTAGTGTTACTAGAGTTTCGGAGCTTCGGTCCTCCCAACCTATAGAAACTAAATGAAATAATATTGGACAGCAAAGATAATGTGTCGCATTAATATTTTCACTCACCCGAGCAACTTTTTCGATTATTAAATTTATATGAGGTACGTGTATGCGACCTCTAGAATCCATATGACTTTTTGTTCCAGTTTATATCATATGATTTTTTATTTTTATTTTTTTGTTAGAGGTTTATATCATATGATTGATTTTATGAGATAGTGAGATACGTTCAATTTTCTCAATTGCAAATTTCACGAAAATTGAATTCGGGATTCTGACAGTAGATTCTCTCCTTTTCATTCTCAAGCTCAGTTTTTTTTTACTTTTGAATATCTATGAGAAATGGCAACACAAATTTAAATGTTACAAATAATTTTATTTAATACAATGTTGCAAATAATATTCATCTCTTATCTTTGAATGGTGGCACTGGTCTATGTGTACTCGCAAAGTTGTTGGAATTTGTTCTCATCTTTATGAGAAGATTCCTCGAATAGGGCCATTTAAGGTTGGCGTTTCCTTAAATGAAAAAGAATTAATGTAAAAGTGATGGTGATTAAGTGGGTTTTCATTATTCATTAGAAAAAACTTCGCTTGTTGTTTCTTTTGTTTTTTCAGGAATTTCAAAAATACATGTTTTAAGATTTTACAAACATTCATCAATCAGATTATAAAAATTTATGTCTAACTTTGTAATGGATACAAAATATCAAATTACTTTTCAGCAATTGTTTTTACAATTTTGAACATGCCTTTAAAATTTTGTCAAAATGATAGAGGCTACACATATGAAGAGAAAGTATATTACAAAAACATTTGGCAGGTTAAGTGGACAAAGCATTTCCCTATTAAAGATTCATATACATCTGATATAAACACATGACTTCCTATAAGTAGAAATCTTTAGTGTTGTCATATCGAGACAGATGAACATTTTTGGCAAATATTAGTGGGAGCATGCTCCTTTTCTTATTTCAAAGTATCACCAAATTGACTAGAATACGACAAAAAAGCCATGTTCTAACGAGAACAACTTTTTAATCACGGTGTTAAACAAAACAACAGGTACAAAAATATCAAAACATAGGACTTGTGGGGTCCACCTATGGAGCCTTTTTAAACTCGTTTGTGTTGATGAGGAGAAACCCAAAACACTTCCTCTAAGATTCTTTTACGTTTTCAGATATAGATTTTAAGATTTAGTGCTTATCTCTAAGTTCTAAGTTATACAACGATGGTGAAACGTGGTAGTTCTATCACGTCTTTAACCTTTTTTCTGCTTGTTTCTCTTGTGTTACATTTGCAGTTTGAAACTACAACGGCTGCGCGAAAATCAGTTAAAGTGTTTGGTCCGCCTATTTCTCACAAGTGGACGTCACCATCACCTCCAAAAGAAAACTTTGTAAGGTTCAAAATCAACATATACAAGAACATAGAACAAACTGCGTTCAGACCCACTGGTCCAGGTCCTAGCCAAGGCATAGGACACAAAGATCCTCCAGGTGCACCATGAAAGCAATCGTAGCCATTTTGGGTACGAGAAACAGTTGTTCTTGGTATTGATCTTTCTTTCGTTTTTCTGTTTCTGTAAACAGTTTTTGTTGTTGTTTGGAGTCGTTATGAACTTGAACCGGGCAAAAGAAAGATGTGTTGTGTTTTTTTTTCCTAAGTACGCAAGATAATTGTTTGGAATATTGCTTATATTCTTTGTTTTTGGGTTATTAATTTCGATTTATTTTTTCTTTCTCGGATTGTTATATACTTATATCACTTCCTAGTTCCTTTTTTGTTGCGGATGTGAACATCATATAAAATGAAAACTTAGGTTTTTAAATTTTTTTTTATATATCTTGGCAAAAACAAGAAATCAAAGAGATGGGAAAATCTGGTAAGGTCATTGCAAGCCATAGCTTTATTTGTTTGGTAGGGGAAAACAAATTATAATCTCAAATTTGCAAGCCATAGCCGCATCAGGTTGGTGATTTTTTTCTTCTATGTCTCCTCCTCGTGAATATTGTGTTGCGAACTTCACGATCAATTCCCTTGAAGATCGTCAGTTCTGAATTGATTGTTGTTTGTGGAGGACATTTGTTCCTTTGTTTCCAAAGGTGATAAACCGTAGCCTGCGACGAGCTTTCCTCAAAGTCGAAGGTGCATCTACAGAACTTCTGGTCCAAAACAGAAGCTCTGCTCATGAGAAGAACAAGATCAGCTGACACCCATTAGTCTATTACCAAGTCTTCAGAGAACTGGACACCAAACTTCTACGCTGTACTCACAAGTCAACAGCAGGTGGTCGGTCTCGTCTTTCTGAAATCTTGAACATAAGAATTAAGAAGCAGTTGAGATAGAATGAACATTATAATATTTAGGTAAACATTTGGAATATCGACCATCATTGATATCCAACCAATTGAATTGTACGTTTTTGTAAGAGAATTTGCACCCAGTAGCCATAGGAAGTGACGTTATTAAATATTCAACATATAGAGTTTCGTGACTTCAATCAGGAAAATATTTTGCTCCATTTTGTACCCATTTTAACCCCACACGTCTATTGCTCCCGGAGCGGTTGATTCAAGCCACGAGTAATTAATGAGACAGTTTAAGGAGACACGTTATTGAGACTGTAGGTTATTTCACGCGTGCGAAAAATTAAAAAAGTCTAAAAATTTACTAAATTACTTTATTTCACACAACAAAAAAGCAATTACTTTAGTACATTATTACTATATGATAATATATGACAATGTATTTAATCATCAATATATGTATATATTTTGATATTATTTTAGATGGTTCTCTATATGTTTATATGATTGTTTATATATTTCTATATATTTATATGTCAATTTATTTATTTGTCAACATATGTTTTCTTGGTGTTATATTATGATATGGTTGTCTACATATCTATGTGAATGTGTTTTTAGTGATTGAAATAGTATGTTTTGATTTTTTTTTTTATTAAATCTCCATATTTCTATGTGGTTGTCTACATTGACATATGACTATCTACGATTTTATATGACAATATATGCTATTTAGTTTTTTGGTGTGTTATAAATCAATATAACAAGTTATATGTTCTTATAATATGCTAAAATATATTATATCATATATCCACAATTATGTCTTGTATTTCGATTTGTTATTTATTATTTTGGTGCGTTATAAATAAATATATCTTGTTATTATAATTTTTGGTGTGCTAAATATATAAATAACAGCATAATAAAATATGTTTTGATAAATTACAATAAATATCATGTTATATTTACTATAATAAGTCATGTTTATAGAGCACTGGATTATCTCGGTTCATAAAAATTTCAATTTGATGTCAATGACGTAGGCATACGTAAGGCAGCCACAATCAGGTCAATTAAATTCCCTTCTCCAAACCGACCCCCATGCGCACACTTCATTGATTTTGCTCAACGTGTTGTGTCTCTCTTTTTATTTGGGTACCCTTTAGATGAATGCTAATAGCCATTTTACGATTTGTTTCTCACCTAAATAAAGGCCCAAAATATGCTATTTACCAAATTCACTCTTTTTTGTAACGACCCGGATCTTTATAGTGGGCCAAACTTAAAAATTTGGAGTTGAATATGGTTAAGGCCCAATTCTGTTTTTCTCCTTCGACGTGAAACGAAGAGGCGTCACTTCTTTTCTCCGAAAACCTAGCCGCACTCTTCACCTGCATCGAGAAAGAGAGATATCGTGAGAGCCTTTGTGAGGGGAAGAGAAAGAAAAGTTGAGAAGAAGAGACAAGAGTCTCGTGTAAGAGAAAGGGAGAAAAACCAGAGAAGGAAGAGAGAGGAAGGAGACCGTGAAGAAGTGGAGAGAGAGAGAGAGAGACGTACCGACGACACCAACGACGTCACCATCTTCATCACCGATCTACCACAGTCCGAGAAGTCACCCGTCGTCCTTGAGTCTCACCGTCGGTAAGTGCTCCTTGTCTCTCCGCCGCCGTCGTTCATGTTAGTTTCTCCCGAGAGTGATCGTGATGTTCTTCCACCATTGTTGTTGTTGCTTAGGTCCCAAGTTATCTCAACTCCACCTTTAGAGCTGCTGTTGCATATAGTGGAAGTTACGTTGTCGTTGTCTCCCGTAGGATTGGTACGTGAATGCCATAATTGGTCTATGTGGCCATTGTTGCTTGAAGCCTAAGCTTTTGTTGGTAATTGTGTTACAGCTCCACGTCATCTTGAGCCATCGTGTCTTGTGTTGTCTGTGCTCCATCTTCACGTCGTTCCGTTCCATCATCGTTACATCACAGTAGCCATCATCGTTGGAGCTCGTCACCACCGTTACTTCATCGTCATCATCCGTCTTACGTCATATGTAAGTGCTATCAATTGATCTAAGCAAAAAGTCCAAAAAAGTATTATAAATGACACTAGTGTTATCTTAGTCCAGCTTTCACATGCATTTTCATCATTTACTTCTTGCGGTTCTCTTCCTCTCTTCTACTTTTTTTCTTGTTTTGTCTATGAAAATATGTTTGTTCGGCTTTGTTTTTGTTCTCTCCCTTTGTTTTCATTTTAATGTTTGGTTTCTTTGTTCTTCTATGTTCTCCAAACTCAAAGCTGATCTTGGACTCCACCTAATTGTAAAATCTAATTTTTGACTTCAACAGATGCGAACCAAAGGTGTTTATCTCTTGAAGCCAAACTTGAAGCTGATCTTGGACTCCACCAAAACATAAAATCTAATTTTTGACTTCAACAGATGCGACCCAAAGTTGTTTATCTTTTGAAGCAATATGATTTCGTCCTCCTCAGTCCACACCCTCTTGAAATACATGTTTGTCTTCTCTTCTTTTTTGACGATACATTTCGTGTCCACGTTTCTTGATGAGCTTCTTTCTTCCAGAGGTCGCTTCTTGCTCTCTGTCTCTTCGTTCTCTTGTGTTTCAGTCTCGGACACTGAATCAATGTTAGGAGAAGGTAAGAAGAGAACATAGCTAAAAGTCCCGGGCACTGAAGATGAAACACAAGATAACAAAGAGACAGAGCAAGAAGCAACCTCTGGAAAAAAGAAGCCCATCAAGAGACACAGACACGAAACATGTCAAAATATAAGAAAAGACAAACACGTATTTCAAGAGGTTGTGCAGTGAAGAGGACGAAATCGTCTTGCTTCAGAAGATAAACACCTTTGGGTCAGATCCGTTGAAGTCAAAAAGTAGATTTTACGATCGAGTAATAAATTTTCAGAGACAAAACAAGAAAATAAAATAGAAGAGAGGAAGAGAAGAGCACCACAAGAAGTGAATGATAAAATGCATGTGAAAGCTGGACTGAGATAACACTAGTGTCATTTATAATACCTTTCTTTTGATGTACCTTATAAGTGCATCACTAGCCGTGTCACCAAAGTTTTATGCTCTTGAATCAATGTTAGGCACTTGTATGATCGATATATATGGTTTGAGAAAGTCTCATGTTACTATAAATTTGGTTATCCAATTCATCAGAAGATAGGCCCAGCCGCTCAGGGCCTAGGCTATAAAATCTACATAAAGTCATCGCATAAATTTAACAAATTACGAGGGTTTAAATTATGATATTCCTTGATGAAGTTCATGATATATATTGACCTTTCATAATAGAGTGCTTTCTCGACATAATTTTGCACCTCACAACAACAAAATGTCATAATATTCGTTGATCCACCGCATCAATCTTATGTGTAAGGCCTTTTGCTAACTTCCATACAGCATAATTTACACACATCATTATGTGTATCAGTGTATGTGTAACGGACTCAGCAATATGTTAAATTAACACACTGGGATTTGGGACTTGGGAGACATCACAGTGGCGGACCTAGAGATATATGTTACCTGGGTCAAAAATCAACTAAAGGTGTCATTGAGGGTGTTCGAACCAAGGTTTGGGGGTCAATATGAAGCTTTTACCATTCAAGCTGTTGGATTTATGTGTTTAATCCTTACAAAATAAAGTTTTATCTTATTTTAGGGGTGTCAATTGAATCAGTATCCTTGTATGACCTTTGGACATGAGATAATATACGCACAGTCGCACAGAATAAAATTACAATTCAAATTTTAATAGCCTCTCATATACTTATTTAACTCAACATTGAAATTTTATGTATGATTTACCGATTACACAGAATAGATGAGTAACTATGAGAAACACGTCGTATACAGTTTGAAAAGATCGATAGTTCAACTGTGAATATAGCTATCACACACTGGGAGGAAACACTTCTCATTGAGATCTACACTACACATCTATGTTTGTAAAACCAAAAGATTCTGTGTTAGGTAGGAATATGATACGACATTAGTCAAAGTATGACCATATCTTATAAGTAAATAACACATACGAGTATAAAGTTCAAACAGATTATTCCCGCTCGTTAAGCTCGTGCTATGACTTGATTTGGCCAAGTGGGACATGTCCTGATATCTTACCAACTTCAAATAAAGAACGTGAAAAAAACGTTGTCTATACCATTAGACAATTGAAAAATAGCTCATGCTATAATAATGGTAAAGCGGATGATTCCATCTGGTTAAGCTCATTGTGGGTCCTACGTGAATAATTACACTATTATAATATGGTTCTGCTTATCCAGAACAAACCTACTACACCATATACGTAATGTAAAATTTTTGTTCAGCTGTCAAAAACAAAAGTCTGAAAACTATGGAATGTATTTGGTTGTCAAACAAAATAGTATATTATTTACAAACCTATTAAAACAAACTAAAAATTAAAATTTAACCCCTAAACATATCAACTTTTAAATTAAAAATAAACTTGCCTCGCTAAACTCGTTTCGTTCTTACAAATACAACATCCAAAATCAATTTTTGTCGTATAATGGTTTAACCAAACCCCATGGCCCCCATAACTAATTCAAAAAATGAACATATATATTTCTTCCTTTCAAAATATATTAAATTTAATCCCACTGAGGGTACATATTTACCTATAAAGTTTATACATAAATCAAGTTTTTCAAATCAAACAATTACCAGTTCACCAAGAACAATATGGCTCCACTTCACTTCACCATTTTCATCTTCTTCTCTTTCATTTTCGCAACCTCATCGTCAGGCTTGGCACCATCGCGTCACCCATTTGATCCCTTAACCGAGACCGAGCTCAAACTTGTCCGAACCATCATCAACAAATCGTACCCTATTGGTCCGAGCCACAAGTTCACTTTCCAATACGTGGGTCTCAACGAACCCGAAAAATCCCTCGTCTTGTCGTGGCACTCATCACGGAACCACACCGTCAAACCACCGCCACGTCAAGCGTTCGTTATCGCTCGAGACAACGGAAAGTCCCGAGAGATCGTCGTCGACTTTTCCTCTCGAGCCATCGTCTCGGACAAGATCCACGTAGGCAATGGTTACCCTATGCTCACAAACGACGAGCAAGAAGCAGCCAGTGACGTTGTTCTCAAGTTCAAGGCGTTTCTTGATGCGGTCAAGAAACGTGGCTTAAACGTTTCTGAGATAGTTTTCACGACGTCAACGATTGGTTGGTACGGTGAGAGTGAGGCCGAGACGGAGAGGGTTATAAGAATGATGCCGTTTTATATTGGCGGCACCGTTAATATGTATCTTAGACCTATTGAAGGAATGACCATACTCGTTAATCTTGACGTAATGAAGGTATCGGAGTTTAACGATATGTTTACGGGTCCTATGCCGAAGGCGAACGGAACCGAGTACCGTATCTCGAAGCTTAAGCCGCCGTTTGGACCGACGCTTAGAAACGCCGTTGTTTTGCAGCCGGACGGTCCAGGGTTCAAAGTAGATGGACACATCGTGAGGTAAAATCATTAGCAATTATGGCTTATGGGCCTCTCTCTGTCTCCCACGCCGTTTTAGATAATATTCGCAAATAATATATATACGGAAATTATAAATTTAAAGTTGTCACCGTGAAGAGTTAAATGCTCTCTAGTTTTTGTTTTTTGTCAAAAAAATTGCCATCTTTTAACTTTTAAGCCAATCACTTCTTTCTAGTTATGGTAGCTTCAGTTTATAGTGAAAGAACAATTAATACTGAAAATATATTAAATCTTCTTATCTGTTCGCACTTATTTTCATCTAAGCTGAATTGTTTTAAAAATGAATAATTCAGTAATATATTGGTAATTAAAATAAAAACCATCAATATTAGTAGTTTGCACTTTGCACCAATTAATTTCCAAGTCAGTTTGTCAAATATAGGAGTTGATTTATTACTACTAGTCTTCTTTTTTAGCAATGGTAGTTTGCACTTTGCACCAATTAATTTCCAAGTCAGTTTGTCAAATATAGGAGTTGATTTTTTACTACTACTCTTCTTTTTTTAGCTAACTCCGTGAATCCTACAATTTTAAAATCCGGAATAAATGATAAACTTTTACAAAAAAAGAAGAAGAAATGATAAACTTTCGGCTAGCTTTCACTATTTTAATCATTATTATAATGTATACTGTTACCATTTGAAACATGTGTTGTCCAAAAGAAAAAAACAAAATATGAAATTTGAGGACCCATGCACGATTAGTGTGTCCCAAAGTTGTCTATTTGGCACTATATACTGTCTCTATTATTTCCCTTCATGTGTGACTCTAAAATTTACGTGAATAAAAAATTTCATTCCTTCTATCCCCACACAGATACTTCAGATTTCAAACTTTGGAATCACTCTTATTTTTATTAATTCATTTATTCACGATCCGATCTGTAGTTTTATACAATACTTTTAAAGTTTATTTGTTATTTTTTTTTAATCAGTAAAACTAATAAAAACTAGATACCATTTCAATCTATATACAGTATATGTGAAAGATAGATACGTCAAAGACTGAAATCCTTTTTATGTTTTCCAGTTATGGTTTCTTTGTGCCATTTATATAACTATTTATCGGTAAGATAATTCGTTGACAGACTTACAGACTTACTGATTTTATTGTGAAAGAAACATGAAAACTGATAACTATTAGACCCAAAGTTATTATACTTGCTGATTTTATACAATATGCTGGTGCGTATATAGATGGGCAAATTGGGAGTTTCACATTTCGTTTGACGTCCGAGCCGGTATCGTAATCTCTCTTGCGTCCATTTTCGACATGGAAGTGAAAAAATACCGACAAGTTCTATATAAAGGTCATCTGTCGGAGATGTTCATACCTTACATGGAACCAAGTGAAGATTGGTATTTCATTACTTACCTAGATTGTGGCGATTTCGGCTGCGGTCAATGCGCCGTGTCCCTTGAGCCATACACCGATTGTCCAGCAGGTGCAGTTTTCATGGACGGGGTTTTTGCCGGTCAAGATGGAACTCCCGCAAAAATCCCAAATGTTATGTGCATCTTTGAGAAATACGCTGGAGATATCATGTGGCGACATACGGAAGCTGAAATCCCAAACTTGGAAGTAATAAAACATATATTCATGTTGTTAATTGTTATATATATATATGATAACTAAAATACATGATTTATATCTTGTGATATATGATGATGCATGCAGATTACGGAGGTTAGACCGGACGTAAGTCTTGTAGCCAGGATTGTGACGACCGTTGGGAACTACGACTACATAGTTGACTATGAGTTCAAGCCTAGTGGTTCCATCAAAATGGGGGTAAAGCCTTCTTTTTCTTGCCTTTGTCTATTATATTTCGCCTACTATACATTTTCGTCCCTTTCGTTTATCAATTTAATATTAACACAACCATGAATCACGTGAATCATACATAAGTGAATGATGACAAAAAATATTCATAAAAAAGGAGCGAAGACAAAATAAAATCATGATTGAACCACAACGAGAAGATTTGGATTCTCGACTCTGCATCATTACATGTTGGCCATTCCTATCAACCGGTTTGAATTGGCTATAGTTTTCTATCTTTTTTTCATTCCGTGAAATCATCTCAATGAATATTTAACCAAAAAAAAAAAAAAATCTCAATGAACAGAATCGAAAATTTCGGTTTGGTTTGATTTCAGTTCACTTTGATAAAATTAATTTTGAATTTTTATTAATTCAAAAACATTTTAGTTAAATGATTTAATACTTTCTATCAAGATTTGGGTTTCTTTTGTTTTCACGATGTGACAAAAATAATGTTTAATTAAAATTCAGTTTAAAAAAAAAAAATTCAGTCTGATGATATTTCACTTTTGATGTCGATTAGGTTAATATGCTCAATATATATTGTTCCCTTGCCTAAAATGGATATTGTTGGAAATAACATTGTTACCTCTTTAACATGCGTAGGTTGGCTTGACCGGTGTTCTAGAAGTTAAACCGGTAGAATATGTCCACACATCAGAGATAAACGAAGAAGAAGAAATCCACGGGACAATTGTCGCCGACAACACCGTCGGAGTCAACCACGACCATTTTGTAACATTCCGTCTTGATCTGGACATCGACGGTACAAGTAATTCCTTTGTCCGTAACGAACTCGTGACCAAGAGAACCGCAAAATCTGTTAACACACCAAGAAAAAGCTATTGGACGACGAGGCCAAAGACGGCCAAGACCGAGACTGAGGCTCGGGTGAAACTAGGATTAAAGGCGGAGGAGCTGGTGGTCGTTAACCCTAACCGGAAAACGAAACATGGCAATGAAGTTGGATACCGTTTACTTGCTGGGCCAGCTACAGGCCCAATTCTGGCCCATGACGATTACCCACAGATCCGAGCTGCATTCACCAACTATAACTTGTGGATCACGCCGTATAATAGGTCGGAGGTTTGGGCCGGCGGTTTGTACGCCGACCGTAGCCAAGGCGACGATACATTAGCCGTGTGGTCTCAAAGGTATAATTTACATCTCTGCGTCACATTCTTGTTTATGTAAAGTCGTAGGTATTATTTTGTATTTGGAGACGCATTAATATGTATTGTAATTAAATGTGACAGGAATAGAGAAATAGAGAATAAAGGTATAGTAATGTGGTACACCGTTGGATTCCATCACGTCCCAAGCCAAGAAGATTTCCCGACGATGCCTACTATGTCTGGTGGCTTTGAACTCCGACCGACCAACTTTTTCGAGCAAAATCCTGTTCTCAAGAGCAAACCCATTAAGCTCACCACTGCTAAAAAGTGTATTCCCAAAAATGAGTAAGAAGTAGCTTAAAAGTATCATTGATGAACATCATTTGATCTATACAGGTGATGGATTCAAGAATAATTATGTGGTTTTGAATTCGAATAAATTGTTTTTAAAAATAATCAGCTTGTTTGATCAACTATTCATTTATGTGTAAGTTCTCCTTCTCTTTTTGAGGTGTATTTCGAATGTTGCTTTGGGGCTGTGTAATTTTTTTTTTCAGCTTTAGCTTTCATTGTAATAAGTTGTTCAACAACAACATTGTATTTGTATCCTTTTAACAAAAAAAACAACATTGTATCCTTCAGAAAATGGTATAAATCTTAACATGCATACCCAAAAAAAAAGAATATAATTGGTATTGATAACTTTATACAGAAACTGTGAGCTCTTAATTATAATTGTATCCTTTAAATCAGCCAACCAACTGTGAAATTCAAAGAGACCCCGACTTTTAAGCCGATATCTGTCTTTCTGTTTGTGGTAAGCATTCAGTGCAAGAACACACTACATATGATATTACCTTATACAACATGTGTTGTCAAGACTGATGGACAAATAACAAATTTTGTCAACAAATCAAAATAATTTTGTTAGACTTACCACGTCATACTCACATGTTTCTATGTTCGGACTACGAAACCCTAATTATGTATCATGTAAGTGTAAAAGAGGGAAATTTTTGGCTATATAAAGTCTACCTACAGACCCAAGTCCATCAAATCACAAAGTAATGGCTCAGCTTCAGTCCACAATCTTAATATTTGCTTCCATTTTCGTAATCTCATCCTCAAACTTCATCCAGCCTCCTCATCCCTTTGATCCCTTGACTGAGACCGAACTCAAACTCATCCGTAACGTCATCAATAAAACGTACCCCGTTGGTCCGAAGCATAAGTTCACTTTCCAGTACGTTGGTCTCAACGAGCCCGATAAGTCCTTAGTCTTGTTGTGGCATTCATCACCGCACCACAACGTCAAACCACCGCCACGTCAGGCGTTCATCATCGCCCGAGAGAAGGGAAGGACCCGAGAGATCGTCGTTGACTTTTCTTCCCGATCCATTGTCTCGGACAAGATCCACCTAGGCAATGGTAACCCTATGCTTACTAACGACGAGCAGGAAGCAGCCACGGCACTTGTTCGCAGGTTTAAGCCGTTTCGTGAATCTATCAAGAAACGCGGCTTGAAATTATCGGAGGTTGTGGTCACGTCCTCAACAATGGGATGGTTCGGTGAGACCAAGACCGATAGGCTTATAAAAACGATACCGTTTTACCTCAACGGGTCGGTGAACCCGTATCTTAGACCTATTGAAGGAATGACAATAATCGTAAGCCTTGAAAAGAAGAAGGTAACAGAGTTTAAGGACAGGTTCATGGCTCCTCTGCCCAAGGCCAACGGGACGGAGTACCGTATCTCAAAGCTCAAACCGCCCTTTGGCCCGGTGCTTCGAAACGCCGTCGTTTTACAGCCTCACGGTCCAGGGTTCAAGATTGATGGACACATCGTGAGGTAAAATGACTAACACCTATTTGGCCACACGCACCATTACCATAGTAGATAATGTTTTTGCAAATAATGGTTATGCTATTTATAGAAAATAAATTAAATGTTTTTCAGCATAAATAGTAAGCTAATAACAGCTTTTTAGCCTTTTTTATGCTTCTGGTTATACATTTTTTTTGGCTTTTTCGTTGTTGTTGTTCTCATCTAAACTTTTAAGTGAAATCTAGCTCATATTACCGTAAATGATTTTGGCTATCGATGAGTTGGAACATTTTCTTTTAGTTGCCTCCGGTTCTGCTGGTGAGAAAAACAACAAAGAGTATCTTGGCTAGTAAGATTGAAAACATAAAAATAAAGATTCATAAAATTAGAATTGATTAGTTTTATTTGGTGGTGAAATAGATGGGCAAATTGGGAGTTTCACATGTCTTTTGACGTTCGAGCCGGTCTTATCATCTCTCTCGCATCCATTTTCGACATGGACATGAAGAAATACAGGCAAGTCCTATACAAAGGCCATTTGTCGGAAATGTTTGTACCTTACATGGATCCAAGTGCTGATTGGTACTTCATCACTTATCTTAATTGTGGTGAATTTGGCTGCGGCCAATCCGCCGTGTCACTTGAGCCGTACACTGATTGTCCCGCGGGTGCCGTTTTCATGGATGGTATCTTCGCGGGTCAAAACGGAACTCCTACAAAAATATCAAATGTCATGTGCATTTTTGAAAAGTTCGCCGGTGACATTATGTGGCGACATACCGAAGCTGAGGTTCCCGGTTTAGAAGTAATAATTTACAGTATCATATATTCACCATATTATGATATATATAATATGAAACTCATGACTGATAGTTACGTAAATGTTGATGCAGATCACAGAGGTAAGACCGGACGTAAGTCTTGTTGTCCGGATGGTGACGACTGTGGGGAACTATGACTACATCATTGATTACGAGTTCAAACCTTGCGGTTCCATAAAAATGGAGGTAACGTCTTTTCGAAAACTTTGCTTATTTAGATTACTGATATAAATGACTTAGTTGTTCATATATGAATGTCTACATTTTAAAGAAAGAAAAATAACTGCATCCTGTATTCATCAAACATGAAACGAAAATTGTATAAACATATATATGCGTGAGACACCAACACAGAAGACGAAAAAAAGTTTGTGATATATATTTTTTTTTCTAATATATAAACGTAAGCACAAGTGTTTCAGAAAAAAAATTCCAATAATAAGATTGAACCAGATGAGATCGATATACATGGGGGGCCTATATATATCCGCACTTGATTTGTTCAAACCTAATGTTATCGCTTAAATATCGCACCTAGGTTGGTTTAACCGGTGTTTTAGAAGTTAAACCGGTGGAGTATGTTCACACGTCGGAGATCAAAGAAGAGGATATCCACGGGACAATTGTCGCAGACAACACCGTTGGAGTAAACCATGACCATTTCGTGACATTCCGTCTTGATCTTGACATCGATGGTACGGACAATTCCTTTGTCCGAAACGAACTTGTGACCAAGAGGAGTCCGAAATCTGTTAACACACCGAGAAAAAGCTACTGGACGACAAAGCGAAAGACAGCGAGAACCGAGGCAGAGGCTCGGGTGAGACTAGGACTGAGAGCGGAGGAGCTGGTTGTGGTTAACCCTAACCAGAGAACAAGGCATGGCAATGACGTTGGATACCGTTTATTTCCTGGGCCGGCTTCAGGCCCACTACTGACCCAAGATGATTACCCACAGATACGGGGAGCATTCACCAACTATAACGTGTGGATCACGCCGTATAATAAGTCCGAGGTTTGGACTAGCGGTTTGTACGCCGATCGTAGCCAAGGCGACGACACATTAGCCGTATGGTCTCAAAGGTAGTTTAAATTTACATCACTACTGTATTTAAAATTTGCTACTTTTTTTTTTAATTAATGTTCTAACAGAATGTGTATCTTTTCTTTTGTGTGGATAAAATCACAGGAATAGAGAAATAGAGAACAAAGATATAGTCATGTGGTACACCGTTGGATTCCACCATGTCCCATGCCAAGAGGATTTTCCGACGATGCCTACTTTATCCAGTGGCTTTGAACTCCGGCCGGCCAATTTTTTCGAGCAAAATCCTGTCCTCAAGACTAAACCCTTTAAACTCACTACTACTCCAAAGTGTACTCCCAAGACCGATTCATAACAAGCTTATCATTATTATTTCATGATTTGATCCGTATGATCCGAGAGATAATCATGCGTATTAATGAAAGAAATAAAGAATTTAACTTTTCTATCGACATTGGTACTTGGTAGTATTTATGACTTTGGAAAATTGGAATGCTGGTTCAATGATTGGTTAGACAGTTTTATATTTGGTGAATGAGTTTAAAAAAAAAAAAAAAAAAAACTTATAACCATATAGATATAGAAAAAAATTTAAAGTAGAAAATGAGGCTATGATTTCGCTGCTTCTTTCTCTTTTATTGCTTTCGCTTTTGTTCATCGCTCAGAAAATGTCACCGCTGATGCCATGGCAAAGAGATACTTGTGTGATCTCTCCACCTCTGCTTCTCGTGTGTAAGACTCTGTTTTATATGAATGAGAAAGTATTTGATGCTAAAAAAAAAGAAAGAAAATGAGGCCATAACGGGTTGACCCACCAAAGTTTCTTCTCTTCATCTACTTAAGATTCAAAACAGCACCAACTTTATTAACACAAAAGCCAAGCAAAGAACCCAACAACCCAACCATAACAACAAAGAACATATCCACTCTTTTACAAAACACGCGTATATAAAAAATATGTATTCGTTCACAAATAGTTATTCTCCGTAATTGTGGAGTAAGTAAGCCTCTTTTACCCTCACTGGGGATTTAAGAACAAATCAATGGAGGTTCAAGAACAAGATACTCGGAAGAGGCGACCCGAGTTGTTCTCTCTCGTTTTCGTTTTCATATTTTTGTTTGGTCTCGCCGCGTTTTCCCTTTGCCTCGCGTCTGAGTTTCAGAAGGCTAAGGTGAATGGTTTTACCAGATTACTTGTTGCTCAAGTTATCCATTATTGTATACTAATTAAGAACAAAAGAATCTGGTAAAGTAAATTGTTTTTTTTTTTTTTTTTTCAGGGGAAAGATCTGAAATGGGACGGAGAATCATGTTATTTACCCGAAAATCATGCTTTCGGGTTAGGAACCGCCGCTCTGGTTTGTGTTTCGGTTGCTCAAATCATCGGAAACGTTGTGATTTGTAGAGGTTTCTTGAAAACAAACAAAACGGGAACGACGCCGTTTTGTGTATGTCTTCTGTTGTTTTCCTGGTAAGAAAGAGGTCAAATCAAAATCTAGAAAGGAAAACAAATGAATTAGTAGTGATAATTCTTTAATTGCAGGATTAGTTTTGCTGTTGCAGTTACGTTGATAAGCATTGGTGCAAGCATGAACCGAGAGCAGAGATACGGCAAAGGGTGGCTAAACCGTGAGTGTTACCTTGTGAAGGACGGTGTGTTTGCAGCGTCTGGCGTTTTGTGCGTTACATCACTGGCCGCGGTTCTTGGAGCGTTTGCGTCCAACGTCAAATCATCATTACAGGTTGAGACTAAAAACAAAATTCATACAAACAATGTGTAGTAGTTATATTCCTTTTATTTAAATGCCGCTTTTTTAACTCTGAGACTTAACTAGAAAAACAATCTTGGTCATAGATATTAAATATTTAGATTGGTTAGTAGAATGTGAAATATGATTGTCGATCACTGTTCCAAATTTGCAAATGCTATTTTTTCCGCTTTTGGAATGTTTAGAACTGACAATTAAAACAAGACTCCAGCGTGAGAATTCGCGTTTAGAATGAATCTGCGTTTTCCACTTTTGAGGCCAACCGAAACGTTTTTTTGGCGTAAAGAGAGATTGTGAAAGTTTTTTCTAGTTGATGGAGACTGAGCATCTAATTAATTCCCAGAACTGATTAAAGGTGAAAACGACGTCACACCTCACTCTTCTTTTTTAAAAACGACACCGTTAACGCCAATAAACCCCAACAGAATCAAGATCCTCCGTCTGGAAAGCAATGTAGGAAATAATCAACGGCTAAAAATCGTTTCTTGGCCCGCAAGCAATTCTGGCCATAATGCATTACTTTCGTTTGCCTTTTTTAGATCACTTGAGTGATATAGACACTAACCAAACTATATATTTTGACGGAGTTAGCAGATTTCAGAAACAGTAACTAACAAATGAAACGATGATTAAATGAGTTCCTGAGTTAGATTTTGAACAAGGTCCAAAGAAACAAGAGTCTCCAAAACGAAAACTCATATCTTCTTGATAGAATCTTCAATGAAACACATTAACAAAAGAGAATCTGATAATGCTTCATTAACAAAACAGGTATCGTTTCAGAAACTTGAAGAAAATGTTACTCAATAAACTCCACCATGGATATCAAAAGAATTCAGCATATATGCACAAACTGAAAACAACCGGAAACTAGAGTAAGAGTCTAGTTATGAACATTGCTCTGTACAAAAGAAAGAAGCATGAAAGGAAAGCCGAAGATGAGAAAGAGAGACTTTAGACTTTTTTGTTATATGTATAAGGGAAGTAATACGAGTCGATGTATATGCAGTGAAACAGAGTCACTTGGAAGCTGAAGCGGATGATGATGCTTCACCGCCTGGAGGAGTACTCTTCTCATCATCCTGAGAAAGATACAAACCATTTGAAAAAACTTTCCCATTTACACACCTCTTTGCTTAAGATCCTCAGGTTTCAGTTTTTTACCTTAGTAGTGTTGGTGGTAGGTTTTGGCGCTGGCACACTTTTCACCTTCAAGTCCTGTTATATGAAAAGGAAACAAATTTGACTTAGTACATAATTAGATATAGGCGATGATTAGAAACATGAAGTAGATCTTTCGTATAATGATAATATCAACCTTAATGTCTTTGAGGAAAAACTGGTAAAGCCCTTCGACTGGATGATAACCCGCAATATACTTCGTACGCGACACTGCACAAAATTAACATAACACAAAGAACATACATTGTGATTACTATGATAACAACGAAATTAAAAAAATATCTATTAGAGTAAAAAGAAGAAAAATCATATTTTTCATATCATAATAGAAAAATTTCTCATTCATCAAATTTATATTGTCCAAACACATATTAAAATTCAAAATAATGTAATAAATAAAATCCTATTTGTACATTAGGAAAAATCAGAAAAAAAGAAATAAACAATTAAAAAGAAAAAATATTACATCCATTAGGAAAAGTAAAGAAGAAACATAATCCTATTACGAAAAGGAAAAAAAACGAAAAATCAGAAAATTATGAAGAAATAATTAAAAAATTGTTACATCCAATAAGATAAGGAATAAAAAAACATATTCCAAATACGAAAAGGAAAATATAACAAGCTATATTTTTTAAGTTTCTTTCTCATTAAGAAATAAAAAATCATGTTTTAAAAGTTCAAGATATCAATGAAGAATAATTAACTTTAGATCGCTACATGTGTCTAATATTTGATGGTGATGACATATGTCAACACAATAAAATTGGAAAAATGTAGTAACATAAATAAATAAACTAACAAAATAATTGTAAAACAACTAATTAATAATGAAAATGAAAATTTATAATGGTAAGAGGCAAACACAAAATTGAAAAAGAAACAATATAAATAGAAAACTAACAAAATAATTATCAAGGAACTAAATAATATTAAAAAGAAAGTTTTATAATGGACCAATCTTCTAATATTAAATAGTTAAATTTTCCATTTTTTTGTTAGATAAAACAATATTAAAAAAATTCATCAATATTTAGAATAAAGGTTTCAGCAATGGAATAATCAAAGTTTCATAAATTAACGAGTCCATTAGATTTAGACACATGTAAGCTTTTCTATTTCATATCATGAATTCAAAATTAAAATGTAAAAATATTACATATCTTAGTTTATTTAGAGATTTATTATCGGGTTTTTAATATTATTTTACTTATTTTTAAAAGTGATCAAATTTTGTTTAATATTCTTTCACATGATTTTTATAAAAGGAAATTAAAATAAACCCGCGTATACGCGGGCCTAATCTAGTAATACAATAAACCAAGTATATCATGGATTTAATTATTTGTCTCTTACATTAAAACTCTTTTTTATACAAACATATGATTTTTATCTTGATTTTGACGAACCAAAGATATACTATCATGCATTTAATTTGTCTCTTGCATTAAACCTTTTTCTTTAGACGACATATAATTTTCATACTACTAAATTTAACAAACCAAAGATATATCACCATGCATTTAATTTGTTCCCAAGATAAAACCGGAAAAACTATAGAACTCAAACCAATACGAAATCGAATTCGGGTTCAATAGCTCGTGATTTGAACCGAAATTCCGGTTTAACAGCTCTAAAGTATACTGTAGCGACATTTGATTGATACACACGCGTGTTGGTTTAGCTATCGAGGACCACCTGGTGGCTAAGCAAAGACGAGACTCTCTTTGGTTACTAAAATCTCAATCACGTTTTTCATCTTCCAGATCTAAGCTCCATTGGATCAGAATTATCGCCGACGGTCACGGGAACAAGCATATAAAGGAGGAGCAATTTTCGCATGGTCTCTTTTCCGATTCCTGATCGGAAAAGCCTTAATCCAATCGCCGTTCCGTCGATAATCGATCGGTTGAAGAAGGAGAGAATCACTGGTTGAAATTTGGTGCTAGGGATTTGATTTGAGTGAGTGAGAAAAATGGAGCAGCTGAAGACGATTGGAAGAGAGCTGGCGATGGGATCGCAAGGAGGGTTTGGTCAGTCGAAAGAGTTTCTCGATCTGGTCAAATCAATCGGCGAGGCACGATCTAAGGCTGAGGAAGATCGGATCGTGCTCAGCGAGATCGACATACTGAAACGGAGGTTGCTGGAGCCAGATGTGCCCAAGAGGAAGATGAAAGAGTACATTATACGGCTCGTTTACATTGAGATGCTCGGCCACGACGCTTCCTTTGGCTACATTCACGCCGTGAAGATGACGCATGATGATAATCTGCTCCTCAAGCGTACCGGTTACCTAGCAGTCACGCTCTTTCTCAACGAGGATCACGACCTCATTATCCTCATCGTTAACACGATCCAGAAAGATCTCAGATCCGATAACTATCTCGTTGTTTGTGCTGCACTTAATGCAATCTGTAGGCTGATCAACGAGGAGACGATTCCGGCGGTTTTGCCTCAGGTGGTGGACTTGCTTAATCACCAGAAGGAAGCTGTGAGGAAGAAAGCGATCATGGCTCTGCATAGATTTCACCGGAAGTCTCCTTCTTCGGTCTCACATTTGGTCTCCAATTTCAGAAAGAGGTTATGCGATAACGATCCGGGAGTTATGGGTGCTACGCTTTGCCCACTGTTTGATCTCATAAGTGAAGATGTTACTTCCTACAAGGATTTGGTCAGCAGCTTCGTCAGCATTCTCAAGCAGGTCACTGAAAGAAGATTGCCAAAGAGTTACGATTACCATTCAATGCCTGCACCCTTCATCCAGGTTCGGTGTCATATGTATCTTCTTCGCTTACCTCTTACAATTGGTGATCAAGTTTGTCACTTTATGCTCTTTGCACAATTTTTGTTTGTTTTGTTTTAGATCAAGTTGCTGAAGATAATGGCGCTGCTGGGTAGTGGTGATAAGAGTGCGAGTGAAATGATGTACATGGTTCTTGGAGACTTGTTCAGAAAGTGCGATTCCTCTACAAATATAGGAAATGCGATCCTTTATGAGTGTATTCGCTGTATTTCTTGTATACTTCCAAATCCCAAGCTGTTAGAAGCTGCTGCTGAAGCTATCTCCAAGTTTCTGAAGGTTTGTCTTCCTGACATGTATGCTGCTTACTCTTGTTAACCTTTATGATTGTATCTAAATCTCATGGGAACTATTTGCAGAGTGATAGTCACAATCTAAAGTACATGGGGATTGATGGTCTTGGTCGATTGATAAAAATAAGCCCAGACATTGCTGAGCAGCACCAACTTGCTGTGATAGATTGTTTGGAGGTGAGCAGCCGCAAGCGATTTTTTTTTTTCAAGTTTTTCTTGTTAGCACATTGTTTGTTTTCTTGACTGATGTTCTTTTCGTTGCTAATGTTCGACAGGATCCAGATGATACACTAAAGAGGAAGACATTTGAATTGTTGTATAAAATGACCAAGTCCTCTAATGTAGAAGTGATTGTCGACCGAATGATCGATTACATGATTAGTATCAATGATAATCATTACAAAACTGAGATAGCATCTCGTTGTGTTGAGTTGGCAGAACAATTCGCTCCAAGTAATCAATGGTTCATACAGGTAGCAAGCAAACCACTGTGTACTTGTATACTCTCGTCATGGTTGACGGAATTTTAAATGTGTCCATACTGCAGATCATGAATAAAGTCTTCGAGCATGCAGGAGATTTGGTAAATATTAAAGTGGCTCATAACTTGATGCGTTTGATTGCTGAAGGATTTGGAGAGGATGATGACGATGCAGACAGCAAGCTTAGACTATCAGCTGTATGTATTTCATTCCATTTGTGTTCATTCTGATTTTATGTGCAAAGAGTGGTGTTTTAGTTTTCGTGATATATGGACTCCTTTTCAACAGAGGAATGAGTTGATTTATGAAATTTCGATCTTAAAATTAGGATAGAGTAAATCGGATCATCTTTCTTACGTCCTGGTTTTGTTTTGTTGGTTTAGATACTAAGTTTTTCTGTTGTGCTTATGAGTGTGCTTTTCTTGATGCAGGTAGAATCATACTTGAAGATCATTAGCGAGCCAAAGCTTCCATCCCTGTTTCTTCAGGTAGATTTTGTTTTCTGACCTTTCCACTTGCCATATATTTTTCACATCGAATCTACGCTTCTTACTTTTGAATTTAACTTCCAGGTCATTTCTTGGGTCTTGGGAGAATACGGTACAGCGGATGGGAAGTATTCTGCTTCCTATATTAGCGGAAAGCTGTGCGATGTGGCAGACGCATACTCAAGTGATGAAACTGTTAAGGTACTTTCTCAGTGTTAAACTATCATCCGAGAAAACCTTTGCAAGCTTACGTGTTCTAGCCAATTAGGGTTGTTTATGCTGTAGCTTCTTAATTTATAACAGTCGACTTCTCATTTAGATCTCCACTCTTGTTAGTTTTATTAGAAAAACATGATGATGACATAGAAGGCTCAGTAAACAAAGCTATGATGACTGAATTCCATGCAAATATGACTAACACATTGCATGCCAACTCGTTTTTTGAAAATGTATAACTTAAAATGTGCATGTCATGAGAGTGATGGTGTTACTGGTTACCGCAAACTCAGTCCAGTTGCTACGTGTATGTTTACCAATGGTTTCCTCTTCTTTTTGAAGGGTTATGCTGTTTCTGCACTGATGAAGATCTATGCATTTGAAATTGCATCTGGAAGAAAGGTCGATGTATTGCCAGAGGTATGTATCTTTAAACAGATCTGAAGTTGAAAACCCAATCTATGGCCCGCTTTGTCACGGACTGACTAGTTTTATAATGCAGTGCCAATCTTTGATTGAAGAGCTACTGGCTTCACATTCAACAGATCTTCAGCAACGTGCATATGAGCTTCAGGCTCTCATTGCTCTAGATGCCCGTGCTGTCGAGAGTATAATACCTTTAGATGCTAGTTGCGAAGACATCGAGGTAACCTTTTTCTTCTTCACTACCTTCCCTTCTAACGCGGATTTCTTGAATCTCATGGTCTTTTTTTTTTCTTTCTGATTTTAGGTTGATAAGGATCTTTCATTCCTCAATGGCTACATCCAACAAGCTATCGAGAGTGGAGCACAACCTTATATTTCTGAGAGGGAACGCTCAGGGATGTTTGAAACCACTGATTACCATTCTAATGATCATCACGAAGTTACATCTCATGCTCTCCGATTCGAAGCCTATGAACTTCCAAAGCCATCAGGGCCACCAGAAGCTTCGACCGAGCTTGTTCCAGTAACCGAGCCTTCTTACTACACCGAGTCCCACCAGCCAATCTCAACATCTCTGGCGTCTGAACGAGAATCGTCAGAAATCAAGCTGCGACTAGATGGAGTTAAGCAAAAATGGGGTAGGCCGAGCTATCAACCGACCACATCAGCTTCTTCTACTCCTCAGCAAGCAGCAAACGGTACCACTACACACTCAGATGGAGGAGGAGTTGGTTCATCTAGCTCAAAGCCTCGAAGCAGTTACGAATCAAAGAAACCGGAAGTTGACCCCGAGAAACAGAGACTCGCTGCATCCTTGTTCGGTGGATCATCATCATCAAGGACTGATAGAAAGTCATCTTCTGGTGGTCACAAGCCAGCAAAAGGAACAGCTAACAAACCAGCAACCATCCCCAAGGACCCTGTTCAGCCACCACCACCAGACTTGCTCGACTTCGGCGAGCCAACTGCTACAACCGTTGCAGCGACGGATCCTTTTAAAGAGTTGGAAGGGCTTCTAGATTCTTCGAGCCAAGACGGTGGTGCAACAGATGTGATGGGACTATACTCGGATGCAGCACCTGTGATTACAACCACAACAAGCGTTGACTCTCTCTTATCTGAACTCTCTGATAGCTCCAAAGGAAACTCACGCACGTATCAGTCTCAAACCTCGAAAGGACCAAACTCGAAGGAAGCTCTAGAGAAAGACGCTCTTGTTAGACAGATGGGTGTAAACCCAACAAGTCAGAACCCTACTCTGTTCAAAGATCTCCTCGGCTAGAAGAACCATTCTCCAACCAAACTATCAATTTGACTCTGCATTACCATCATCATCAATCATCATCTGATATTTGGTAATGTGTTGAGGGGTTTGGGGATTAGCATGTTTCGGATTTAAGAACAGCTTTTTGTTGTACCTAAGTTTCTTCTCAATAGGAACTTTCAGTTTACAAACACACAAAGAGAGAGGTAAGTCCCACTGCGAGAGATTTTTATGTTTTTGTTGGTTTCTCTTTTAATCTTGGAGTCATCAGTGAATGTTTTACGTCCGGCCTTTGATTTTGAAGCTTCTCTTGTTGTGTCTATAGAACATTTGTATCATCTTTTACGTCTTAGAGATCATGACTTTTACTTTAAAATTATACACTCTTCGTTTCAGATTATTGGCGCCTTTAGATACCTTTTCGAAAACTTTCTCTTGAAACCAGTTCCTCCAAAAAAACACTTGAGGAAAATCATCCTCCTCTTTAAATGCCGTGAGAGACAAGAAAAGGCCTCTTGGGAACTCTGATGATGAAACGGAAGAGAAAGTCACTATTTGTTGCTTATTCGGAAACCAAAGAAAACCGACACTTATTCAAAGGCAGATATAGTTTCTGTTGGCTTAAATGATTATGCTACATGAACTCAAAAATTTGGAGAACGATTCACGAGCGATGGTGATGATGTTAAAATGCAAAATCAGCTAGAGAGCAGCATGTTAGTTACTCTGTTTCTTGGACTACGAAGTAGTAACCTGTGTTGTACAATTTCTCTGTGAATATAATAATTAATAATTAAATAAATTTACAACGACGGTTAGATTGAGTTGAGTTGAATCAATGGAAATCGTATCTAATTCATAAATAAAGAGAGATGATCCTAACGGCTATATTAGTAGGACTGATATCGATCGGATTATACAACAATAACTATATATCAACAAGCAAAAAAGGAAATAGAAGAGGGCACATAGACAACAATAGCGCAGTAGAAAAAAAGGAAATAGCAGTAAAAAGGAAACAACATCATCCTCAATAACTATATAACACCCTCAACCATACCTTTTGTTCATACCTTTATTCAAGCTACTCGCAATTCACTCTCAAATTGTTTCTTTTCTCTCTGAAAATCTGTGCGAAAAAACAATCATGGATTCGTCTTTTTCGTCTTGGGCAACGAAGAACACCAAACTCTCTGTGCGGAATCAAACGCAATTCAAGAAATCATCCAACAACATTCCGGCTTCGAAGAAGAACAACAATTTGTGCATGAGGGAACATACGCTCTTCAAGAAAGCCTTCGAGCTTTCCACTCTGTGCGATGTCGAACTCTGCGTCCTCTACTACGGCCGTGAAGGAGAACTCATCAAGACATGGCCCGAGGATCAAACCAAGGTCAGAGACGTGGCCGAGAGGTTTAGCAAACTAAGCGACGGAGAGAAGCGCAAGAAAAGCTCAAACCTTTCTCAATTTCTGAGCAAGAAGATCAGCGACGAGAAGAAGCATGACGATGACAGCAAATTATCAGACAAATTGTTTGAGATGGAGGCTTCCTTGGAAAGTCGCTTACGTGTATTCCAAGAAAAGCTTCGTCTTCTTTCCGCTCCACATGATCATCAGACGGAGCCCTGTGCGGCTTTACCATCTCCTTCGCTAATTGTCGAGAATCATCAACAGAGGACTGAAGAGCCATCAGCGAATCATCTGGGACAAGATCAGAGGCAGAGCCTTGCTGTTTGCTCCGGCTTCCCAATCCCAACTGATTTATCCAAGTCGTCTTCGTCTTCGTTGATGAATCATCCTCCCAACTTTTCAATCCTTCTCTATAACCATGTTAACCGTACTTTTACCCAATTGCCTTCCCCCTTTTCCCAACCGGCGATTCCACAGAATCTTGATCAGGGTTACTCAGATTCGTTACTTGGGGGACAACGGTTCGGTAACATTGAACTTCCTCCTCTGATGCAGACACAAAGCCAGTTTGATCAGAATGCTTCATGGAATCAGGGTTTTGGTTACTCGGATTTGTTACTTGAGGGACAAGGATTTGATGGCATGGGAAGCTGCATTAACAATAACAATCAACTTCCTCCGATGATGCAGACACAGAACCCATTTGTCCAGTTTAGTCAGAATGCTCCATGGAATCAGACGACATCTTTTGGTGATCCAATGATGTTCGCTTCCTACGATTAGGGTTTTGTTTTGCTCCAAACTCTGACATTGACTTGGTCAACATATTTTTAATCTTTTTAATTTGATATTGTTAAGTTCGTTGATTGAGGAGGTAATAACAGTCTCTTAATTTTGTAATTTGTATGTTAAACCCTAAGCGTCAATATTAAATCTCTCACTCTTGCAGTCTTGCTTCTCTATTTCCTCCATATTTCTAAAAGTTTGAGTTTTTAAGTTTATATACACCAGTCAGATTCTAACTATTTTACTGTGAGTCTATTAGCGTGGCAATAAATGAGTATAAGATACGAAATAACATTGCTCCAGTAAATATAAACTTTGATATATATGGGTGTTTAATGATTAAATATAAGTAAACAATTGAATCTCTGGACTTGCTCTAATCTGCAAAAGATGATTATTACGTACTAAGACAAACTAAACTTGAATTTTACGAACAGTCTTGGTCTTTAAATTCTTCAAGTCCTTTATGCTCTTCACTGTCTCTCAACTGAACATTCACCTGGAAGTGTTGAGTCCAAAAAATGGCTTTAAAATGTTCAGAGAAAAAAACAAATGAAGTAAGCTCGAGAGAGACTGTACTTAAACAAGGTATAGACCAATCACTAACCTGTCTCGTAGTAGCTTCAGTTTCACTCACTGAGTTTGTACTGCCCAAGCTGAGCATGTGGCACATACACAGACCTACTTAACTCAACATTAGGAATATAAATATGGCAAAAGCCGCATAGATATCCCGTAAATTCCAAGTCAACCAAAAGTTAGGAAAACAACTAAGACTTGTTTTAATAAAAAGCAGAATCCCTCTAAACTGAAATCAGGAAATGCTTACCTTCTTGTCGATCTTTCTCGTCTGTCAAGTGGAGATCAACAAATCTGCTTCAAAACCCGTTGCAACCATAGAGTATATTATCTAGTCTACGGCCATGAAACAAAGATGTTCTCCAGTGATAACGAAGCAGCCATGCTACAACATAATTTTTTTTGTAGCTGTTCTTTTATTGTAGAAAAATTGATCGAGATATATAAGAGAAGAAAAACCCACCAAATTATTAGAAGCTGTTCTTTTATTTGAACAAAACCACCCATTTTAAACCTAATAATGGTGGAAAAGTTCCTAGGATCAAAAGCACCTAAATAATCCTTTGAAAAGAAAAACACAGCCTACCTAATCTAGAAAACTATGAAAAAGAAACACCATTAATCTATAAAAAAAAACCTAAAATCTGGAAAAAAAAAGAAATCTAGCAAATAGCTTCGACGGCGAGTCTCCTAGTAGCACCACCACATTCTGGTGCTCCAAACTTATCCTCGGAAACATCAATGGAACACTTTTCTTTTCCAACACATTCATCAGTGAGAATATCTGCTGCATCTTTGCTTGCTTCACAAGTTCCCTTTTCAAAGGATCCACATTTGCCTCCTGGGTTACCAAAGCTGGCGAATTTGATGGCGGAAATGGGTTTTCCATTGCATGAAAGCTCAAGAACGTTCTTCTCGTCGACATTTGCGCAGACACTTCCTACTCTAACAGTCTGGAAATTGACAAAGGATGGGTTTCCTCCAATCTCTTCAAACAAAACCAGCGTGTTGTCTCCGTCCGAGTTCAAGAAAGAACGAGGAACATGGTACCTGATTCAAACCAAAGAAATAAATATTTCAACGTTGAGACAAACCCAGTTAAAAAGTTGTGATTTTGAAACAAATCAATATTAAGAAAAAGTACCATCTTTGAGTAGGTTCTCCACAATTGGTTTGACACTTTTCAGCATAGTAAGTCCCTCTATAATTACATTCGGCGGCACAACCATCTTCACTTGAAAGAAAAGCTGGCCAGTAACGTCCAATGTTGTTGCCATTGATCCAAGCCGTACCTTTTCCAAGTCCCAAGAGATCGACAGCAACTGGTTCATTTCCCAAAGGAGCCTTGAAAGTAGTCTGTATAACAATTATTGACATTATACAATTTGA